AAGATGTTGAAAGAGTGAGATAATTTAAAATTTGCATTATATTTTTTCAGAAAAATAAATTATAAAAATTTAAGAGTTCTAATTTATTATATAAAAGTATTTGTAAATTTTATGAAATTTAAGTATAAATTAATTTTATACAAAAAATTCTAAAAATTAATATACATAAGTAAAATAATCCATTAAAATAATAAAATAAAGGTTCGTGTTTTAGAAATTATATATTGATATTAAATTAGAGAAATATTTTTTATCAATAATTATATATCACTTAATCATATAATAAATTATTTAATAAAAATTATTTTAACAATACATTTTTTTTTGTATAATATTTCTTTTTAAACCATTGTTAAAACGAATTAAAAGTTCGTTTAAATATGCAATCTTTCTAGATATTTTGGTTTATTATTAATTTACAAAAACAAAATGATAGGATTAATTAAAACGTCATTAGAAGTATATCTATTTTTTAAAATTCCATTTAGAAAAATATAAAGTATTTTCACTCCCAATTATGGATTTCGCTTGTAACTTCAAAAATTCTGAGATTAATCGAATTTAAAAAATCTCAAGTATATTATTTATAAATTTTCTCAAAATAACAGCATAACCGTAAAAGTAATCAACTAGTAGCTTTTAATTTTTAAAATGGATGATTTCGAAATAAAAAAAGTTTATTATTTAAAAAATGCTCATAGCATTTAGTTTCAATCTTCAGTTTATTTATACTCTAAAAATTATACTATTTGAAAATGAAATAAATTTATAGAATCATACAAAATTAAAAAAGCAAATGTTTTTTAATATAAGAAATTTTTTGAATTCTTTTCAAGCTAAAACACATTTGAATGAAATATAATTATCAAGAATAATACAAAAATTAACTATATGAATTTTTATTTTAATATCTAATTTATTTATTTATAAGAAATCAAAGAGTTGTATCAATCAATTTGAAAAAAGAGATTGATATTAAGTTTATAAAGAATAAAAATATAAGATTTCTTATTTGCTAGATAGAAGGGAAAATAATTTTTGATGAAAATAATATCAATAATGTTGCTTGATTAAAAAAAGAGATTTGATTTAGGATAAGATTAAAAAGAACATTAAATGGTTTGAATATTAAGTTTCCTTGAAATAATTCTCTTAGCATATTAGCATAGACAATTTGCTTATATCATGAAATATTTATAAAAATTTGATAATTTTAGATAGTGTATATTAGTATATAAAATAACAAAATGAGTGGTTAACTATGTAATCCTGATAAAGGATGTTGGCTTTTGAGTAATTGTGAATGGAACGAAATCAGCTATACTTGTGTCCATGATCCAATATTGGAATTGACACTTTATACAGGATTTGTTTATGCGTTAATACCAATATTTTTGGGTATTGGTATTTTAGGTGGTCTAGGAACAGGAATGATAAAAAGACCTATTTTAAATTTAATGTTAAATTATCCTGCTAGCATTGCAACTTAAGTTGGTGATTGTTTTTTATTTATAACCACAACGCTGAATTCTTTCTTATTATTTTTTGAAAAGTATCTTAATAAAGATATAAAGACATCCGGATCATCCAGAATTACCATTAATTAACTTTGATATAAGTATTATCTTTAATTAAACAATTCCTTTGGCTTGGAGTGTTGGTGCTTTCCTCTAATAAAGAATACCTTAATTTGGTTTGTATCTTTTTTAATTATGTTTTATGCTTGGTGCCATCCCTTTTTTATGGAAATTCAGTAATTGATTAAAAATTATAGATTAGCACATAGTTAAAAGTAATTAGAATTAGATAAAAGAGACAAAAAAGTACTGATAGTTGAAAAAATAAAAACAAAAGAAGATATGTTAAATGAAACTAATCTTGATGAAAAATAACTTATTCAATATGAAAATTTCTATATAAATGATCATAAAAAGATTTAGATAAAGAATCTCTGTTTTATATTTGGATCGTTTATTGTTAATCAAACTATAGTTCTTATGAGATCTAACAAATATAATAATTCTATCATTGGGATAGATGCTTGCACTCTTGAAAACAATTTAGTATTAATTTTAATATTATGTGCAAATGGAATTTATACAATTTTAGTTTATTGGAATAAAAGAAATGAAGAATATTATAAAGATTTAGTATAATATAGACCAGAATTTAGATATTTTACCCCTAAGAAAACATTTTGGTTATATTATTTAGGAGGATGTGCAGCTGGATTCAGCACAGGATTTATTGGAATGGGGGGTGGAATCATTATGGTGTCTGTTTTATTACATAAGAAAATTATTGCCAGAGAAGCTGCTGCTACTTCTGCTTTTGGTACTTTCATGATTGCTTTAAATAGTTTAATCTAATTGTTTTTATAGAAAACAATAACTAATGAATAAATGCTGATATTTTTTAGTTTAGGAGTATATTATTCATATTTATTATTATTAGATAATAGGATTAATAGTTATCACTAAACCTGCTTATATGCTAATGAATAAATTTAAAGTTGGATATGTTGTTTTGATTGTAGATATTATTTCTGTGACCAATAATGTCTTTGCAATAACAGCCTTAATTATAATCAATTCTACACTTTATGGATTCGATATTATGTTAAATTATAATTAGCATTGTTGATATTTGATTTTTTCTTAACCAAATATTCCTTAAAATTTATTTGCTATCTATTTGCATCAATTAAATTTTCTTATAATTATTAGATTATATTATTTTATTCTTTAATTTCTAAATAATTGAACATATCTCTAATTTAATGAATTTTTTTGATTGAATTTTTTTATTTTAGATAAATTATTAAAGTGTGGCAAAAATAAAATCATTTTAATTATGTTTTTAAATATAAAAAATTTATATGCAAAACTAAATAACTTAGATAGCTTCAATAAAAGTAAGATGTGATAAATGTAATCGAAAAAATGATCTCATTTCTTAATGCTGTGTTTTAACATCACAGACAATAAATCAAATTTGCTGTCATTCATGTGTGAAGATTTTATAAAAATAACATAAATTTCAAGTTGAATAGATATGTGATATTTTGTAAGAATGCTAATAAATTAAATTGTTCCTCTCATAACATAGTATTGTAGAATTAGCCTCTAATTCAATTTTTGTTAATACTCTTAATATTTCAGATCCTCTAAAATAATTACTTGAAAATTCTAAAGAATTTTATGAAAGTATCAATTTCAATGAAACAGATTTTTAAAATTATTGTAAAAATAGAATCTTTTATAAACAATTATTAGAAAATGAAACACTAAAGCAAAACATTGAAATTGCTTATAAGAATTTAAAAAGCATTATTAAATAATATTTTTATGATGAGGAAGGGATACCAATTTTATCTATCTCTATTCCAAAAACTAAGTATTCAATTTTATATTCTCAAGTTTTATCCCATTATTTTCTAATATTAAAATATTAAACTTAATCAGGATATTTATCTGAAATAAATAATAAAAAAGTAGAGAAATAAATAAAGATTGATGGATATGATCCTACAATTATTGTATCAATTTTTGACTTTAAAAGCAAAACAAATATCTATGAAGATGTTTTGATTCAAACATAAAATTTAAAATATTTAACACAAGATTTAATTAAATCTTATATATTAGAGTAAAGTAACATAATTTATGTTTGTGTCGAAAATGATTATTATTAGATCAATTTAAATCCTAAATCACCTCCCAAACAGATCAATTATGTAAACTTTTAAGTTATTGGGGAGAATCTAATCTTTTTAGCATAAAATGCTTTACTTAAATTTGACCCTATCGATTATGAAATTATTCAAAAATAAGAAATTTTTGAAAGAAATTGGTCAAATAATGAATTTTTGATTTCTTACGATAAAAAAATAAATTCTTTTATTATTTATCATTAACCCTGTGAAAATTAAAATGAAATATTTGAAATTATACAATTAAATTCCCTACAATGCTCTAAAAGAATTATTTTTGCTAATTTTGATAGATATTAATATAATACCTTTTCATATTACATAGCATTCAAATACATATTTAGAAATAAAATAGTTGTGCTTCTTCGTGAAACTCATTAAGAAAAAAAATTTTTAATTTTATTAAATTTAGAGACAGCTAAAATCATAAGAAAAATTCCTATATTAAATAAACATACTATTTAAAATATAAATCTCTTGAAAGACTAAAGTGTAATTAGTCTAAAATATGATGCAGATAAACTAGAATTGTATTAAATCTCTACAGGCAGATAAATTATTTAATTCGATAAAATTTAATTAAATCCAATCTTATTAGATGAATATGTATTATGTATAAAATAAGATGATATCAAATTATTTGAATTAAGTCAATGATTATTATATATTATTATCCAGATTATAAAATATATGTTTATATTAAATTATAATAAATTTATGATTCATTCATGAAGCTCTTGCAGAACACAATCGGTAGTTTTGATATTACAGTAGAAAATCTCCTGAAATCCTTTATTTAAACAAAAATTAAATTTAATTAATGATTTAGCTATTTAAGTATCATCATTTATTAATTTATCAATTAATTAACCTAAATCAAATTGAATCAAATAAAATTTAAAAATATAATAATTTATTTGGGTATAACAATTTTAAATATCTTGCTTTTAGATTTATTGGTAAGACTAAAACCTTTAAATTTAAAGGATTAAATTGGTATGTTATTATTACTTTTTTCTTGTATCCAATAAATTTTAATTGAAATTAAACCTAAACTTGTCAATTCTTTAGAATTAATAATCATTGCAATGAAATACTTATAAATTATAATTTATGAAAAATTCTAGCCATTACTTATTTATAATAATTTATTTACTTTACAAATATTTTATTAAGCTTGATTATTGTAATTATTCGATTTAATTTATTTCCTAAATTTTTCATCAGTTGTTATTATTTATTGTTATGCTAAATTTTCTCTACTTCTAAATGAATATTATGGATTCAATAAAATTCTGCCAAATATGATATATATTAATAATTTTTTTGATAGATCTTCATTACAATATTTTTTTTTTTTAATTTTTTAAACTAATACTTTACTCAACATCAAAAATTTTTTTAATTATTATTAGTTACAGATTTAGTTTTACTCATATTTAGTTTAAGATTATTTATTCATCACATTTTGAGATAATTGGAATTTAATGTTTATTGTTTTTCTTGATTTAAGGATGTATATAATTATCTTTTTTTTCCAAATTTTTTATTAAGTTAATAATTATAATAAATGTAATATTTATGCATATTCTAGATTATTTAGAAATTCAAGAGTTAGATTACACTAATAAAAGAAATGCTCTATGTTTTTAACATCTAATAATGATAGATTTATTTAAAATGAAAGAATAAACGAGATCTAATGAAAAAATTTTAATAGAAAATGTTAAAATTTTCCTTGAAATATGAAAAAAGCAGCTTATTTTGAGAAATTAGAATCAGCTAAAAATTGGTTAGATCTTGAAACCAAGACTTTCAGTGAAAATTGTAAAGTATAGATGAAGGAGATAATTTCACTTATCAAACAATAATTTAATGTAAATTTTTAAAGCATTTAATCATTGGAATAAAATATAATAGTTAATGAATAGTAATCAGAAACTAGAGAAATTGATAGTTTTATATATGATTATGATTAAAAAAGATTTATTAGCACAAAATTTGAAATAAATTTAACTAAGAATAAAGAAGTAATTTATATTAAAGATGGATCAATTTTGAGAGTGTATTTTTGTTAATATAAATTAATTTAGTGATTAACCAAAGAATTTTTAGTGGGAAAAGGATGTAATGAGAAACATAGAATAAATAACAAATTTATAATGGGAAGGGGATTATGATGAAAACAATAAAAAAATAGGAAAATGGACTGCTTCATTTAAAAATGTAAAAGATATTGGAGGATATTACAACGATGATGGGAAAAAATAAGGAAAATGGAAGGAAATATTTTAGAATTATTGGAGGTAAATATAAATATATTTTGAATAGTTAAATTATTGCATATGAAGTTGGAGAGTATCTTGATGATTAAAGAATAGGAATTTGGAAGTATAACTTTTAAGAAAAAGATATGTAATAAATGTTATTAAATTAGGGGTGGTGGTGAATATAATTAAATTGGATAAAAATAAGGTAAATGGGTAGAGTTATCAATTTATACTTCATTTGTTTCTTAAGTAACTTATCATGGTGAATATGGAATGAATGGATAGAAAAAAGGTAAATGGGAGATAAAATATGATGGATAAAAAATGTAAATAATGTTTAACTAAATTAGTGGTGGTGGATCTTATGAAGAATAAGAAGGAATATCAAAAAAGAGTGGAAAATGGATTGAGTTTATAGATGGATTTACAGATAACTATTAGATCACTTTTAATGGTGAATATAATAAAAAAGGGGAAAAAAAAAATTAATGGGAAATTCAATCTAAAAGAAAGGCAGCCATTTTTTCAACATCAAATTAAATGTAAGTAAAATTATTAAAAATTTATTAGTGGAGGAGGATGGTATGGTGATTTAGAAGGAGCTTCAAACAAGATTGGAAAGTGGATTGAAATAAGAGAGGGAGTTAATGATAGCACAAAACTAACATATAATGGAGAATATTCTATGAAGGGGTAAAAGATGGGCAAATGGGATATTTTCTATAAAGGAAAATAAATGTAAATAAAACTTATAAAATATTTTAGTGGAGGAGGAAAATATGAAGAACAAGAAGGTGGTTCAAAAAAGATTGGGTAGTGGATTGATTTAAGGGATGGCTTTTTTAATAAGAGTTAAATAATTTATAAAGGAGAATATAATAATAAAGGAGAGAAAAAAGGTAGATGGGATACCCTATATTGTTTTGCAGGAGAAAAAGAATATTAAATAATGTAATAATTACGATTTTATATTCTATTAGAGGTGGAGGATAATATGATGAATAAGTAAATGGTTCAAAAAAATTTGGTGAATGGATTGATATTTGGGAATGCTTTGGGTAAAATAGGGAAGTCACTTATTAAGGACAATATAACATGAAGGGTTAGAAAAAAGGTAAATGGGATATTCTATTTCGAGAACAAAGAGAAAATGAGGCAATCATAATGTAATAAAATAATAAAATTGTAATAGTGGTGGTGGATAATATGAAGAATAAGATGGAGGTTCTAGAAAGGTTGGAATGTGGATTGAGATATCAGATGAATTTAGATCCAATAACTAAATAGCGTATAGTGGTGAATATGATACTACAGGTAAAAAAATTGGTACATGGAATTAAATTGAGTAAAAGGCGAATCTTTTTGGTAGTAAAAGATTAAGTAAAATAACGAAATGAAATACAATATATAAATAAAAAGATAATTATTTTATTGTTTAATAAAAATATGTAATATCCTAACTACTTATTTTATCTTATCATTAAATTTAGTTAGATTAGAAGAATTATAAAACAAAATGTTAATTTCTATATTTTTCTTAATAGAATTCTTTTTTTCTTTTAGAAATCAAATTTTAGTATTCATGATTATAGATTTTTATTTCTTCTTGAGTTTTAATGTCTCACAATAAATTCAAATAATATTTGTGCTCACTGATTACCTCTTCTCTTTACATCTATATTTCAATTCTTTCATCTATTCAACTCTAATCAAATTTGCTATTGCTGTAAAACACAATATTCTTAACATCATATTTTCATTTTTCATAAATATTTTCTACTAATTTATTTTTTCCACAAAAATCTAAATTACTCTTTAGTTTTGTTATAGAAATTAGAAATAATCTTTTGATAATAGTTGGCTTCCGATGAATTAAAGAATGAAGACAATTGATATTAGATTGATTTATTTTTAATTAATTATTATTATTCTTAATTATTATCTAATTAAGTAAAATAATATAGAATTGTAATATTCATAAGATTTAATACAATAGATCAAATTCAATGTAATAAGATTAAAATTTTGATTATTATACAATTCTTATAAGATGGTTATATATTAAATATTATAGGAGTTGTTAAATTTTGTTCATAGAAGAGAAATAATAAATTAGAAATAATTGTGTTTTTTTGTAAAATTATTCAAACTTTAACTTATTACGCAACTATAGTATATGCTTATGTGATAATTTTAACTTCATTATCTCTTTTAGCAGTTCTTAAATTGTAATTTGATTAGACAATTTCTCTTTCATTTCTATATTATTAGAGTAAATCTAATGCAATAGGTAAATCTTTTTAGATTTGATTTCTGCTTTTAGTAGATAATGCCTAAAGATATGAATGGTAATACATTATCTTCATTTCTTCTTTTTAAGGTAACAACAGTTCTTGAATAATCAGCACTTAGTCTTTCTCTAACTTCAGTTACTTCTTTAAGAGTTACATCATATGATTAGGTAACTTTAGCAATATATTCATTTGCACCAGAATTTTCTTGGATTCTTTGATCTCTAATGTTTTCAAGTAATTATATAATTCTAGTAACTGTTGGAACATCAAATCTAAAATAATACAATAGAATACTTTGTAGTTACTGCAACAAGTGCTGTAATTGGATGATTTGGACCTAATGAATTAGCAAGTTAATCAACATATTATTTAGTATGTTATTATGAGAGGATTGTTGTTTTACTTTATTCAGCAAATACAGCTTATTAAAGTTTTCCAATCATTTCATTTAATCCATCAATTGATTTAATATTATTGGTTGTTCTTTGCTATGAATATTAATTAGAATTACTGATATTGTTTCTATTTCTAATTTATATTGATTTCTGATATCTTCTTCTTTAGAACCCAAAGTTTATAATTATTTTTCTTAAGATTGTTGTGTGCCTATTAATTTGCTTATATCTTCATTTAAATCTGCAATTTACTGATTGAGTCTTTGTAATTCTTTGGCTAATTTTTCAGTTTAGATTTCCAAAATTTCAATTTCAACATTTAATTATCCAATTTTCTAGATAAGATAAATATTATTAGTACTTTGGCAAATTCTTGATCTTCAATAGTTTAATCTGCAATTAATTAATCTCTGATGAGCTTAATTTCTTTTAATACTTCTTCTACATATGAACTTTATAACATTTTGAGTTCAATTAAGCTAGCTAATTATTTTGAAAAATCATTTTTAAGTGTCATTTTATCCATTTGTGTCATCACAGCATCAACTTTTGAAGACAAGGAAGTTTATTGACTCAAAACAATGAGCATAATAAGGAAAATGACTTATTTCATTAAAAACGGTATAATAAAAATATAAAAGAGATAATTGGATTAATTTATTATGGAAGAGTATATAATATTGTAAATGATATAAATGATAAATATGATAATTATATATATATAAATCATTTAGATGAAAACAATTTAATTTATCCATCCGCACCTAAAGATGCGAATAAATTGTAACTAGGATGATGAACTAAATTATGAATGTTTTCATCGTATTTAGATTGATGTCCTTATAGTTCTTATATAAATTATTATCTTCTGGTATCCCAAACTCTATTTAGAATATTAGTAGATATAAATACTTGATAACATTTCCTGTTGCAATATAGATGATAGTATTACTAAGATTAGTAATTGCTGAAATAATTGGTTCATTACCACAAATAATTTGTGATATTAATTTAGCTAAATTGTAATAATAAAAATATATTGATACATTATTAAAGATCAAATATTCTTAATTTACCATCCTCATGTGATGATATTAGACAAGATTATTAAAATTATGTTAATTAATTGATTTAAGCTGATGTATTATTTTCTGATTAATATTTAATATTTTGAACATTTCTACCATTTTCTGTATCAAAAATAGAAAGAATAGTAGAATTCATAAACCCTGATGCAAAAAGGTTTGGATTATGTTATAACCATGATATAGCTGTAGGAGAATCTACAAAATGTCCATATTGATTTTTTTAACCAAATTAATAGAGCTATTTAGGTTCAGATTATGAATCTTAAATTGGCCATAATTTAATAAGAGAATCTGCTGCAGAAGATATTAATAAAGTTTATTGGGAATTAACTTTTAATTACCATATTGCATCTTAATGAGCTTACCAAGTCATTCTACATTATTAAAATTCTTCAGTTTATCCTAATTAATCACATTCATCAGGTAATGGAAAATACCACATTTTAATTGCTCCTTCAGCTCCTGCACTATATATTGTATTCTATATTCCTTTTAATCTTTATTCTATTCCTGCTATAGCGAAAAGAGGTCCTGTATGATCTCTTAATGTTAAATATGGTTCAATTTAATTTTACTATTATTAATAATTTTAGTAATCCCATAATTTCAATTAGCAATCTTCTGATACTGTTGCTAAAATAGTCATATTGTTAAAAAAATATGCATCTCTTACACCATCTAAATGATGTCTCAATGTATTTTATAATTATACAGGATCCTTTGATACTACTTATGGCTACTCCTCATTAATATTCTATGATTTGCTTCTACTATGAGTAGGAAATCCACTTGTACTATTCATATTAGTTGGGCTTTATCGACCTGAATTTTAAACTATTGATGTCACATTTTAATTAGGTGTTAACATGACTGATGGTCTATTTGAATGCTCTATTTTAGGAGAACTAGGAGGAGAAAAAATAGATTGTAATCCCACTTCTTAGATAATTCTAAATTTAAACTAACTTATTCATACTTTTGCAATAACGGACGATAAGGCTTTGCTTTTCTTTTTGGGATAGTTTAATAGTTTTGTATCTAACTTTAGTTTTCTATATTTTCCTTTAACAATTAATTCAAATAATCAGGAACTTATCCATTTTATTGATATTTCAATCTCTCTTATCTTAAGGCCACTTCAAGCATTTTGCATCTTTTTCCCAAATCAGTTATAACTCTCTCTTATCCTTTAACTACTCCTTCTAATTCATTTATCTTCTACTGCATTTATGATTTTTCTAATGCCCATTCACAATCCTTATATTACATTTATTTATGCTATTCATGTAAGAATTCTAATACTCCTACCCAATTACATTAAGTCTGAATATAATTATTTAAATTACATTTTATTGAGCATTTTTTTGTATCAAAGTGCTTATTGAAACAGACTCTTATGACATAAATATAATTATTCAAATTTAAATTATTACTTTAATTTACAGAATGCTAGTTAATATTTCTGATAGTGAAGATCATTCAAAATTTAATTGTAATCAATTAATTTTAATAATTCAATATTAACTTAAAATTGATGTAGTTAACAAAATCTATAACTAATGAACCTTCAATTATTAAAAAGACAAAACCATAACTAATATTAAAGAAAATGGATTAAGATATAAAATTATTAATAACTAAACAAAATTAATATGCAAATAAATTCATACCCAGATAACTTCTATGCAAATAAAACAATGTTTCAATTTTAATGATAAGATATTAATTAATATTTTAATAATAATATGAATAAATTAGAAATGTTAAATAGTCCTAGATTAACTACTTAAACAGAACATGTAAAGAGATCATTCTATGGGAAAGATTTAAGAAATGAAAAGAATATAGAATCATTATTGTTTCTTAAGAGAACCTAAAGAAATGAAATTACATGTAGTCCATGTAATTAATCAAATGAGATAATGGTAGAAGAGATAAGAAGATTAAAAGATTAAATAAAATTATAACAGAAAGAGATTTAAAGATTATCATAAATAAACGAATATTTGATATAAGCAAATCAAACAAAACTAAACATTTTATAATCTGAGAGATAGTTTCATTCTAATAAAATAACAATAAAAATAGGACATAATAAAACACTGAGTGAAAAGAAGAATTATTTAAGTAAATTTTTAGATGAAAATTCTTAATAAAGTCCAAGTGTGAAACGAAGAATTTATAGAAATCCAACATTAGCTAGATTGCATTTAGAGTAAGAAAGTGAATAGTAAAAAAATGAAAAATAAACGTAGAAAGCATCAACATTTTATGATACTCTTTAATAAGAAGATTGTTTTAGAACAAATGCAATTCTTAATATATAATTATCTGACGAAGATGCTATGTAATAATATAAATAAGATGGAACAGTTTCTTTAATGAAAGAATTATTAGATAATGAAGATGAATTTGGAGATATTATATAAAATATATCAGCATAAAAACTATCATTTCTTTATGATAAATTTAAACGTATAATGTCTGATCATAATCAATTATTTATATTAGTATTAAGATTAAAGAAAATAGTAATGGGAGCATTATAAATGAATTCGTCTATTTTATTAGATGATGCTCTTTAAACAATAATAGATAAATGTGTAGATTGTTTAGAATGTGATAGAGCATCATGTTTTATAGTTGATTAAAGTAAAAAAGAATTATGGACTAGAGTAGCTAAAGGAACATCAACAACAATTCGTTTATAAATTGGTTAAGGTATTGCTGGATTTGTAGCATAATCGAAAAGTATATTAAATATAGAAGATGCATATAGAGATTAAAGATTTAATTCATAATAAGATATTAAAAATAATTATAAAACTAAAACTTTATTAGTATGTCCGATAATGGAAAATGATAAATGTGTTGGAGTTTTATAATGTGTTAATAAATAAAGTGGTTACTTTACAAAAGATGATGAAGCTTTATTATAAATAATGTGTGAATTTTCAAGATCTGTATTAAAAAATGCATTAAATCATGATGCTTAAATGTTAATTTAAAATAAATTAAGACATCTTATAAAGACTGGAGTTTTATTATAAGCAAAACAAAATGAAATTCTTAATTTAATTTAATAAGCAGAGGAAAGATTAAGATCATTAATGAATGTAGATATTGCTAAAATAGTTTATAATGATATTCAAATAAATAAATTTATTCATATAAACAAAGAAGCTAAATTAGTTGAAAGTGATAATATTCTTGGAATCATGGGCAATTGTGTTCATACTCAGTAAATTCTAGCCATAAGTAATTGTTATATTAATCCACTTTTTAATCCAAATATTGATATTGAAACAAGTATGCCTATTATATGTATGCCACTTAAATATAATAATTAAATCATTGGAGCACTTTAAGTTGTTAATGTTAAAGGTATTGGAGGTAGTGATTCTAAAGTTAATTCAATAGATTTAGAAATGCTAGAATTATTTTGTCTTCAAACTTCATAATGTTTATTTTAAATGAAAACAAATAACCATTGAACATTAATATATTTATATTATTTCTTTAAAATATCATGTAAAGTATCTATTATATATATATTCTAAATTAAGCGTAGCTAATATTTATTAAGAATTAATCTATACTTTATTTATTTATATTAGATCGATATAATATTTTAAATTATATAAAATTAAATAATTAACAACTTTATTAGACATTCAACTCCTTAGTATTTTAAAATCATTTCAGAAAACTTTAAAAAAATAATATTAATTAATTGAATAGTTTTATCTTCTTAATTATGACCCTAGAAATAAAATTATTATTTATTATTATATCAAATTATTAAGTTATAAAATCTTCTTTATAATTTAAAATAAGATGGATTTTAAAAAATCAAAATAAGGTGAAAATTTAGAAGAATAGTGAGAATAATAATTAAAAGACTAAAATTATTGGTATAATATACATTTTTATGGATTCATAAATATTTTATAAAATTTAATACTTCAAAATAGTTCATCTAATTATTATTTATACAGTTCTTTCTATAAATAAAAATCCCTTTAGATCTATTCTTTCACTGCATTGTAATTTGGATTTTAATTTAATAAAAATGATTATAGATTATAGTGCCCTTTTATTAATTTCATAGAAATCAACATAAATTTCAAATGCTATTCTCCATAAGTTTTAATTTGTTCGTATCCAAAAATCATGGGTATGAACTAACTTTTTAAAATTCTACAATATTCATTGATATAAAATAATTTATCCAATTTGACTTCAAATTTAAATTCAATATCACATTTATTTGCTTATAGATACTTATTAACATAATCAGCTATCAAATCTAATGTAATTTTTTCATCAAATTATGATATTGCTACACCTAAACATAAATCACAATAATTTCTATAAATTTTGATTACTGCATTATTTTCACAACTATTTTATAAATTTAGATGAATACCATTTTTCATAAAACAAAGTTCTATATAATTATAGCAAATCTTAAAGTGGTTTTTATGGAGGAATAACTCTAATTGGTGATGGTGGAATTAGTGGTCCTGCTGGTCTAACAGGATAAACAATGGCATTATTTCTATTGTAGATTGTTTAAAGTCTAAATCCTAATCCTATTTATTAACAAATAGTTGGAAAATCAATTCTATTAACTGGTGAATAAGTAATCATTCTTTCTATCAATTAACAAGTATTTGGAGATAAATTTAATTAAGGAATCATTATTCTAAAGGGAGTTTACTTAATTCTATTTATAAATTCCATAATTCCTGCCATATTTAATTCAAATGGGTATTATCCAGTTAAAAGATTGTAAAATAGAATTCCAAACTAGAATATTAAATTAAATATTTACTGAATAAATGTCAACCTTATGCATTAATTTTTATTTAATCTCTTAATCATCAATTTGAAATTAAATAGGAGCCTTAAATTATTTTATTTAATTAATACCTATTATTATTAACCTATACTAGAATTAGTCATGCTACCAAATCTTGTCATTTGACCTCCTCCTTAAATGAAATTTATATCACCTAAATATTATCAAAAATAGATTATACTTTGTGAGTATTCGTAATTTCCTTATAATTCAGGTGCTTTGAATACTGGAGTACCATTTTTGGTTATATTTAATAAATTCTAATCAGATGAATATATCTTGCCTACTCCAAAATCAGCAATCTAATTAACTCAAATAATTTATACCTTGTATTTTCCTTAACTAATTAATATATTAGCAGGTTTTATATCTCTATGTATAACTGAACTTTAATAGAGCACTTTATATCCATTAAATAATTGTCTCATTATTTCAAGAGCTTCTTGTTCTGAATATCTTCTTTATTACATTAATCTTTATTTAATTTCCTTTTCTAAATCAGATTCACATTTCTCCATTATAATTACAAAGAAATTTCTCTCTGGAATGTAATTACAATAGAAAACATTTACTATATTTTCATTTTGTTTATCCTTCATATAATTTAATATATCCAATTCTTTTTATACATTTTAAGAATTAGCAGGCACAATCTAAAAAAATTATTGTTTAATTAAACTTTAGCACAATATTGCCTCTAATCACGATTTCTAGTTGCTGCAAATACCTTTCCACAAGCTCCTTGTCCCAACAAATTACAAGTATCGATAGCAAATTCATCAATATAGACAATTTGATCACTCATTTTGTATTTCTATTAATAAAATATTTTAAATTTTCATAAAATAATTTCAGATATCAAGCATTTGGATTTTTAAAAAATCCATATGACGGGGGCTAGTTTTTTTAGAATTAGAATTCATTATTCAGTTATTAATGCAATTAACGAATAATGTCATTCAACTACTTATAATCTTGATTAGTTTTATCATAATCTTCTAAAATATCTCTATTATTGGCATTATAATTTTCATAATATTTTAGAATAGCTTCTTATTTTAAGAATTAAGTTTATATTGTTGTTAATTCTGTTAAATCTTTCAGTCTTGTATTCTTTTTATCAACATATGAAATCATCTTTTTTACTTCTTAAATATCATCTTAAGTTGTTTTTTCAAACAAAATATTTTTTGTATTTTACTTTTGAATTATAATTAGCTTGAAGTAAAGAATGCATAAATAATAACCTAAATATGCTGGTTAACTGCCTAATATGCTATTTTTTTTTTTAAATTCCTTATAAGCAACTTCAATAAAATTTTCACTTCTTTTTTAGCTATCACCTATTTAATCAGATGATTAAGATTGAATACTACCAAATTATTATTATTTATTTATTTATTAAAAATTAATTTTAGTAGCATCTTCTTTCTCATTTTAAAATGAATTTGAATTCATTTATGGAATCATTGTTGATCTAGATTAAAATAGATTTTTGTTTGTGTTTTAAAAGGAAACCTATCGTTGTTAACCTTCATTCTGACTTTTATCTAGAATAAAGTGATTGTTGTTTTATTTTAACTTTTTTTAATCTACTAATGCTTAATTATTATTGTTAATATTAATATTATTAATATTATTATTATTAATATTATTATTAATATTATTATTATTATTATTATTATTATTATTATTATTATTATTATTATTATTATTATTATTATTATTATTATTATTATTATTATTAATAATATTACTATTATTATTTTATTGGAAATTATTCTTCAAATATAATGGAGGATTTTATTTTTGATTAATTTATAATGATATATTATCTTCTTAATTGTTTTATTTATAAGACTAAATTTTTTTCTATAAAGGTTCTGATTATAATTAATTATTAGCTTAAAAAATTGGTAGGGTTTATGGTATCGCATTTTAAATCTATTATATGGGTAGGCTGCTTGGTTATTAGTTAGGCGTTGTGAAATTGATTTTTTGAGGTTAGCTGTTATTATTAATAGGAAATATAGAGTTTTGTTACTTGGTTATTTCGGAATTATCATTTGTGGGTTGTTTAGGATTGGGTGGCTTTTATTGGGCATTAAATTAAAATTGATTAGATATTGGCGGGGGAAATTATTATTCAGTTGAGGGCATTGTTGTTATTTTATTTCTATAGGATCCTTAATTTTACTCACTCTATTATTAGATTGAGTTAGGAAATGGTAATTATTATTATTATTAAAATTTAGATTATTCTTTTATACTGAATTACTATTGCTCTGGTTTTTATTATTAAGATTATTATTATTAAAATTACTATTATTATGGCTGCTATTATTATAATTATTGTTGTTGCTTAGATTATTTTGTAAATTAAAGTTATTATTATTGTGGCATTGATTATTATTATGGTAATTATGATTATTATGGTATTTACTGTATTTATGATTATGATTATTATGGTATAAACTGTATTTATGATTATCGTATTTATGATTAAAATTATGATTATTAGGGTATTTACAGTATTTATGATTATGATTATTATGGTATTTACTATATTTATGATTATCGTATTTATGATTAAAATTATGATTATTAGGGTATTTACAGTATTTATGATTATGATTATTATGGTAATTATGATTGTGATTATTAAAATATTAATGATTATGATTAATACAGTATTTAAGGTTATTAAAATTGTAATAATTATTATTCTTACTATTATTATTATAAAGCTTATTATTATTACTGAGGTAACAATAATTATTACTATTAAAATTACTATTATTATGATTATTATTATTAAAACAATAACATTTGCTATTATGATTAAGGTTCATATGTAAATTAAGATTATTATTCTGGTATTTAAATTTATTATTGCTATGATTATGGTTATTATGTTTATAATTGATTTTATTATGATTAGATGTCTGAATTATTTGTTTTAGATATAAGTTTAATTTTTTAATTAATTTATTTGGGCTAAATGTAAGTACTACCTTTACCATTACTAATATTTATAATTTCTTAATTTAATGATTACCAACTAATTCTTTTATTGGGATCATAGATTAACATCTAATCAATTAAAGAAAGCAAATCATTGGTAAACTTAAATAAAATAAAAATATTTACATTTTTGTGTGGCTTAGGACAATTTAATGGTGAGGTTTCAAGGTTTTTAAGTATTTTTTCTAAATCATTTATTGAATTAGGCTCACGTTAAAAATAATTTTAACCATTATAAACTAGTTGATACAACATTACTCCTAACTAGTGATATAAATAATAAATACAGAAAAAATATCACACTAATTATTATATTCTTTATGGAAAATGATTTCAGGTGCAGTATAGATAGGTGTACCTGCATATGTAGTAGTCAATTATTATTACTCTAACACTTTTCCTACTCCAAAGTCAATTATCTATTTAATAAATATAATATCAATACTTTGATGATGGGTTTATTTAATTAATAATTAAATTAAATTAAAATATTTTATGGTTTAAGATCTCTATGAATAAGATTCAATTGAATAATTTTCATATAGCCTTTAACAATCTAATATAATATATCTAAGACTTCCTCTTAGGATAAATTGAATTTCTTATCTAATAGATATTGTTCAATACTCATATCACATTTTTCCATCACTAAATATGCATATTATTAATGATAACAAATATCTTAAACCCTTATAATATTTTCACAATCTTGATTTTCTGATATTAATTAATAAGCTTGTAATTCTCTTCGTCCTTCGACATTATATTGATCAATTTGCTTAGTACAATATTATAATTATGGATTGAATAAATCATAAGTTAGAAATGTTGCTCCTTAGTTACCTCTTCCTAATGATTTTGAAAAATCTAAATAATATTATTCTTATTTTTATTTATTTTAGAGAATTAAGAATTATGGTAACAAAACTTGCAAATTTGCCAACTCAAGCCAAGTAATTCTTTCTTTAGGATTATATACTATCATTCTTTCTAATAATTATTTTAAGGCAGGATCAATTGAGGGGTCTTGAATTTTAAATTTAGTAGTTCTGATTTATTAATTAAATTTTTAAAGTTCCTACATTGTAAGAGGATTAATATGGTATTTGTTTTAGAAACACATTTAATACAAAATTAATCCAAGCTAATTCTATTAATTATAAATATTACAGAATAAACATCACATTAATTATCATAGCCACAATTAGAGCTCATTTCAGGTGCTTAATAATATGGAGTTCCACTTTTTTGATACATTGTTTACTCTTAATAAGATGCAGCTCCAAAATCAGAGATCTATGATTAGTTTCAATTAAACCTTAATTTAAATATGATTTGTTTATGGAATACGTTTGACTAATAAAGTATTAGGATTTAAATCTCTATGTGTTATTTTTAAATAAATTAATTGCATATATCCTTAAACTATTTAACCAATTATATTATAAATCTCATCTTTAGTAAACCAAAAACTTTTCCTTTATTGAAAAAGATCGGACAAAGTTGATTCGCATTATTCATTTTATGATTCTACTAAATTTATTTAAGGATTGAGTTTAAAGGAAATTATTCGTGCAATATTATAATGAGGACATTAGTCAATCTAATTTTTTATCTATTACATAAGGTTTAATGGATCTTATTAATTTGTTTATTAAGAAGTTTGCATCACATCAAGATCTTAATTATAATTCCAAGAATTTGGGTTCATTGACTAATTCAAAGAAAATTAATTAATAGAAATAGAAAAAATTAAAAGACTAAATCATTTTATATACCTTAATTATAATTTTCTGAATTATAATAAGCTTTTCTACATCTATTAAAGGGTTTATAATCAAAAATTAATATTTCTTATACTATTTAAAAATTATCTTCTAAATAGATCATATATTTTGTTACCTTTTTTTCTAAAATTGATGAAGAGTAATAAGGTTTAACTTTAATAAAATTAAATATTTAAACAATATCTTGTTTCAAGTTTTTCAATCCGTTGTATTTCTTAGAGATTTTATACTCTAAATTATTTATTATAAATTAGAAAACTCTTTCTAATTTCTCCATTTCCATTTGTTACTAAATTCATTCTTCTCTATTCTTTACTTATTTCCCTTCCTTCAATTCTAATTATTAACCAATAGCTATGATTATTTTATTATTCGATAGTAACTATAATAATTATTAAAGAAACTTATCAGTATTCTTTATAATTTTGGAGAATTTGTATAAATATAATATTGATGTATATCTATTTAATTAAAAATTTCTATTCAATAAGTTCATTTATGGTTAATAATTTTACGAATCCGGTAATAGTGAAGGAATTTGTCAATTTTATTTGATTTTTTTTTTATAAAGAAATAAGATTATTGTCTCATATTTATTAATATTAATAGTTGGATATAGAATTTGGAAGTGTTTTTAGTTAGTTGGTAAAGATTTAATGACAATTGCTATATAAATTTAATAAATTTAATTTATTATTTTATTAAGTAGACTAATCACTAACTTAAGAATCTCTTTGAGTATTAATTTATTAAATCTTTAATTTTAGTATAAAATTTAACTTTTTAGAAATAAATTGTTAAATTATCATTATTTTTTCATTAACTTCTTGTGTAAATTTTTAAACAGAAAGAATGAACAAGACTTCATTTAATTTCAAGTAAATTTTAGAATTAGATCATTTATTTATTAATCATAGACTTTAATCACATAAATTATCGTAAAAAAACATTATTGTCCTATTAACTAGTTTCAAATTACCTTTTAGAAATATATAGAAAATGAAATTTAAAAAAATAATGAATAGAATAGTAATTTAGATTTTTTTGAGACATATTTTAAAAATTAACATATGAGTTTCAATAAATTATTTTAGATCTTTGAATTAAAGCATAGAATAAGGATTAATAGTATTAAATTAATAAAATGTAGCTAATGTAAATAAGCAATAGATTTAATATTTTTTCTATTTAATGTTTAAATAGATATATAATCCTAATTGTTCAGTTCTCTTTTTCTTTATATCCATTTTGTTAATTTTTAAAATTGAAATTTAAATCGTATCTGTTGGATTAGAAACAGATATAAGAGTATTAGGTCTTTGTATGAGGAGATTCAAACTATTTGAACTCTTATTATTCCACTCTAAAGTCTTATGATTAAATTTCAATTTTAATTTATTTCCTTTTTACTTTTGAATATAAGGTAGGTCTCTCTTCGATTCACTAATTCTTATAGATTTATTTTCCAACCAAACAAGAATTATTAATAATAGTAATTTTAAATATAAATATGTTATAATCTCACTAAAAATCATAAGATTAAGATTAAACTCTTTACATTGATAAAGTATTTTCTTTAATAGTTTCTTAGGAATTTAATTCAGAAATCTTAAACAATGCTTCTTATATTGATTTAATAAAAACTGGCTTTATCACTACATGTATCATTCCTGCTTCAAAACATTTTAAATGTGTTTCATAATCTTCATGAGCAGTACATCCAATTATAGGTATATAACTTACTGAATTTTCACAAATCATGCTTTCTAATTTTCTAGTTGTTTCTATTCCATTCATTACTGGCATATCAATATCCATCAATATCATAAATATTTAATCATGATATTCTTTAACTAAATCTAAACTTTAATATCCATTGAAAGCTTTCAAAAATTTATTAAATCCAATATTCTTTAACATTAAACATAAGGTTTCATGATTGAATGGCTCATCATCAACTACTAATACATATTTTTCTGTTTTTTTATTCTAATTTATACCTTAATCACCTGAGTTTATTTTTGAACTTGTTTTCTAACATTGTTAGAAATCTTTTGATTTTTTTAAGCATATAAATTTATTTCGTTTATGTGAATTAATATGTTTATTATTATTTGTTTATATTATGCTAGGAATTTATGCAATAGGCTCAATATCAATTATTTCTTACTATTACTATTGTAACACAACTGAACTACTAGATTTACAATTAAATTATCTTTGGGATAATTGTTTAAATTTAGATATTTTTGGACTTTATTAAAAATTTATTTTATTCAAACTTCTTATTGATTTCTATTTAATTAAGCTATTATTTTTAGATCTTACAAGAGAACTTTCAGATTGTAATTCTTTAGTATCACTTATAGAAAAAGAAAAGAGTAATTAATTATTTTATTAAATTCTCAATTACAATTTACTATTATCTCCACTTAGTAATTTAATTAATTTATTTACTAAATATAAATTTATTCCCTAATTGATACAGTTATCCACACATAATAATTTATTTGATTTGTTTTTGATATAATCATCTAATTAATTTAATTAATCTGTTAATTATAATATTTATTCCTCACTTAGACTTGATCCATCTTCAGTAATTGTAAAATATGTAATTTTATTAAATTAATCAATTTTAATTTCTAGACTAATACATCCACCTTCTTCTGTGTATCTATATGAAGTATTTAATAGATTGAGTAAAACTCGAATCAATTTATTAGAGTCAGTATTTATGCAAAAATACTTTGAATCAAATTTATCAAAAATTTAATTATTAATTTTAAATAGAATATCTATTTTTTTAATTTTACATTAACTTTCGATAAGATCGTATAATTCTGATAATAGAGATGATAAATTAGTTTTATTATTCATAATAGTTAATTGTTCAAATTCAAAAGACAAATAATCAAGTAAATCTTGGATTAAATATAATTATAATCTACAATTTAATAAAGCAGGCTATAGATAAGATAATTTAACTTATTCAATAATATTTTCATCTTCATTAGCTGTAATAAGATGTCCAAGTGTTGCATTTAAAGGAGTTTTTAATTAATGATTAAAAATATTAATTAGATTTAATTTATATTTAGAAATTTTATGATTTTACCAAAATGTAAATCCATTTTCTACTTTGATATAATATAAAAGATAAAAAGTATCTTTTTATAAATATTTAACTTGATATAAAACTTTTTAATTAATTTAAGGGTCATTCAAAACAATTAAGGTGTAATGTTATTGATTATTTTTGAGAAAAAGCAATAATTCTTTAGAAGATCTAAATTCCATTTTAGTTAATAATTAATTAGATTCTAATCCTTAGTTTTTAAAATAAAGTTTATAAAGTAATTATTATTCATGGTTAGATAATTAAATTTAATATGATTTTGGAGAATTAAAAATATTTTAAGTATTTTGTTATTTGTTTACAATAAGGGAATTTTTTGAAATAATTGAAATGTTATCGTAATTTCTATCGAATAATTAAAGAATGCAGTCTTATTTAAATTGTTTTAATAAAAGACGAATACACTAATTAAATGGTTTTTATTTAATATAAATGGAGTAGGTTTCAGATAACAATATAATGATTAGTTGAATACAATAATGTTCTTTAGTTTTGAAAGTCAAATTCTATAGAGAATCAACATAATATAATAGGATTTGAATAGAAAACAAAAAAAGGAAAATAATTGATTAAGTGCCAATCTTTTTAAAAAGATATAATACTGGCCAAGTAAGATTTGGTCCATATAAAGTAATCTCTTTTGCATAGTATAAAATAATAATGATAAAGGATAGGTTTTTATATTTAAGTAATAACATACTGACTAAGATAAAATGATATAAATACCAATATTAGAGAAAAGTAGAAAAATGGATAGTATAAGTTGAATAGAGGAGAAATCCTAAAAAGTGAAAGCAAAATCAGTTAACGATAATAATGTCAGAGTAATCGTAAGTCTGATTTGGTTGGAAATATGCATTTAATAAATAAATTTATATAATGTCATGTATTTAGACTATTCTTCTACCATTATGATTAATGAGACCTCAATTACTATTTTATTTAGAAGTATTGAAGAAAGGAGTATTAATATATGAGAAGAAATTGATAATGTAATTTAAAAGATTAACAGAAATAGAAAGTAATATATTTAATAGGGAAGAATGTTAAATCTGGGTTATAGTATTTAATAATCCAAAGGTTAGTAGAAAACATACCATAGTATTATAATCTAAGAATACAAATGAATTTTATATATATTTACACATAGAACATATGTAAATAATTTAATGATATCAACAAATTCATTATATAAATTAAAACTATATGATTAATTTAAGTTTATAGAGCATAAGAAAATATATTTTAAGTTTTCATTAATTGGAGAAAGAGATAAAAATTAATATATATATATATAATAGAATGCAAATATATATTATGATAATAATTCATATGTAAATGAACATATTTATAATAATAAGAAGAATTAGAGGTAGAGATATATGTGATTTGTAAACTAAAGTTTAAGAGGATCTAAATTAATAAGATTAAAATTATTTGGATTAAAAATTGTTTTATTTAAGGAGTGAATCTAAAATATTAATAAATTTGTAAAATAAGTGTATAAGAAGAAGTGTATATTGATGATTATATTTATATAACAAAGTTTTTAATGAAATCATTTATATTATAATTGTAATTAATTCATAACTTTTTATAATTTACCTACAAATTATTCGAGTTCTTCCTTAGTCATCTCAAATCTTATCTTTTTTTTATTAGCAATATTATCTAAAGTTTATAAATAAAATTCCACAATTATTGTAGGTATTTGTGATTTAGCAATTTTGTTTGATGATATTGTTAACTATATAGAATTAATATAATTTACATTCAAATTCCAATTATAATCAATTAATACATATTTTGATAATGAAATATGATTATATAATGCTTATTTACACATTCCTTTAAAGTTCTCACTTATTATTCTTGTAAATATCTAATGTTTTTCTGGATCTATTTATGATTTTAATTTGTCCAGTAGTCTTTAAACCTAATTACATAATAATAATGAATTATACTTCTTCCCTATTTTAGTTATTCATTTCTAATAAATACTCACTGAATTACTACATAAATTATTAAGCTTCTATAATAAGATTATAATGATTTATTTCAGGGAATTAACTTAAATATGGCAATTTTATTCCATGTACACAATCAGCCACAAGATCTTCAATAAATTTCTCAAATTAATTGTTATCTGTGAATACATTGAATACCTATGGTAAATTCATATAATTAATTATTTTATTATTATATCAATATATTATTAATTCAATGTATTATGGAGACCTATAATTAATCGGTTTAAAGTAAATGAAACAATCACAAAAAGAATAGACTTTGAAATATAAAAACAATAGAAATCAGAAATTATAAAGTAGGTTAGATTGTTTATTTGAATCTCTTGAGAATGTAGCATCAACCTCATCCTTGTATAATATACTTACAATGGTATATTTATAATTTTAATTTAACTTCATAAAAATCTATTACACTACTACTGAATATTTAATTCCATCTAATATTTTAGTTTTTGGTATAGATTTATCTGGTATATCTAAGATTTTGGATTATCTTAAAGAGAATTTATTATCCTTAAGATATTATGAAGTTATTTGTTTATATGATGATTTGAGAGAAAATTAAGTAAATAATTAATAGAATATAAATTTCATAGAATTTTATGACATCTATTGAATTATCTGGTCAATCTATTGGTTCTGTGACAGCAATTTTAGAAGCATATAATATTATCCAATCATGATTTATTAATTTTAAATCAATTTAAATCTAAATATCATTTATTATTACTGTAGTCCATTCTTTAATTTAACTTTACTCTTCTAAAAATTAGCAAATATTAATTATAAATTCCTAATAGCTATTTTAATTGCTTTTGGTGTTATGTCAAATTTAAGATTTCCCAAGAATTTTTATTTAATCTTGATGAATTAAATATCATTTGAATAATTCAAAGTACTGTAATTAATGCTTTTGATAAAAAAATATAAATTGAACTTAAAAAAGTAAAAAAATCTAACCAATTACTCATTAAATTAATTATCTAAAAAATTCTTTTATAAAGTGGAGATAGAAAAAGTAGGTAACTCTTTTTTGAAAAAAATGGATTATTGAAGTTAAATTAAAATTATATTAGAGGTTTTATGTTTAATTTTGATAATATAATGTTGAAATGTATTCTTATAAATAAAAATAAATTTCTTCTTCAATAAAAGAAAAATAAAGTTAAAATTAGTTTAGGAGTTTTAAGAAATCTTTAATAACAGCTTGATCTATAAAAATAAAGCTTTAATAAGTGGTTTTGTTTTTAATCAAATATGTTTAAACTTGAAGTATAAATATATATTAATAATAAATACAATGAATAGCTTTTATTCAAAATATAACGTTCCAAATCAATCAGAGTAGAAGTAAAACTCATCTCCTCCTTCATAAATAGCTCTTAATAATATTTAAGTATGCTTTTATTTAATTTTAGTAATACTTAGAAGACTACAGTCCCTCAAATCGTAAACTAAGTTTTTATGAAGATAAAAGTTAAGAACTAAAGTACTCACAACACATGTCTAGCTAGAATAAACTAAATCAAGATTTTCAGTGTGAATTTGTTAATTGTTAAGTAAGACATGTTAACTTAATCTTAATAATAGATGAAACAAACATAAATTAGTATTGATATCAAATAAAATTAACACTTAGAGTTTTAGTCTATTAAAGATGATTAACTGCTTTAAACAAATACTATTATTGAATCACCAACAAAGATTAATCCCGATGATTCACCGAAAAAAAATAAATTTAAGGCTTTTGGAAATTTACTACTAAGCATTAGAAGATTATAATAAAACATAGTTGAATAAATTTCAAATGCTGTATATTATATTTATATAATAATAAATAGGATTAAATCAAAGAAACTATGATCAAACATTCCAATATGACTAATGCGACTAAAATTCATCCAGAACCATCTTCAAGAGATGTTGAAAATGTTAATGAAATTTTATCAAATTTGAAATTAATAGATAGATTCATTTATTATTCTGAATAAGGATCATTAAAAGATATTCAAAACATGAAAAAATTATTATAAATCTATCCAAAAAAGTAAATTATTTTTATATTATAAAGACATTTGTATTGTCCAACTGATCCAAAACATATCCTCAATTCTTTTAATAAATTTGGATAAAACTCTTTGTATATCTCGTGTAAAAATGGAAATCTAGATGTTATTAAATTTTTATTAGATCAATAAGCGAATCCATTTATTAAAAGTAAAGTTTATGATAACTTTTACGAATCTCCTTTAGAAGTCTCAATAAGATGGAATCATTTCAATTGTGTTTAATTATTACTAGAAAAATCAAATTATTCAAATAAAGAATTAAAAGCAGCTGCTCAATAAACAAATAATCCCTAAATCAAATAACTTATTAAATAAAATCTCAAATCAGATACTCTATGCTGTTTTTGATTAATAAATAATAAATATATATATATTTCTCTTTTTATTAAATATAATCATTCAATCTAAATTTAAACTCCATAAAGCCCCACAAATACCTATATAATAAACTACTTCATCAAAAATTATTGAATCTATGATACAATCATTCATTAATATTGGTTTCTAAATTGGCTATAGACTAGAATCAAAGAAATGATGAACTTGCTTAAGTACTTAATATTCCTTTTTTGTATTAAATAATTAGCATGTTGATTAATATATTTGCATTCTTAAATGTTCAGAATTATCTATAGGAGAATGTATTTTCTATATATAAATATTTAATATATACTTTATGTAATTTTGCTATTGTTATTCCATTGTTTTTATTTAATTTTAAATAGATTATTACAATTCCTGCATATTAAATTAATAATGTCAAAATTAATTATGAATCAGAATGTGTATCAATTTAAATCTAAACAATTTATTCATCCACAGTTACATTTTTATCTGGATATATAGCTTTAAATTAATCAAGCTTTTCAAATTTATTTAATGAATAGACTGTTACTTCATTCTAATATGTTAATATTATAATATCTTTTGACAACTTTATATTTTAAAATTTATAATTCTCTTTTATTTAATATATTTAAAAATTTTTCTATCCATCTTCATGTACTTACATAGTACAGAGTGAAGAATCCTCAAACAATAATACAACATATTATCCTTAAATATCTGCTATTTATATAACTTTTCCTTCTTCTTAAAAATTCTACATCAATTCAAAAGACTCTAATAAATATCTATAAACAGAAGTCTCAGTTATTAGAATGTTATCCTTTAACAATAATATTTATTCTTTATTTTTAGTAAAATTTGCATTCAAGAAATCTAATTCTTTTTCTTTTAATTATATTTTAGCTAAACTTAAATTATTTAACAAATAAAGTTCATTTTTATTACTTAAAAAAAGTTCATCATTTTAATTAATTTTTATGTTATATTCATTTATATTATCGATTCCTAAATATTTTTATACTCTCTATTACTACATATTTATTACATAGTTATTTTAGAAATTTTAAATACCTAAAACAATATTATTTAAACCAAATGGATTAATTATTTATTTTAAATTCAATTCACTATCAAACTTATAATATTATCCATTCTAACATATTACTTAGTATTCGTTAATAATCTAATCATAATTTATCAACATAGCTATAGAATTTAATTAATATGAATGTAATGGTTCTTCATTAATTTATGTTGTAAATGGAAATCTAAATAAATCTAATTAACAATTAAATCTACAAATTATTAGATTTTATTAATCTATATAATAACTACTTAAATCTAAATATTTATTTGATTAACCTTAAAATATTAGTTTACTTTAATCAACTTAATATAATTAAATATATCCATTTTCATTAAATATTGTTGCTTGATTTTATTAAAAATGTGATTTAATTTAAATTGCTTCTTATTCTATTTAATCACTCAATTATAATTTCCCATTTTAAATGTAATATAATTACAATTTTTAATCATTTGATAATAACAAGTACTAATTATCTAAAATTATAGAATTCTAAAAATAGCTTTAATAACCTAAAACTTGCAATTGTTTATTTTCATCATAAAGGAGTATTTGATTTACAGTAATAATTATCAGATATTGGTTAATTTAAAAAATTTGTTTGATATTCATTTTTTGATCAAAACTCTAAACAATCTATTTTTTATCAATATTTCTACATTCTTTAAGAACAAATGGTTAAGTATAATTATTATACTTTTTAATTGCATATAAATTATTTTGGAATTCAAAAATATTTATAGTGCTTGTAGGTAATTCTAATTAGGAACTTAAAAGGAAATTTTAATCAAAAATTGATATTCCATAACTTGAGACTATAATTAAGCATTCATTATCAAATAAATAACTTAATCTAACATCTTCGATATCCAGATTTATTAAATTAAGATGATTTGATTTTTTTTACTCAATTTATATGGTTATTAAGTCGATTTACCCATTTTCTTGAACTATTAGATATTTATGCTGATTAATTCCATATTCCAATACATCAATTATTCGATTTCTTATGAGCTAACTATAATTAATTATTTCTTTAAATGGATTTAATTAATAAAATTACAATGCTTTATAAGAATAAAGTACCATAATATTATTTGATACATATATACGAGATATGTTTGAAAATTGTTAAATTTGTTGATTTTAAATTAAACAAATTTCTTATTGTGAGAATTGATCATATTTAATTAGTTTTTTTGTTGTATAATAAAAGATTTAAGCATTATTTTTGATTTCATTAACACTCAAAACTTTTGCTTCCTTATTTTAAAATTCTGAAATTGATTTACTTTTCAAATTAATTTAAATCATTCCCTAAATGTAATCTGATACATAAAGTATTCCTTCCACATAATATAATTTATATGGCATATTAATTTTGTTTTTAAAACTCAATGAAAAAGTGACTCCAGTCTAAAGCTAGTATAATTCAACATGCCCATTCTCATATAATATAGCAATTTGAAATATATTTAATGGATAGTGAATTGACAGAGCATCAAGTATCTTATCATTAACCTAATAAATTGTATTTATATTATTTTCTTTTAGTTGTACCAAAGAATATTCTTAAACAAATATTAACTCTTAATTATCTTCACTATTTTTGTTTTAGAGGATCTTTATTATTTGATTAGGTTATTTTATTTGTTTCATTATTAATATTATAATATATATATATATTAATTAAAATTAATAAATAATTCATTAAAATTACAAAATGCTCAAATTAAATCAAAGTTTGTTTTGCTCAAAAATAAGTTTAAATTTGTTGCATTTTGCTCTCATATACATTATTATTTAAAAGTATAAATTAGTATAGTTAGATATTATTTCTATAGCATTAAAAAAAACAAATAACATAATTACATTATTATTATTTAAAATTTTTAAGATCATGAAGGATTTTAAGTAAAAGGATTATGAATTACTTAATAATTGATTAGAGAAATTAATGAAATATTAAAGTAAGTAGATATAATTTGATAAAATTGTTGTACCTTTTTTGTTTAAACAAAGTGATTTCAGAAAAGGTAATTTTATTTAAAAATGGATTTTATGTAAAGGAAAGAAGATCTTTGGATTGTAATACATTATTAAATGTTATTAGATATTTTTAATACTTTCTGGAAGAATGAGAAATTATTATTTATTATAAATTTTATTTAAATATATAATGGGTAAGAAGGCTGCTCCTAAATAATAAGTGAATAAAAAAGCTGTAATAAGAAGAACAAGAACTATTTAGGCTTTAATAGAAGGCAATGAAAATATTGTACACTAAAAATTGGGTTAAACTAGAAGTTAAAGTAATGGTAAATATCTTCTTTATTAGATAGGTGTTTAATAAAAGAAGATAAATAAGTAGACTTAATAAGCAAATTAGAAAAAAGTAGTTACTGAAAAAGGAAAGAGTGTGCCTAAATAGAATTCAAAATAAAAAGAAGAGAAATAACCAATTAAAGATGATACTAAATAAAAAAAATAAGCTGAGGTTTAAGATAATAAAAAAGATACAGAAACAAAATAGAATGTTAAACAAGTATAAAAAAAAGTTATAAGTAAAAAATAAATTTCTCAAAAAAAAAGTACACCAAAAAAAGCTCAAATAAAAGTGAATGTAACTAAAAAAGTGAGTTAAAAGAAAAATGAAAAAGAAGTTAATAAAAGTGAAAAAAAGGAAGGAGAAAAATCTGAAGTAAAGAATAATGAAAAAATGGAAAAACAAGTAATAGATAAATCTGAGAAAAAAGATGTAGAAGAATCAGATAAGAAAGTTAATGATAAAAGTGAGAAAAAGATTATTGATAAATCTGAAAAAAAGAGTGAAAAGAAAGGAAGAAGTGGAAAAAAAGAATAAGAATAAGAATAATAATAAAAATAAGAATAAAAATAAACAGATAGTGCAAAGTTACCTAGAAGAACTGAGAGTAAAGCTGCAGCTGGAATAGTTGATGTAGTATTTTGTGTAGATACAACTTCATCTATGTCAATGTATTTAAATTAAACAAAAGTAAATATGATATATAAAATATAGAATACTGTGAAAGAAATAATAAAAAATATTAAAAATAAGGCTTAAAATGAAGATATCAGTGTTAAATTTGGATTTGTTTGTTATAGAGATCATCCTCCTTAAGATCATTCTTATATAACTAAGANTAATTGATTAGAGAAATTAATGAAATATTAAAGTAAGTAGATATAATTTGATAAAATTGTTGTACCTTTTTTGTTTAAACAAAGTGATTTCAGAAAAGGTAATTTTATTTAAAAATGGATTTTATGTAAAGGAAAGAAGATCTTTGGATTGTAATACATTATTAAATGTTATTAGATATTTTTAATACTTTCTGGAAGAATGAGAAATTATTATTTATTATAAATTTTATTTAAATATATAATGGGTAAGAAGGCTGCTCCTAAATAATAAGTGAATAAAAAAGCTGTAATAAGAAGAACAAGAACTATTTAGGCTTTAATAGAAGGCAATGAAAATATTGTACACTAAAAATTGGGTTAAACTAGAAGTTAAAGTAATGGTAAATATCTTCTTTATTAGATAGGTGTTTAATAAAAGAAGATAAATAAGTAGACTTAATAAGCAAATTAGAAAAAAGTAGTTACTGAAAAAGGAAAGAGTGTGCCTAAATAGAATTCAAAATAAAAAGAAGAGAAATAACCAATTAAAGATGATACTAAATAAAAAAAATAAGCTGAGGTTTAAGATAATAAAAAAGATACAGAAACAAAATAGAATGTTAAACAAGTATAAAAAAAAGTTATAAGTAAAAAATAAATTTCTCAAAAAAAAAGTACACCAAAAAAAGCTCAAATAAAAGTGAATGTAACTAAAAAAGTGAGTTAAAAGAAAAATGAAAAAGAAGTTAATAAAAGTGAAAAAAAGGAAGGAGAAAAATCTGAAGTAAAGAATAATGAAAAAATGGAAAAACAAGTAATAGATAAATCTGAGAAAAAAGATGTAGAAGAATCAGATAAGAAAGTTAATGATAAAAGTGAGAAAAAGATTATTGATAAATCTGAAAAAAAGAGTGAAAAGAAAGGAAGAAGTGGAAAAAAAGAATAAGAATAAGAATAATAATAAAAATAAGAATAAAAATAAACAGATAGTGCAAAGTTACCTAGAAGAACTGAGAGTAAAGCTGCAGCTGGAATAGTTGATGTAGTATTTTGTGTAGATACAACTTCATCTATGTCAATGTATTTAAATTAAACAAAAGTAAATATGATATATAAAATATAGAATACTGTGAAAGAAATAATAAAAAATATTAAAAATAAGGCTTAAAATGAAGATATCAGTGTTAAATTTGGATTTGTTTGTTATAGAGATCATCCTCCTTAAGATCATTCTTATATAACTAAGATTTAAGATTTATGTGGAGAAGATGAAATAATAAAATTTATAGATTAATAAGATGCTTAAGGTGGAGGAGATACACCAGAAGCTGTATTAGATGGATTATATGATGCAGCAAAAAAGATTGAATGGAGAGATGCTAGTCATACACCTTCTTTAAGATATATCTTCCATATAGCTGATGCTCCTCCTCATGGTAAAGAATTCTATGATTAAGATTATTCATGGCCAAATGGAGTCCCGTATTATTCATTTTATATTCTAGATCTGGAATCACTCTTGATAAAGTTACTCATGTTATCAATATCAGAGAAATTCATTATAGATTGATTAATGTCAATAAAACTAATTTATTAGAAAAAATGAAAAAATTATTTAAGGAGAAATTTACTAATTATGAAGAAGCAGAATTGGAAAATGCTAAAGATATGGATTTCAGAGTTAGTGATATGATTATCAGAGAATTATTACCAGATGTCGATTATAATGATTGAATCTTCATTCCAATATTTTTAAATATTTTTAGTTAAAAATACGTATTTTTATCATCTCTCTCTATAAAACATTTTGTAAATCATTTTTTTAAATTGTCTCAATATAATAATATAATTATTTCTAATTTAAAAGTAATCGAAAATTCATTAAATAAAAACTTACTTTATATTCATTAACAAATATCTATCAAATATTTACAAATTCCAAAAACATTTAATAAAAAAATTAAACACCAATATCCATTTTTTTTTATAAATATATTTTCAATTCAAAACTCAACTCTAATGATTTCATTATATAAATTTATAATTTATTTAAATGGGAAATTTGTGTCTTAGAAAAAAAGAAAAATCATAGTAAAATTAAGTAATCTAATTTTTTAAATTAAGTACAATCTTAGCGATGAAAATCATATCACTTACACACCAGCCACATTAGATGAATTGGATAAAAAAATTAAAATTGAATCATAAGGTATGTTCAATTACCATATTCTAGATGACAACAGTTCTGGTATCTTTATAACTTATTTTTAGAGGCTTTGATTTCGAATATGGATAGTAAATAGGATTAATTTGAATAAGGGTAGAATTAAACTTCAATTCAAATATATAATCATTTTGATAAAGATGCTGAAACTCTTCAAAAATAAGGTGAATTGGCTAAAGCAGAATTACAAAAAATGAAAAAGCAGGTAAAAAAATGTAATATTTTTAGTAAAATGATAGTGCTGGTTTTTAGTATGATTAGTAATTAAAATAAAACCTGTTTAGTAAATAGGATGACTCAGAAGATTCAAGATTATGTAAATAAGAAGAAAGAATTTAAATAAAAGAAGGAGATGAGACGCATGTTAATAAGTAAAATCAAAATAATAAAATATAATTAGATATGAATAAGAATAAGAAGCTGAAAATATGAGATTATAATAAATAGAAGAAGAGAGGATTAGATAAGAATAATTAGCTGAAAAATTACGATTAGAATAAATAGAACAAGAAACAATTAAATAAGAACAAGTTGCTGAAGATTCAGGATAAGGATATTTTGATGAAGAAACAGTGGAATAAAATTTAGATTTTAATCAATTATAGCATCAGACTGAAAATATTAATTTTAAATTTGTATGGTAGTTTCTAATTAATTTAACCTAGGACATCAGGAGGGAATAAAATATTCTTAACAGGAAGTTGGTTAAATTGGACAGATTAATTAGAGCTAATACAAATAGATGATAGGTATTTTTAGTTTGAATAAAAGATTCGAAATTGAATTGGAACTACCTAAAGGAATTCATGAATTCAAATTTATTGTAGATGATGAATGGAAAGTCAGTGATCAATATGAATACAATGGTTAAAATAATTAAATAAATGTTTGAGTAGAGATTGAATTAATTTATCAATAATATCAAAAATCGATTATTACAAACGATTACTTTATGATTTAAGTATTAAATTTAAAGATTTTGTTCATTGAAATTGCTAATTTATACATAATTTAATGAATTAAATGTGAAAAATGTTAATAGTATATAATTTGTTTTGTTTAAATTAAAGAATTTGGGTACATAAAATCTGAATAAAATTTCTTTGAAATAATCATAATTAAATATAAATAATATCTAAAAGAATGAGTTTTATAATACCAAATTTGTTTTGCGAAGCTCATAAGAAAACTCAGATCACATTATTAAATTTAACAGTGGGTAATAAAAGGGACTAAAGATTATTTTGTTATAGATGTAATATCCGTGCATAATCAAATTTATATTGTTTAGAAGATATTAATGAATTAACAACCTCTCTGAAGAAATCTGAGAATGAAAATATTAAAAAGATTTAAGAGGATACGAAAAAGTTGAATAAAATAAAGATTTATATAGATTAGATATAAGAAATGTATAATAAATTAGAGAGTGATCATTAGTAATTACTTAATTCAGTAATAGATAATCAAATAATAAAACCAAATGATGATATAGATGTTTTCTTACAAAAAAAATCATATTGTACCAAGCAGGAATTGATAATGATGACAGAAAAGGTGAGTAATATAATAAAATAAAATAGTGATAAATTAGAATTATTAGAAAACTATTCTATTAAATATTTAGATTAACATCAATAATAAGAAGAGAATATAAATTATCTATATGTTTAATTATAATGGGCGGAATAAAAATAAGTGGGATAAAAATAGGAGATTGTTAGTGAAATATAATAGTAAAATTTTGAATAAATAATTCCTGAAATAGAATAAATGTAGGATTAAGGAGTTTAATAATTTTAGGAAAAAGTAGAGATATAATTAGAGTAAACAAGGATATATGATATAAAATTTAATACAGAAAATAATATATTTGTAGTTGGAAGTTCAAAATTATCTAATAGTAATTGTTATGCATAGGTATGGAGATTTGAGAAAGGTTAAGCATCATGGATACAAGATTTAGAGAATAGTCATTAAAATGATATTAAATCAATATGTTTTTTGAATTCTGATGATTCATTTTTTACAGGAAGTCAGGATAGTTCAATAATATTTTGGAAAAAAGAACATTAAAAATGGGAAATAGGATAAGAATTAGCAGGTCAATAAAATAGTGTTATAGGTTTATAATTGAATAGTGCAGGGAATATATTAGCTGCTATATCTAGTTAANTTAAATTTAAAGATTTTGTTCATTGAAATTGCTAATTTATACATAATTTAATGAATTAAATGTGAAAAATGTTAATAGTATATAATTTGTTTTGTTTAAATTAAAGAATTTGGGTACATAAAATCTGAATAAAATTTCTTTGAAATAATCATAATTAAATATAAATAATATCTAAAAGAATGAGTTTTATAATACCAAATTTGTTTTGCGAAGCTCATAAGAAAACTCAGATCACATTATTAAATTTAACAGTGGGTAATAAAAGGGACTAAAGATTATTTTGTTATAGATGTAATATCCGTGCATAATCAAATTTATATTGTTTAGAAGATATTAATGAATTAACAACCTCTCTGAAGAAATCTGAGAATGAAAATATTAAAAAGATTTAAGAGGATACGAAAAAGTTGAATAAAATAAAGATTTATATAGATTAGATATAAGAAATGTATAATAAATTAGAGAGTGATCATTAGTAATTACTTAATTCAGTAATAGATAATCAAATAATAAAACCAAATGATGATATAGATGTTTTCTTACAAAAAAAATCATATTGTACCAAGCAGGAATTGATAATGATGACAGAAAAGGTGAGTAATATAATAAAATAAAATAGTGATAAATTAGAATTATTAGAAAACTATTCTATTAAATATTTAGATTAACATCAATAATAAGAAGAGAATATAAATTATCTATATGTTTAATTATAATGGGCGGAATAAAAATAAGTGGGATAAAAATAGGAGATTGTTAGTGAAATATAATAGTAAAATTTTGAATAAATAATTCCTGAAATAGAATAAATGTAGGATTAAGGAGTTTAATAATTTTAGGAAAAAGTAGAGATATAATTAGAGTAAACAAGGATATATGATATAAAATTTAATACAGAAAATAATATATTTGTAGTTGGAAGTTCAAAATTATCTAATAGTAATTGTTATGCATAGGTATGGAGATTTGAGAAAGGTTAAGCATCATGGATACAAGATTTAGAGAATAGTCATTAAAATGATATTAAATCAATATGTTTTTTGAATTCTGATGATTCATTTTTTACAGGAAGTCAGGATAGTTCAATAATATTTTGGAAAAAAGAACATTAAAAATGGGAAATAGGATAAGAATTAGCAGGTCAATAAAATAGTGTTATAGGTTTATAATTGAATAGTGCAGGGAATATATTAGCTGCTATATCTAGTTAAATACATTTGTGGACAAAATTAAATTAGTAATGGGAAAAAGGATAAGTTTTGAATGATTGTAAAAAGTAGTTTTTATGTTTGAGTTTTAATAATGATGATTCTTATATAGTAGCAGGAAGTTCAGATTGTTAGATTTATATTTATTAATATTAGAATGGTAAATGGATTTTGAAAAATAAGATAACGGATTAATCCTAAGAAGTTACTTTTGTAACATTTTTAGACGAATAGAATATAATGGGATTATTAAAGGATAATCATTTAAATTATTATGAATGGTCTTAAAATAATACATATGAATAAAAATTGATAGCTAAGATTTCATCATATTAAATTGGTTATTCTAAGAAGAAAAGAACATTAATAGTTTCATCAGGTAAAACAAATGAAACTTAAATTTATTAATAAGAATAGTAAGGAGAAATTAAAAGTATTTAATAAATTTAGGTAAAAAGTGAATAAGTATATTAATCAAATGATGGATGTTTAATTGCAATATTAACAAATTAAAAATTAAAATTTTATTAATAATAAAAAAACGAGTATTGAAGTGGATGTGAATTATAATCGCATAGTTTATCAACATTAAATTATAACAATATATAGATAATCAATTATTCTTCTTTCTTCTTTATGCTTTAATTAACTAGAGATAATTTTTATAAATATACTTTTCTAGAAAATTAATTTCCATCATTTGTACTAATTCTAACATAAGACATGAGTTCATTTAATTTAGCAACAATTTAATCATCTAATTCTTATTTAAGTTATTCTATTCCGAAGGCATAACTAAAAAATGAAAAAAGATAATAATACTGTTATTTAATAGCAAATAGAGTGCTTTTGAATTCTGAGTATTCATCTTCCTTTACTATAGGACTTAAGAATTATTCAATTTATTATTAAGCTTCACTAATATCATCTTAATCACTTAAATCATCATCTTAATCATCTTCTTCATCAAAATCTTCTCCATCAAAAGATCTAAACCAATAAAAATGTAAAATACCTATTTAATTTCTTTTTTTCAATCTCTTTTTCATATTAGTCTTATTAAAATAAATTATTGACAACTGTAGTAATTAATTTAGATGTTAATAAACTAGGTTATTTATTAATTAATGATGACATAGTAATAACAAATAATTTAATGTCATAACCTGGAGAATATTAAGTATCAAGAACTTAATTATAAACAGCTGAAAACATTCCTGCTAATATTTCAAAAGTCAATTTTGGTACAGCATATAATGCACTTAATATAATTCCAGTTATTCTAGATCTTAATAGACCATTTAATTCTTTCTTAGATATCATTGCGACTGTTTAATTTAATATTGTTTCTAAAATAGGTTACTTCAAATCTTATTTAAGTTCTTGAATTCCTAATTAAATTAATAATGCTCCTTCAGCTTATTCAATATCTTCAATTAATGAATCAGATTGTAAATGTTAAAAAGCTAAATTAAAAAATATTTATTAATATCTTTCATCCACAAAATTACTTCTACCATAATGAATATAATAATTTAAAGTCTCATATAAATTACCTAATCTACCATGTTACTTCTATATAACATTCTAAAAAAGTGGTAACACTTACATTTACAATGGTGTTACAAATGATAACTTTTATATACACAAAGATATAAATAATATCAAATCCTCATCAAAATCTATTTTCTCACAAGTAGCTAACATTTAATAGAGTTAAGTTATGTTTTATTCTAATGTAATTAATAAGTGTTTAAATTCATCCTGATCTCCCAATTATCTAATTATATTCCAACATCTATTTAAATAAATATGTCTTTGATTATCTCCTTAATTTATTTATTCTTATTCATATATTATTCTTTAAACTAAAATTTACACTAATCCAATTAATAACTATTCTTTTTATAGAAATACTTATGGATACTTTTTTACCAGATTTGTTATCATTTCAAAATGTCTCTCATATATACTAAATTTCAAACCATTACATAATTATGGAAATACTATTCCCACTAAATTTTTGGTTTTTTCTTTCAATTCCTCATCTTCAAACACATCTTTTAATGCATCTATTGCTTAATACAATACTACAGGCTCTGTTGGTTCAACAAAATTTATTAAAATTTATAAATACATTAGCATACTCTAAGATTATATATCCTTTTTAAATAAATTATCACAGTAGTAACCAAAAAATAACGAAAATCTTACTTTTATTATCTAATGTTAAATATTTTAGAAAAATGATGAGTTATCAACTAAAAGTTATTCCATCAAATTCACTATATCAAATCTCTTTTAAATTAAATAACTCATTATTGTTAGTACAATTAAACTACTTTCAAGTCTATCTACAGCGTTATATTCAGTAAATAGTTTTCTATTATTAAAAAAATAATTTACTTTTCCGACATCGCTTAAATAAATGTTTATTATTAATCTTTCAATGGAACAGGTTTATTTGATATACTATTGATTGAATGTTATGATAGAATAATAGCAAGATTAGCCAAGAATGTTGTAGATCCATCTATATGATCACATAAAGTTTCTAACAATTATGCTGCAGCTGTTTTAGGTATGTCTGATTCTTATTTATCAACAGTATCAAGAGCTAAATTAACAAAGTCTTCAGGTTCTTCTTTCATTTTAATGTATTCATTTTAAGATGTAATTAAATAAGGATATATTACCTCTGTTATTAAAGCCACTTTAGAATCTGAAAATAATTAATATTGTTCTGTCTATTATCCTAAATTTGCTAACAATTTAAGAATATATGTAATGACATTTTTTAAATAGGGCTTACTAATAATATTTATTTAAATTTACTTTAATATTGCACTAGTTTACTCGCTGTTTGTATAAGTCAATATAGAATATAGGAGAAGTTGAGTAATTGGATTAATATAAGGACCAAATGATCCTTTTTTAACTTCAGTCTTATTACGAGTATTAAGCAATATTTAAAAGGTTATCATATAAGATTTCAATATATAAAATTTAATTTCATTCATTTTGTCATCAAATATCTTATTACCAGTATTAATAATTATAGAATTTAAAATTTATTGTCCTAATTAAGGAGAATATTAAAGTAATAAAATTAAGGAACCAGAAAATGAATTTAATGAAAATAGAATATTTAAAATTGGTTGTATTGGTTCTCTTGAGACATTAGATTATTATTATATTTTGTCACATAAATCCTATATTGATTAAGCAAAGTATTTCATTGTAATAATAAATTCCTCTGATAATTCTTTTGGTTAATCTTATAGAACAGCCATAATTAAAACGCATTTATTAAAATATTCTGTAATCCAATCATAACTTATTGGCATAGCATTTGGATAATTTGAAAAATTCTAAAGTTCAACAGAATCCACCAAAATCTTAAAAAATAAAATTCCAGTTTATATTTGCCATTATTAGTCTCCTTATATATATTCTTTCATTTTATTCTCGATTTCTGTCTTTACACCTAAATTAAATTGATAATTATACTTTTATCTTTTCTTAACATCTAACTTAATGATTAAATGAGAGATTGCTTATATTTTAAAGGCGTTTTCTATGAAGTAACTATAGAAATTAAAGAAGTAGCATGTTGGATTGTTAATAAATCTAATATTATAAACTTTTTATTACTTGTATTTTTATTTAGCATTTTCATAACTACTGTATTCAATAAATTACAAGCCTATTCTTACACTATCTATAAATAATAAATATATACTTTTATCTTATTATTCTGCTAATTAAGCAATAAATTAAAAATTCTAATAGTTTTCCTACAAAGAATTCACTAATGATTTTTCAGCTTAAATTCTAACTTAATTATCTGTATTGGTATATGCTGCGACTAATTGTTCATATATTTAGGAGGCCATCCTTAAATTATTATTTAAATTATTTAAAAAAAATACACAAAAAATTATCAACTTCATTACTCACAAATTAAAAATATGTTAATTTTAAATTTCACTTCATAAAATATTATTATATACATCACATTTTTTGGATTTCCTTCATTTTTATGATTTCCTATCTTGTATATCTTCCTTTTATGTCATATTCATTATATCATCAAGTTTTATTTATCAGATTGATTTTTTTTATTAATATCATTTTCGTTATATTTAGAATAATATATGATATCATAAATATCTATGCTTTCATTGAATTTTATAGCTTCTAAAAGAAAATATTTTCTCGAAAATGCTCATCAATCTAGAGAGCAAAATTTTTTAATTAGACAGTTTTATATATTTTGTCATCTAGTATTCATACCAATCCCTTTGTTTTATTCTTTTACTTTTCTTTTTGAGGGATTTTATGAATAATCTAATTATTTTACTTATTTGATTGCTATGAAAAAAATTAGCTTTCGTACTTTTTTCTTATTTTACTTATCAAAATAATACAAATATCATAATATTTCTATTGTAAATCAAATTCACTCTTATTTTTGTTTTTTTGAAGGAAATTCAGGCAAAATTGACCCATTAATAATAAAAATAAAATAATAAGCTAAAGGAGGATAATAAGAAATTTATTAAAATAACAATTATGAAAACAATATTTCAATAGTATTAAACAACAAAACCATAAATTATTAATTAAGAAGAACTCTAATAATTTATATTTAAGAGATATATTAAAAGCTGCATCATCAAAGGAGAATATCTAAAGATTTTTAATAGTGGATAATGGAGAAATTAAAGGTTCTTCAAGTTTAGATAAAGATAAAATTGATATAACAAAGTATTTAAAGTATTATCATAATTGATCAGTAATCTGGTCAAACTAAAATAAGATTCACTTTAGAGATAAATGATTAATAGGTTGAAAATATGTAATAACTTTAAGATTCTTTGGAATGGTTGTGTAATTCTCAAATTAATAAATTTATTTTAGCAAATTGAAAGAGATATCTAGAAATCAATTAAAGAATAAGCATTATTAATGAATTCCTCTTTATTGAATAATAGCATTTAGATTATATACAAGCAATTTAACTATAGATAGTAAAATAATGATCTAAAAACATCAAATTATTAACATTGGAGGAAATATTTAAAAATTTTAATGGAAGGACTTCAATAAATGAGTTTTTACAAAAAAGCAACATATAGTGTTATTAGAGATTATTAAAATAGAAAAATAGATAGTTGCTTAACAATTCAGTAATCTACAAGGAACGATTTTTAAAGTTGAACTTATTATTGACAAAAATTTAACCAATAAATGTTTCAATTTATGAAGGAGAATAAGAAGAATAAATGTATTTCTTTTAAACTTTTGATATTGATAAGGTTTTAGTTAATCCCAATAAATCTCATTTAGTAATAATTAGAGAACTATCTTTACCTAAATGAAATTAGGTAATATTATGGGTGGATAACAATTTTAAAACAATTATTATAGTGTTTAAGAATTAGAATGATAAAATACTAAAGTTTCTGTGCAATTCTTATAATAAAAAAATAAGAATGGATGATAAACTTAAAATCATCTTAGTTTATTGTAGTTAGTTATATGGTACAAATGGAAGATGGATAGACAAATTGTAATGAGGTATAGAATTATTAAGTCATTTATATTAAAAAATGAAATATTAAAATCACACATTGATTTTTTTGCGAAACATTGAAGGAAATTTGAAATTACTAAAAATCAATATTTTTGATGAAGTTTCTTAAGTTTGAAGGATTTAATCATTTTAAAATTATTATTCTAATATAAATGATTATCATTATAAAAGATAAAATTAAATTTACATTAAAATGAACTTCTTCTTTGTAGAACGAATGTAATTATTTATTTATTGGTAAGTGTTTAAAGTATTTCGTCATTAAATTCAATAAAAATAACAATTTTTAACAGATTTCTGGTAAGAGTTAAGTTTTAAATGAAAATAAACTATCTTTCAATAAAATAATACTTATTAAAATACTATTAATTCTTATAAAATAAAATGTATTGACAGTAAATTATATAAAATTTTAATTAAATAATCTTTAATATTTTACTCACCTCCTCCATTACTGGTTGCTTATTTTTATTTTACATATAGCTGGATAATTACTTTCAAAATTTTGATATAGTATATTGATTAAATAATTAATGTGTAAATAAACCCTTTATATTGACATAAATCATATTTATTTTGTTCAAAATTTTCCAATATGTGTTATCATTCATTTAAAATTTATAGATTTGTATGAAATTATGATTAAATAGATAGACTCAATTAGAAAATACTTCTTTTACAAATAAATACATACAGGTTAAGTATGTTGATAGGATTATAAAAAGAGAAAAAAAATTATTATAAAAAAATAAAAAATTGTTAAGTAAAATGAAATCATTATCTGCTCCGAAATATAATTAATACAGAGTTATAAATAATAGTTTCAGTACTCCTGATCAGAAGATAAATAAAGTATGCGTATGAGTTATATAAGAGTAGGTAAAATACTTAATCAACTAAGAAGTTAAGTGGTGAAATGATGTCGGTTTAAAGTTATTTATATGAATAATCTCATATAAAGGAAGAAGGTTCAAAGAAAGAGATAATAAGACAAATAAGAAATGTAATTGACAATCTAGAGAAGAGTAAAAGCTTTAAATAATTAAATTAATAACTTTCAGAATTGATAGTAGGACTAAAGACATGCATTAATTAATAGGAAATATCAAGTTATATAATTCAATTAATTGAAATGATAAGAGAACTTATTAATAATAATTAAAACTAAAAGTAATTTGAATATGATAAAGAGAAATCAATTTTGAGATAAAAGATTCATGTATTAGAATTAAAAGCAAAAGAAAATTTATTTTAATTAGGTATCTATTATATATATATTTCTATTAGAATTAGAAATGTAAAATAAAGAAGCTGAGGAGAGAATAAAAAATTATGAAGTTAAATTAATGCAAATAAAATAAATGAAAAACTAATAATAAATTTAATCTTCAAAAAAGTAAATAAACAATAATGAGAAAATGGAAATAAAAAATTAGATAAAATTAATGTAATCTAAAATTTTAACACTTTCAGAGAAAGAAAAGAAATTAATTTAATTAATAAAAGCAGTAAAATCTAGAGGAATTGATATTGAGCATATTTATAAAAACATAAATTAGGTTTCAAGTAGAAATAGTAAATTTAGTAATGAATAGGATAAAGAATAAGAGGTTTAAAATAATTCATATTCTGATTTTGCAGATATTTCTTAATTTGATATTGGTTAAAGCAGTATAAAAAGAAATCAAAAATTTTTATTAGATTGATATTTTTTATTTATATATATATATATATAAAGAGTTTAATCATAAATAAAATTTATTAACAATGTATAATTCCAGATCTTTATGTATAATTTAACAACTATCCTTATTAGAATAATAAATATCACCAAGTAGCGGAAGAATTTAAAAGATATCAGAAAAATTATCAACCATACAAATAGGAGTAGAGAATGAGAGATTCTAAAAACTTGAATAAGCTGAATAAAGAATCTAATAAGCTGAAGATGCATTTAATGAATTTTAAGAATAAATCTTTACTAAACTTAATGGACTTAGAGATCAAGTATTATTTTATATTATGTATAAGTTAGGAAAATTATAAAAATAAGTTGAAGAAGATAAATTAGCTAAAGAATAAGCTAATGAAACTAAAAATAGAGAAGTATCAGCTTTAGAGAAGAAATTTGAAAATGCAATTGAAAATGAAACTTAAGCTAGAAAAGAAGGAGAATCTAAAGTGTTACGTCTTTTAGAAGATAAAACAGCATTATTAAGAACAGAAGTTTAGAAAGAAACAGCAAGTAGAGTTGATGCAATTGAAGGAATTCATTAAGGATTGTAAAATGATTTACCAAAAATTTAAGAAGCTATAAGAAATGAAGCTAATGAAAGAGATGAGTCTGATTAAAATGTATAAATTTGACCATATATTCTTAGGTCATGAAATCAATTACTGATGAACTTGTCAAATTAAGTAATTTAATTAATGTAGAAAAAAGAAATAGAGATGAAAGTGAATAATCAATATTTGAAATGTTAAAAGATATTGTTAATAGAGTCAAAGTAGAGTTGGACCAAGAAAAGAAAACAAGGTAAGTTTTTCTTTTAAATTTTAATTAGGGAATAATCAGAAGAACATCTCTTAAGTCTATTAGAAGATACATGTAATAAATTAAGTATTGCAGCAAATCTATGATCAATATAAATATATTAAATATTTAAAATTTATTCAACCATGTCTAAAGAAGTTGTAATAATATTCTTTATACACAAAGAGATCTATTTCAGCACATGAACCTATCATTAAGTATTCCAAACTATTAACACAAAGAAAGTAATTCAATTTTCTTATCTAGTTATTTGAATCCTTCCAAATTTTGTCCGGAAAATGATTATCATGACAAAGAAACTCTCTATTTTTAAATCAAAGCTCTCAAAGAAGAAATTAATTCAATCAGAGCTGAAAATATTAAGTTAAAAACTAGAATTTTATAATAAGAAGTATTCTCTAAATTTTATTTATTAGAAAGAACTATAGAATTTTAATAAATATATTGAAGAATTGTAAATCAGATAAAATCCATTATCCAAAAACTAAGAATACATTATTTAATAGATCAAAAAATAAAATAAAGATTTATAATAGCAGTTATAAGAGAAATTAAGTATGATCGAATAAATGAAAAAAAACATTAAGGTTACTAAAATGCAAGAAACAAAAATTGAAAATTAATTATATAAAGAAGAAATAACTAAATTGAAAAAACTGTTACTAGATTAAGAAAACAGCACTAAAGAGTATTTATTCATTATTTATTTCAAGTTATTTAAATCAATAATCAATAATTAAGGATAATTTCTAAAAAACTTAGTAAGGTTTTATAAAATAACAAATAGAAATTAATGATTTGAAATAATAATAATAAAATGATAATTAGAAAATCATTCAATTATAAGTATTATTTTAAGTTTAAGTAGAATGAAGTTACAAAATTAAGTCAGATTAAAATAAATTTAGAAGATAAAATTAAAAGAATAACTACAGAATAAAATAAAAAAAGTTCAACAAATTCTTTTAGGAGTAATAAACTTTAAGCAACAACTGAAATATCTTGCACTCAACTTAAATAAAAAACTTAAGAAGAACTTTAATTTAAATTAATCATAAGAGGTATCACATACGAATAGTTTGCATAAATGATATAAGAATTAAAATAACAAGCAATTAATTTAAAAAAATAAATTGAAAAAGAAGATATAGAATATATATTAAGTTAAGAACCTTTTAGTCTAACTTAGGATAGGATTTAAGAAGTAGTTAAATCATTATTAGTATCAGGAAATAAATTAGCAGATTCTCTATTAAATTAAGTAGGAAAGTATAAAACATTTTTTGATTATCCTGAATTCAAAATTGAAGAAGCAGAGAAAATAATAAAATAAACTTTAAAATAACCCGACTTAGCTTTTTATTTATAAACAAAGCATAACTAAATTTGGAATAAAGAAGATGTTTTTTAGATGATAAAATAACTAAAAATTACATGGAGTGAACCTGTTTTATTATTTTACATCCTTAATGTATTTAATATAATTAATTATATAGTTATTTGAAAAATCTGGTTAAATGCTTGATTTTAAAAGTGATTTTATAATTGATCCATTTCCATAATTAGTAGAAAAGGAATCCTCAAGAATAATAGAAGAAAGTGATGAAGATTTATTTGATTAACACTCAGATAAATCTTAAAATGTTTAAATTTAAGATACTGATTAATATATAACATGAAATTTAAAATACTTACTTTATTTACATTGAATCACTTTTTAGAATATGTATTTTCAAGATGCATTTTCATAGTTGCTAAGGGATTGTCTTAAAATGGTTTTATTTGGAATACTTGTTTCATTCTTATTTGATCTTCCTTCAACAACTTGTTTCTTAAATGGCTTGAAGTACCCTTATTCTTTTCTAATTCTAATTACTTTTATTTTTCTTAGTTTTGCTAATCAATTAATTATAAATTATTTTTCAAAGAATCTAATATAAAAGTCTATGGTTCTTATTTCTATTTTGTAATAATATATTTATCCAACAACTTTCATATTAATTATATTGTACTTTCTTTTTTAAAAGTTTTTATTTTTTTAGCAATCTTTCCCTTTAACCTTTGGTTGACGTTTTTGGAATCTGAATCTGTTCTTCCATATTTTTATTGAATTCTTTAAATATTTCGATCTTCTTTTGTGTATCTGTTTAAGTTTAAGTTTTAATTTGATTTAGTTATTGTACTTTCTTTTTTATTTATTTTTGTTTAGTTTATTCACTAGTTTATTTTATCACTTTCTTCTTAATACCTCTAGGTTTTTCAACATCCATATCACCTTTAAAAGAAACTTATTTCTTTTTATTTAGCTTTTTATCCTTCTTTAAATCTTTATCTTCTTTTTCTATCTAAATTTTACCCATATAATAAAATATATTCAATATTTGTTTTAATGATATTATCTAATTTATTTCAATCCTATTTTACTAGTTGTAAATGTGATGTAGAAATATTTATTAACTAAAATAATAATTAATAACAGTAATAGAATAGAATTAAAGCACTTTATAGTATAGAATATATTAATATTATTTTTAAATAATAAAAAATGAGTTCTTAAATAAAAATACCTTAAGGTTTAGTACCTAAGATTCTATGTTAAAAAGTTAGTTGTTTAGAAAAAGAATAAAAATCAATAAAAAAAAAACAAGAAGATAGAGAAATATTTATTTGTAATTTATAAAAAGGAATTGAAGATGAATTTGTAACAAAGTGTAAAAGGTGTATAAATACTAAAGGAAAAAATTAAACAAAAGATTGCATGATAAATTTGGAGAATTTATATTTAGTGTTGAAAAACTAAAACCAACTTGAAAAAGAAATTTTAATAAATTTGGAAGAATTAGAAAAAAAATTAAATATTCTAGTTGAAAAAGTCAATTAAGAAGTTTTTAGAGTTTAATCAAATATAAAGGAGATAGGTTAAACAATTAGAAGGATGATTTTAATTTAATAAGAATCTGATATATAAATGTGCTTAAATGGAAAATAATAAGCCACTCGAGAATAATTAATAAAAATGATAAAAGAATTGAGAGAAAAAATAATAATTGTAAGTGAAAATTAAGAATTAAATTAAGATTAACTAAATATTATTTATGATAAAGGAACAATAATTATAGATGATTTTCTTTAAAATAAATTAGCTTAAATGTCATCTAAATTTCATAGTTTTGAGAAATTAGTTTCATAAATAAATGAAAATGAATTTTATGATAATCAAATACAATATGAATAACTAAAATAAAATTATATAGAGATAGGAAAAATATAGAAGATTGATTGTAGAAAGATTTATAATTTAAGATTTAATAGATCGAATAATTTATTTGCAATAGGATCAAGTTTTTTAGATGAATAAAAGTCATAATGTGTTAAAATATGGAAAATTGATACTAATATTGTTGAGATTGCTGTACTATAATAATATCCTGATGTTACAGCATTATGTTTTAATGTTAAAGATGATTCATTATTTACAGGTGGCTCAGATTCAAAACTTATTTATTGGTAAGTATAATAAGATGGAAAATATGAGGATCGAAATTTGGGATCTGAAATAAAAGGAAAAATTAATTGTATAGAAATCAACCAGAACTCCAAAGTTTTGGTAGTTGGAAGTGAGGAACTAAACATTTTTATAAATGATGGATAGAATTGGGAAATAAGTAATAAATTCGAAAATTTAGAAGTTAAATCAATTGCTTTTTCTAATTGTAATCAAATTATAATAGCTTATTGTTTTATTAATTAATAATATGTAGTCTAATTATATTAAATTTAAAAGACAGGTAAAATATCTATTATTTAAAATTTGACAGAATCGATTAGTTCTCTATAAATTTAGCCTATTTAGAAGACAAAATTTATTTTTAATAATTAAAAAAATGAGATTAGCATATTTTGTTTGGACAATAATGGTATTTAATAAATAAATGATGATTCAATACTGAAATTGAATTAAATCTACAAACGTTGTATTGACAATAACATAACAAAAGATAATACCATTCTTTTAGCTTTTACAAAATAAGTTAACAATAATTATTAGACACATATACTAAAAATTAATGAATAAAATTAAGTATTTTAATTTCAATTTCTACAATAAAAAGCATAGAAGTTATTTTTCTCAAATAATGGTTAGTTACTTGTTATTTGGGATAATGATAGTTTAATTGTCTTAAAGGATAGTTCTAAATAGGATTGAAAATTTATAATTAATAATATATACAAAATAAATATAAATTTGATAAATCTCATTATTTAAGAGATATAAAAATAGTTATTATCTATCTTCTAATATTTATGAAATAATACCTTTATTTTCATACTTTTATTTATCATATTTATTTAATTAAATTTGTTTTAGATATAAATATGAGATGCAACCAATAAAAAATTCATAAAAAAGAGAATTTAAAAAGGTTGGTACCAATAATATCTAAATTTTATCAAATATAAATCATAATTAAACAATATAATATCAAAAATACTATTATCACCAAAGATTATCTCTTAAATCAATTGCTACTATATAGAAATATTAAAAAATTAAGTACCATCTTAAAGAGAAGTAGAACTAAAGAATAAATAACTGAACAATCCTCACCTTCAATAAGTGATTATTATCATTAAATTTATATATTCACATCATTATAATAATTTCGAATGGTTTCTTTAATTTTGGTATATCTCATACTTTATCATTTTTATATTCAAAACTTCTAACAAATACCTAAAATAATCTACTGATTTTATGTTTAAAACTAGTAATGCATCAAATAATGATTTAGTTTTTTTACTTATTTTTATTTATTAATTTATTTTCTATAAAAACCAATTTCTCAAAAAATTTTTTCTTCTTTAGTTTTCTATTAAATGGTGATGATACATAGTGTAGAAAAATATAATGATAATAATTAATTATGAATTAATTTACAATTATATAAAAATATTAAATAAATTATTAAATTTTTAGATTATAATGCAAATATAATTCGAAATATGGAATTTTAAATCACTGTTAATTGAAAGGTTAAAATAGTATATAATGAAGTTTTTAAGAGCAGTATTTCCTTATAATAGCTTCTTTATTTAATTATATTTGAAAATTTTAAATACTGCTGGAGATGACCAAAATTTTAAAGTCAAAAGATTCTTGGAAATAAATAGTAAAAAATAATTTGATATGACAGCTTCAACTTTAAGTAACTTTGACAAATTTTTTTGAAGCTATAAGGAAATGTAAATCAAATAATGAATAAAAGGTTTTATTATTATATTATTCTAAACTAATTTTATCATTTTACCAAATGCAAATAAGCCAACTAAAAATTCCTATGAATTTTCAATTGAAAAATAAATTTCAAGCCCCAAACAATATATTCAGTCAGATCGAAACAGATTTAAAAATGATTAAAGAAAAGCATTAAGCTTCACAAATATTGTAAAGTACTTCCCACTAAAACTAAATGTATTAAGAAGTACTAGAACATCTTGAATATATGTTAAGAATAAATAATGACCAACATATTAAATTTAAATAGATTTAAATTGTAGCAAGAGATGATTAAAAATTGAGTTAAATTAAAATGAATCCTCCTTCTTAGATAAATAATAATAAATATAGAGTTACAATAAATATTCAAAATGAATTAATAAGAGAAGAATTTTAAAAACCATAAACCTATAAAGATTTTTTTCTATTTCTATTAGATAAATTTCCTTATTAATTAAAATCAAGTTTTGTGATTTTAGATTAAAATAATCAAATCTTTAAAATTAATTGGGATTAGTTAATTATTTCTGGAGCTAATAATAAAGATTTTTAATTCACTATATAATTACTAGAAAATTAATTAGAAAATTTACAATAATAAATTAAAGAATTAAAGGAATAGAATTAGTAACTATTAATAAAATAGAAAGAATTAATAGATTTATTAAAATAAAAAGAAGAGTTTTAATATTAAAGAAGTTAAATTTCATAAAAAAAAGATTCAGAATTATAAAAATATTCTAAATTAAAAAAGGATTCTGAATTAAGAAAAGATTTTGAATTAAAAAAGGATTCTGAATTAAAAATTGTAGAAAGTTAAATAAATTAAATTTTTTAAAAAGAGATATCAGTTTTAATGAAACCTCAATAATAAATGAATAATGAATAGTAATTGGTGATATAATATTAAATCAATAAGCCATAATTTAAAAATTAATCACAATAATCAAATAAATAATATTAAATGAAACAATCAGAAGAAAATAATTAAAATTAATAAGACACAATCAACGACTATAATAATAATATTTTCAAATCTTATAATCCCTAATTTAATCATTAAGATTCTAACTTAAAATTTTATTCAATAATTTCTGATCGATCTTCTTAATTGAAAAGTTAAATGTTAAATGTGTAATATAATTGTGAGTATTGTCAGAAAAAAGTGGAAAAACAATAAATAATTTTACAATGCCTACACACATATCATGAGGATTGCCTTAAAGAATTTTTTTAAAATTAAATATTATAAAAGAAACCTATATTAAATTGTTTGTGTAATAATAAGATCACAAATATAAATAAAATGAAATTTTTAGAAGATAGATTGTTATAATAATTATATAAGAATCAATTAAATGCTATAGAAGAGAAGTACTAAAATAAATTTAGAAAGTGTAATAAATGTCGATTTATGCATATAGAAGAAAAATAAATGTAATAATAGCAAAAGATTTGTTATTAGTGTGGAATTGAAGCCCATTATTGAATGGTTTGATATAGATTAATATAATTAATAATAAATAAAATTTACTCTATTACAATTAAAATCAATTTTTTATAATGATGAGAAAGGATATAGATGGTTATATAATAAATAGAACAAAATAAATAGGAAGGGGGGCATTTGCAACAGTATATGAATGCACAAAAGAAGGAATAGAAATGCCATTATGTGTTAAAGTAAAGAACGAAAAGTAATTGAATAGGAAATAAAATTAACTACTAATGATAATTATGATAAAGAGGCACTTTAAAGAGAGATAAGAATTTTAATTAATCTAATGAATACAAAACATTCTAATATCATCAAAGTGCTTGATATCTTTGAGAGTAAGGATTAGACAGTGTGTTTCATATTTATGGAAAAATGTTGTTAAGGGCATATAGAAAAGTTGATTAAAACAAAAATTTAATGTTGTCAATTGTTTACTGCCTAATAGATTATAGAGATGGTCACATAAATTATTTAAGGATATAGTGTTTTATATAAATCATCAATAATTCATAGAGACTTGAAACCCGAAAATTTACTATTAGGTAATGATGGTAAAATAAAAGTAAAATCTGTAAAGTATATTTAGATTTCAGATTTTGGTTTGGGTAAAATTTTAGAGAAAGAGACAAGGAATTAATTAATTATTCAATCTTAAGTAGGTACTCCATATTATGCTTCTCCTTAAATTTTGAATGATGGTAAATATTCATCAAAAACTGATATATTTAGTGTAATTTATTATTTATTTCAATTTAGTTAGGTGTCATAACTTATTATTTAATATATTTATAATTGCCATTTGAAAGAAGAAATTTATCTGAATTGATAAAATAGCAAGAATATTTATTAAAAGGGAAGGATATGATATTCCCTTCTATGAAAATTTAAGGTGAAAAATAAGAAAAGGATAAATTACTACTATTTTTGTCTAAAACTATCACTTATTATGAAGAAAATAGAATAGATTGGCCAGGAATATTTAAAATGTTTCTATCTCCTGAAGAATACATTTAATCAACAGCTTTGATTTAATAAAATTTTGAATCTACTGAACCTATTGAAATAGCCTCAAGTTTATTAAATGATAACACAGGATTAAAAAGAACTTATGAATCATATTAATCTTATCAAGTTAGAATGTTAATACATAATTTAATGGCAAGAGAAGAATTGGCAAAATAAGTATAGTAAAATTTATTTTGTTTGTAAGCAATATAAATAAAATTAGAAATAAATATAATTAAATTTTTGGCAATTAAGTGAAAAACATTTTAAAGGTTTCTCTATGTGGTTATTAAATGGCAATCAACTTAAATTAAATATATTTAATTTCTAATTAATATGATTAGATATGTAAATAAATTAAGTAGGTCTTCCAAGAGAATACTATTAATATAAACTGTGAATTCTATTTAAAGGACAAATATGAAAAAGTAGAATAACAGAAAGCAGAAGTAGAAAATAATTCTAAAAAAAATTAATAACAATTCAAAGTATCATAAATTGAGTAACATAGGAATCGATCTAAATGGTTCTTCAAGGTAGTGATGAATTTAAAGATGAAGATTTCAAAAAATTTAAGATTCTTTTATAGAAAGGAGAATATTAACCAAATTTTGAGATATATTCTCACTGGTATAAGTACTTTTACAACAAGTATGTTTTATCAAAAATGCAGAAATATTTAGAATTGGCCCAAGAATAAGAGACTTTGATGTTTAAAAGAAGATTTATATTTTAGGTTTTTTGCTTTGAGTAAAAAATTTATAGGATTAGAGAAGGAGTTTCCAATAAAGGACTTCTTTACTTTGGATCCATTATATATATAATATATGAATTCTGAAACAGATTACTTAAAATAATATATTAGATCAAATGCATAATAACAATAAATGATAGATTAGAATAGAAATGATAAATGATAACTTAACTCATAATTATTTTTACATTGTAGGAGTATTACATTCTTTAATTTTTAAAGTATTATCTGGTATTCTAATTTGTCTTGTTGAATTGTATTATCTTACCATGATACCTACATTACAATCCTCAGCAGTTGGATCTTCAACATTTTCGAATTAATTATTGGCAATTTATTTCAATTAACTATTAGTTAAAGCCAATCTATGTAAGTCTCTTGGTTTTCTTGGTTCTTATTTTAATGGTATATCTATTATTTAATAATTATAATATATTACCAGCTATCTCTCTTGAATTTTATTTTGATAATTTTGCACTATATTAACTAAATTTAGAAGCACCTACAATAATTGAAGATTTCCTCTGATCCTACCTATTCTAAGAAATATTTGAAGAGATTGACTCAGAAGAATTGAAATTTAAAGGAGATCTTTATTCTAATTCTTAAGTTCCAATTTTAATGGCATTTTTAAGTTCTGAATATCCCAATAAATTATTTTAGTACTTATCAATTTATACTTAGTATTCCTTGACTAATTATTTAAAGTAAGGATGTCTCATGCACTAATGATATAATTTTTAATGTACTTCTTATGAACTCAATCTATAAGAAACCTTCTTTTAAAGCATAGATTGAATAAGGTCTTACATTTAAATAGGTGCCAATTTAAAGTGATGTTCTTTAAAATCAATTTCACATTATTTGTTATTTTTGAGTATAGATTTTTGATCATTACCAACAAAAGGTGTATTTCCAGTCTTATATAAAAATATTAATAATTACAATTAGCAAGTAGAATATAATACCAGCACTAAAAACATCACATTTATCTGAATAGAATTCTGAACCATCAATATATTCAAGAATTTCTGGAGCAACAAATCCAGGAGTACCACATCTTTTAAATAATGGTTCTTCATCTAAATTAGTAGCCAATCCAAAATCTGCTAGAATAATTTCATAATTGTTTTCAGTTGATCTCAATAATAGATTCTCTGGTTTAAGATCTCTATGAATTATTCTATTTTCATGCATATGACTTAATGCACTTATTAAATTAAAAGCTAATTTTTGCATTGTTTCTGCTGGTAAAAAACCTAAAGAATATTAATTATAATTTTACCTGTTTCTCTAACTCTTTACAACAATTCTCCTCCCTAAATCATATCTAATACAAAATATATTGAATTTGTAGTTTCATGAACTTCATACAATTTTACAATATTTGGATGATTTAGTTTCCTCATTAATTTTATTTCATTAAGCAGACTTTCAATACCTTTAGATTACTGTGACATAAAAATCTTACTAAATGCCTTTATAGCATATTAGATATTATTTTCCTTTTTTATTGCAGAATAAACTTTAGCAAAGCTACCTTTCCCAATCATTTTAGATACTGAAAAAGCTTCATGAAAGTTCTTTAAAATAGCAAATCTTCTAAAATGAGACTTCCAAATATCATAATTCTATTTATCTGGAGTAAATATTTCTAAACTCTTTCCTTAGTAAGAAAGGTGAAAACCAAATAATTATTCATCAGAGTTTAATTATACGAAGTTATCAGCTGATGTTTCAATAAATTATACATGCATTGTCATTAATGGTGCTTACTTTAGATCTTAAACAGAAACTCGAAATATTGCATTTTAACTCATTACAAGAAACTTTTTCTTAATCAACCTCTCCTTTGAACCTACTAAGAATTCATGTTCTAACAATTCATTTTATTCCTTATTTTAGATATAAAGACATACATCAAGCAAGCCTTTGTCACATTTCTGCCAAAACGTAGATCTTGTTTAACCAAAGTCAAAAATAGATTGTAGCATTATGTCAATAAATTATATGATTATACTTTTAATTATTATCATTCAATTTTATTTGCTGTTCATTTGTGAATATATATGTTATACAGATTTCTCATCTAAATTTAATGTCTTTGCCATATGCTCAATAAATTATTTTCTGAATTCTGTTACTAACCTTTAACATCTTTAGTATTCCTCTGATTTGATATTTGGTTATTATTTTTTATCTATTGCCAGAAATAATATATTTTCCATGCATTAATTAGCTTCTTTTTGTAGCTAATTATAATCCATCTTTGTGATTTCATTCTCCATTAAATGAATTAATAATATATAAATCTAATAACCAATTTGTTTAGCTTATCATTAGTACAACTCCTTTATAAGTTCTAAGTATATCCAACTGAATGCTTTCATTAAAAATCTGCAGTTGGATTAACTCTATGGAGCTTAAAATAATCCATTTTGAGTGAGTATGTTGACAAATTAATTTAACAATTATAAGATCTGATATGTATATTAGAAGGCATAGAAATTTAAGTTAAATAGGATAATAAGATACTTACTACTTGTACAATTAATATTGTTTTTAACTAAGAAAATAATGAATAATTCTCCTAATTTGACTCAGATATTTAACTGAAAACTTTGATCTATACTTTGAATCAAAAGCTAAAAACATATAAAATAGATGATAAACCAAAAACTTTTTGTGTCAATTTTTTAACTAATGGAGCTGAAACCTAAAATAAAGCAGTTTAAGAAACTTTGCTCTAAAATTGGATACTTATCAAAGAATCCAAAAAAAGGGAGACTCAATTAGTCAATTCGCTTCATATGCCTAATCTAGACATTCTTGTTGGATTAATTTGATAATTACATATTCATAAGCTAAATTATTAATCATCAAAGTTTCTCATTAAAAATATAAACATCCTAATATTTGATTATTCAAACAAACCAAAATGTTTAAAGAACAGCTGATGTAGATTTCCAGAAAATAATTTCAACAATTTCAATTGAAATATAATTTATACAAGATGCTAGAAATTTATCAACAATTAAAATTCTAGAATCATTAATTATAATTAGTGGATAAATTAGTCATTCATACTTAATTAAATTTAAAGTTGCTTTTTATTATAATTAATTTAAATTGAGATTCTTTATTTTAGAACTCTGAATGTTAATTTTATTCAATCTCCATAAAAAAACATGTTTATGTTCTTTAAACCTAATTAGTATCATTTATATTGTATCTTCAATATGTTAGTAATAAATGTTTTGTAAGTAGAAATAATTTGAATAATAAATATATATCAACTGTTTTAAATTATATATATAAAATTGATGATATTCAAAAAGGATTGAATTTTTGATGATGAGATCTACATTATGAAGGAGATCTGGATTTTATAACAAGTGACATTTATTTAAAAATTTTCTCTTGCTTTTTCATGTCTGACTTCATCATAATTTCTTTATTTTTTTCAATAAATTATAAGTATAATTTATGTTCCTTTTGTGTCCAGTGACCTAATACATACATACAAGATTAAACCATTATTATATATTTTCTTTGAATTTTTCTTTCTTGTTTTATTTACTTGTTTTTTCTTGATTTCTTTCTATTCAACAGACTTTATGGTTGATTTTGATTCAATTGGCTATTCACTAAAAATGAGATATTCTTATACTCTAAACCCTCTTCCACCTTTATTGATTTGTTAACACTATTCTATAGCTATGGTTATTGGTGCTGTTATAGCGTCAGAATGTAAAAATAAGGATATAAGTAATTCATGAACCATTATTATTCAAATCTAATCAGATTCAAGTATTACCTAATTAAGAGTGAGTATGCTAGAACATTGATTTCAAAAGATTCTAGATGCTTTGGTAGATAAAATGAAAAATTTTATTATTGTTCAAAATCGCAAAAGCAAATATTAAAATTAACTAAATACAAAGATACAAACATTTTCATTCATTTTATCAAATATTAATTGTATTATTTTAACTAATTATTTAAACGGAACATCATTTCTGATGTCTAAATCAAATCCATCTTCAATTTCTAATCAATTTCTTAAGAAGCTTAAATTGAGTTCAGACTGTTTCTAATTTATAATTTTTTCCTTTTCAATGTCAAATTTTATCTTTTTATTTTATAACTTGTTTAAAAAATATAGCCCTAATTAATCAACTTAATGGCATCAAAACATTGTTTATAATTGTAAGTTTATACCATTTTTCCCTTAGAATGCTTTAATTAGTAAAGATTCATAAATTTTAAGTTATATTTTAAAATATCACTTATTATTGAAAAAATCATGAGTTCAATTTTAATATTGTTAAAATAGATTAAATTTTATCAATAAAGCAAGCTTCTTCATTTCTTCATAATGTGCTAATTTAAGAAATTTTAATTTCTTGTAAATTGTTATTTCGATTTAAAACAATTTTTAATATAATTTCTTATCTTTCAATTATCCTGAATTTTAACATATTGATTAAATGTTGAAGAATTTTATTTTGATTTTTTCTTTATTATATCTTGAATTGATAGGATTTCTATTTAGGATTTTAAGCTAAATATTATCAAAAATAACTTTAGATTATTTAATCAAAAATGATTACTATATTCCATTATTTTAAAATTCAAAGGCTTATAAATAAATATTACAGTTTCAAAAAGATATATTATCCCATGTGATTTGATTTTTAATAAGTGTTTATATATTAAAAATTTATTTTTATGAATTTATACAAAAATAATCTATAAATTCTATTAATTAATTCTCAAACAAAAAAAATTAGAGAAAAATAGAATAAAATTATTTAATTAAAGCCTCTTGTAAGATATCTTAATATTATAGAATATTTATTGTTGTTTGTTTTAATAAACAATTCTTTGAAAATGAATATTATGAATTATTGATAAGAATTGATAAATTTTTAAGTAAACAATAATTCTATTACTATTTTGAATGATAGAGGAAGTGAATCTTTTATTTTTTAAATAATTATATAATTTTTTATAAATAAAAAGTAACAGTTATAATAGATGGAGTACGATTCTGTTTCAAAAATATAAGAAGAATTAGGATATTATAAAAAATATTGTTAATAATTAGAGAATTAAAATGCTGCTTTAAATTAATAACTATTCAATAACATTTAAGGAAAAGTTTTAACAGTTCAAGATGGGAATACGAATAATTAAAAATTGTCAGAAAATAATCCAAATATTCATAAAGAATGTGAATAAAGATTAAAATTAATGGAAAGATAATTAAAGCAAAAGTTAATGGAGGAATAATTATGGCTTAAAAGATTTGAAACTTAATTAAATCAAATCGTTGAGTTAAAAGTATGAGAAAATATTAATAAAAAGGCAATTCATGCATAATATATTCAAGAGAGTGAACAAGAAGATCTGAAAAAAACAAAAGAAATAGAAATATTGAAAGAGGAAATAGAACATTATAAAAAACAAATAGAAATTTATAAAGAANAATAAAGCAAGCTTCTTCATTTCTTCATAATGTGCTAATTTAAGAAATTTTAATTTCTTGTAAATTGTTATTTCGATTTAAAACAATTTTTAATATAATTTCTTATCTTTCAATTATCCTGAATTTTAACATATTGATTAAATGTTGAAGAATTTTATTTTGATTTTTTCTTTATTATATCTTGAATTGATAGGATTTCTATTTAGGATTTTAAGCTAAATATTATCAAAAATAACTTTAGATTATTTAATCAAAAATGATTACTATATTCCATTATTTTAAAATTCAAAGGCTTATAAATAAATATTACAGTTTCAAAAAGATATATTATCCCATGTGATTTGATTTTTAATAAGTGTTTATATATTAAAAATTTATTTTTATGAATTTATACAAAAATAATCTATAAATTCTATTAATTAATTCTCAAACAAAAAAAATTAGAGAAAAATAGAATAAAATTATTTAATTAAAGCCTCTTGTAAGATATCTTAATATTATAGAATATTTATTGTTGTTTGTTTTAATAAACAATTCTTTGAAAATGAATATTATGAATTATTGATAAGAATTGATAAATTTTTAAGTAAACAATAATTCTATTACTATTTTGAATGATAGAGGAAGTGAATCTTTTATTTTTTAAATAATTATATAATTTTTTATAAATAAAAAGTAACAGTTATAATAGATGGAGTACGATTCTGTTTCAAAAATATAAGAAGAATTAGGATATTATAAAAAATATTGTTAATAATTAGAGAATTAAAATGCTGCTTTAAATTAATAACTATTCAATAACATTTAAGGAAAAGTTTTAACAGTTCAAGATGGGAATACGAATAATTAAAAATTGTCAGAAAATAATCCAAATATTCATAAAGAATGTGAATAAAGATTAAAATTAATGGAAAGATAATTAAAGCAAAAGTTAATGGAGGAATAATTATGGCTTAAAAGATTTGAAACTTAATTAAATCAAATCGTTGAGTTAAAAGTATGAGAAAATATTAATAAAAAGGCAATTCATGCATAATATATTCAAGAGAGTGAACAAGAAGATCTGAAAAAAACAAAAGAAATAGAAATATTGAAAGAGGAAATAGAACATTATAAAAAACAAATAGAAATTTATAAAGAAGAAACAAATTCATAAATTTATTTAGAAGAAATAAAAGAAATGAGAAAATAATTAGAAGCCTCAGAAATTAAATTGGAATGTTTAACTAAAGAATTATAAAACAAAGATTAGTAATTATGTACATTATTTTATCTAAATTTAGATCATAAATAGGGAAATGTTAAATAATCTTTATTATAATTTAAGTAAAAATTCGATATAGAATTAAAAAATGAGAATTTAAGTACTGAACCAGATATTTCAAGTAATAGTTTTTCAAATATCATGCTCAGAGATATATGATTTTATACTTACAAATATATATATATAAATAAATCAAATTCAATCATATAAAGATTCCCCTAAAGCTTCCTATAACATTTTAGTAAAATTATTATTAGGTGAATTGAAATCTATGTGAAATTAAGATTATTTGTTTATAGTAGTTGAATTTCTAAAACTAGGAGAATTAGAATTGTTAAAATCACTTTATCTAGTTTGAGAGAGAACAGATTTAGATTATATATTTCTGTAATCAGTTTAACTTAAATTTAAATTCTATTAATTGTTTTCCCTCAAATGATAATCTCTTACTTTTTCTAAGAGTTCTAAATTAACAGAAACTTATAAAATATCTTTATTTTGATTTTTCTATCCTTTTTTGTAATGATCTTATATAAATATAAAAATTTACTATTAATTTATGGTCTAAAAGATGGAGTAGCTTCATTTTGAAGTTTTCGAATTTTTTCTAATTTTTTTGTTTAGCTTGTATTCATTCTTTAAAAAAAATCAGTTTAATTGTTTTTTTAGGTTATTTTCTAAGAAATTTTATTGATGGCTGGATTAAATGAATCTTATTGATTCATTTATATTGTACATGACTCTTTTAGTTTATTTAAATGATTAGCCTTTTCTACATAGATAATCTTAATACTTTTTAATTTATTTAATTAATGCCTGGTTTATAAATATCTTGTTTAACTTAAGTATTTAAATTTTTAGATTTTAATATTTTTGAATGAATTGTATAATCTTAAACTTCTTCTTAAAGTTTATTTATACTTAATTTGTCTTTAGATTACTAAAGTTTATTATATTTTTATTTTAATTAAGATTGTTGTTTTTAACAAGTATTGATGTGTTCAGATTAAGCATGAGTTCGCATAATTTAAGGTGATAGAGATTATTATCTTGATTTTTGTAATTTTGATGTCTAACCATCTTAAAATTTGATTAATTAATTTTAGAATCTAGTTTTTGGATAATTATCTGTTAGAATTATTTGTAACTATTATTCTAATAAATGAAGTAGTATTTTTCTAGTGTTTTTGTTTTTTAAATCCATAATTCCTTTATAATTTTATTAATAATTTTTATTCATTATTTTATTCAGGATATTAAACTACATTTAAGTTGAACTTTTTAGTTTTTAAAACATTTTGAATATATATTAGTTATAAAAGTATGAGTTATGATATATGAAATATAAATAAGTTTTCAATAGAATAGTTATATGTAATATATACATTAATCAAGCAGTTTGTGTAGATGTGATTTAAGGTTTTGGTTCATCAACAAATAGTACTCTACAAACAGATCTTATTGACTATTCATCAATTCTAGTTGTATATTACGATTTTTTAGGAGCATTTGGACATTTTGGTTATTTAGACTTAGGCGTTAACAAACAATTATTCATTTATTTAATTAATAGAAAGAATAATGGAAATACAAAAATTATAAATAAGTGGCAGCATGTATTTACTGCCTATACAATATCATAATTTACGCAAGCTCTTTATTTTATCTTAATTTCTCAATTCATAGAGATTAAAGATTTATTTAAAGAAGGTGGAACTATAATTTTCAATCACTCTTCCTAAATCTTATAAGAATTAAGTGAGCATTGTAATATTTTAATATTTAATTCTTTATTCTTATGCTGTAGTCTTAGCTATGGCAAATAATATTGTTTGACTAACATGTTTTTATTCATCTAAATTGCATGTTTCTATTTTTGGAGATTGATTTAATTTAAGAAATCCATTTGATTATGGCTATGAATCTGAAAATACATATTATTGATTGTTAGGTGATTAGTCATCAGAAGTAACATTTGCTAATTTAGTTAAATTTGAATAATACATTTCTTAAATTTAAATGATTGTATGTCGTTATTAATGATTTTTTCATTCTTTATCTAATACAATACACATGAATTGTTTGTATCTATTGTTTATAGATTTATTTCATATTTTTTTGCTATTGATCTTACACTCATATTAAATTATTCATTTGCTCTTATACATTCTTAATTACCAGTTTCAAAAAGACTTGACATATTTTCACATATTCTCATATTACTATCTTAAAATAATAATTCTGTATATTCCCATGGACCATTACCTACTCTTGTAAAGGCAATTTATCCATCTTCAATACTGATAGTATACCATTTATTATTAACTTGATGAATTAATTTAAAAAAAGAATAATCAGAGAGTAATTAATAAGTAAAGTAATTTTCTATCAAATTAAGGATTTAGAAGTAGTATTTAAGATTTGGATTTGGAAATTTAAGTATTCCCATTAATGAAAATATGATTTTACTTTCAATTTTAAATTTGCTTTAAAATTTAAGTTCTTAAATTCTTTCAAATTTTTAACCAAAAGATGATTTAAAAAATTTATCTTCTTATTGTTTGATATAGACTTCAGATGCATCTTTTAAGACTGCATTCTAAATTAATAAATGATGATTAGAGATATTAAAATTCTTTTTTTAGAAAATTTCATCCTTTTTAATTTCACTCCTTAAATGAACCATATAATCTATTGCCAATTTATTTATGTCTAAACCTTCTAATTATTTTTTTTATAGCCACATTTCAAAGGTAACAAAATTTTTTGAATAATGATCAATAACATCATTTCTTTAAAAATTAACTTTGAAATTTTAGAATGGTACAACTCTTCTACCTGAACCACCATATTAAAGGAAATAAGTTCTTGAACAAGGTTAAGAAATATTAAATTCAGGTCTTTCATCATTTACAATATCATCTTCTAGACCTTATTATACATTATTATTTAATTTAGTTTGTGTTTTATTAATTTTATCAATTTTAAATTTACGATGAAATTTGATTTCATCTGGATTATCATCATTTAAAATTAGTTTTTTTTTCTTATCATGTTTAGCTGCTTAATTATTAACTTATTATTTTTCATCTATATTATTTTCTTAAGGTGATAGTTAATCTTCAGTTTATTTCAAAGATTAAGATACAACTACAAAGACTTCCCAAACTAATCCTCCTATTAGAGCTAATAAAAAGATTGAAAAAAATTCAAAAGAACCCACAAACAACATTGCTGATAACATATCATCAGTGTCATATGTTAATTCAAATACAATTTGATTCCATTCTGCTGCTATAAACATTTATAACATCATTAAATATGAACCTGCAAAAGTAGAAAAATCAGCATATTTACAATTTCCCCATTAATATTCAAAACTATTGATATCACATTCAGAGTTTGCATAAGGATTATTTTCATTTCTTTAGACTTTACCATATAAATACATACCAATACAAGAATATATAAAGAATACCATTTGTACTGGTAACATTAATCTTAAAATTAAAGGTACACAAATAATGATTTTGTATAATAAAGTTCTCACTAAATCCAAAAATTATAAACCTTCAAATAAGATATTTAAAATCTTTAGAGATCTAAATGCTCTAAAAAGTCTGAATACTTTTTAAATTTTTGCTAATCTTAATAATCTATTAGCTTTAATAGATTAAACAATATTTCCTGAGACAATATTAAATAGTACATAATCAAATATGATTTGTAGAATCACCAAAGTAATATCAAAAATATTCCTAATTTAAAATAATAATATACCATGAATCTTCGAAATAAGGTTTTACTCCAATGGCAATAATTTTAATAAGACATTCTAATGAATAGAGAACCAAGAATACAGTATCTAAGATATTAAAAATATCAAGAATATCTTAATCTTCAATAAAAAATGCTACAACTATCAATATACAATTAGTAATTGTAATAATTAACATAAATGCTCCAAATATCTTATTATTTATTAATATTTACATTTCCTTCTACAAAATTTAATAAACCTTTAGATATAAAGTAATTTCTAAATTATTCCCAACAATGAAGAGGTTTTGCTTAAGGTAAAGATACTACTGACTCATCTTAAAGTAAATGAAGAAACTTATGAAATTCATCAAATTAAACCTTATCGCTAAATTTTTATAATTAAATTACTTAAAATCTTAATCAATTTAATTAAATAGTTAATTGATTTATTATTCACTTATAGTATTTTTATAGAAATAATTAATAAAAGTTCTAAATTAATCTCTAGTCAAATATCCTTAATCTTCTAAATCTAAAGATATAAAACTTGCCATCATAGCAGTCTTTTATTTAATTATATCAGTTATTGCAATTTCCATTCTATGTTTTCTAAATCCTTCATAGACAACTGCTAATGGTATTGGAGCAAATAAAAAAATAAATAGTAATAAATAAGTAATAAAGAATAAGCAATAATAGATTCCTTAAAGCATAGGTGGAATCAAGATATCAGGATAGAAATCAAGAGTTGCCACCATAAACAACATTGAAAAAAATTTGAAAAAATCTCCATAATCTTAAGTTCTTTAATCAACATTTTCCAATCTTCCAATAAAATTAATTCCAATAAAGGAAAAGAGTGAAATTATAATTAGATATAACATAATCAAAAGAAGTAAATCTTTACCTGCTTTCATAATTCCTTTTAAATTCCTTCTTAAATCTTTTGAATACATAGGCATTAACATAGTTCGACATATTTTACTGACTCTAACTAATGTTGGTTCGTATGAATGTAATATAAAATCAACTAAACAAAAATAGTAAGCAACCAATTTAAATTATCTCTTTGGATTGAAAGAAAATCTATTTTCTTTCTTTGTTAATAGTAAAACAATTGTTATACATGAATCTATACCCATAAACAATAAGATAATAAGCTCTAAAACGAATAAATTTGGATTTTCATTACTATCTTCATTAGGAAATGAAGGTTCAAAAAATGTCATTAGTTGATAAATGATTGATAAAATAAATAAACCATTAACCCAATATTAATTGTTCTCTAAATACCATAATAGTTTCAAGTATTATTTATTTACTAAATCAATATCATTACGTATAGCTCTCAAATAATATGCATCATAAATGTGTCTTTCAGCCTTCTCTATTCTTCTTTAAGGAGTTAGTTTCTTTACTATTTTTTGTATTTCTTAAGCCAATACGTCGTTTTTCTCAATTAATTGCTGTGAAAACTCAGACATTGCAATTGATTATCTATATATTGTAGATTATCTCTTATGAGTCTTTTTCATTTAATAATAAATATAATTCAATTAATAAATACTTGCAACTTATTATTCTACTTTTACATACAATTTGCTTCTTAAGAATCAGTTTTTTTTCAATTTACTAATATATAATTAAATTAATGAACCCTTATCACCATCATCATTACATCTTAACAAGAATAATTGAAGACTAAGATGATTTATCCTCTGTAAAATAAGAAGAATGTTCACAATTTCAATATTATGAAGATCAACCTTAATTTATTACTTATGAGAATTCCAATCTTTGTTAAATTGTTTCTTCAATACTTAACTTAAATGAAGATTATCTTGATTGGATAGCTCATAATAAACCTATTGAATTTGAATCAATGATACTCAAAGCTAAACGCAAATTTTATAGAGATAAAGCTAAATTTCGTATGCAAATCTTATAACCTCATCTCTATTCAAATCAACAACCATAAGAACCAAAAAAGGCAAAAAGAGGTAGAAAGCCTATTAAGTGTGTTGAAAAACAATTTATTGAAGATAATAGTGATCAGTATCACTTATATTTATTCTAGTGATAAAAAAACGATACAAATGATAAGAAATCGAATTTCTGCATAAAACTCTAGAGATAGAAAAAAAACATATCTCTAAGAACTTGAATAAAGTAGTGCTCTTACAAATAAAGAAAATCATTTAATTCTTAAATAAATTTAAGAACTTTTAGTTTCTAATCAAGAAATTGAATAATAAAATAATAATATTCTCAAAGTAAAATCTCTCATCTATTTCTAGTGTATTAAAGTCTTTAAATAATAATGTTTAGAATCTGATGAATTATTTGCATTAGAAATTCTTAAATAATTAGACTAATTCTAAAGTGACACTGAATCAACTGCCTCAAAGAAAGTTAAATTAAATTGAAACTAATCATTTTTTTTCATTTTTATTAATCATTTAAAATAATATTTTATAATATTAATAGCTAATAATTATATGATGTAAGTGAAAATAGATTGGAAAAACTTCCATTCTTAAAGAATAAAAAAGAAATAAATCTATTTTACAGATTCACCATAACAAAAATTTAAGAAATTAAAGCATTTTTTATCCTTAAAAATCTACTATTAACAATAAAGAAAATATGTTAAACTTCTAAATTTCTATTATCTCAGATATAAATCTAAAAGTATTAAATTTTATAAATCGAAAATTGGAATTAAAAATAACTTGATTCTGATAAAATTATGGCCAAAGATAAATAAATTTGAGTTATTTTTAAAATATTTTCATTCCAAAAATGTAATTTAAACTTTAAACTATGTGAAATCTAAACATATTATATAAATTAGAATATATATTCAAGATTTTATTATTAACGGTTGATGAAAAAATGAGAAAGAAGAATTTATTCGGCATTAATGAATAATTCTGAAAGGTATGTTCAAATCAAAAGTAAAGAGCGAATTGAAAACGATTCAATACATCTATTTTTTTGCACTATTGTGATTTATATAATATATCTTATTTTATAAGTTGATGTTTATTAAGATAATATTCAGAAATAAAAATCTTGATAATACATTAATAGTTTTTAAATTGAACTCTTTAAATACATTAAAAATTTTTAAGAATTCTTATTGACCTAATTAATCAAATAGAAATTTTAATTTCTATATTTTGAAATTTTTGCTAAGTTCAGTATTTTAAATATTTTTATATATAAAAATAAACTTATAGCTATTCGTAAAATATTTAAAACCTACTTATTAGAAATAAGTTGACTTATTCTGTTTATTTTATAGTTTTTAATATCTACAATTTAAATTAAAAAATCAATTTAAAAGTAATTTAATCTCACTTTATTTAAAATAGGTTGAGATTTTATCATAAATACCTACTATGATATGCTAATACTTGTATTTTCTTGTTTCTAATATTCTCCTTTTAATTTAAAAAGTATATCATAAATGAGCATCAATAAATATATTAATTTGATTATTTATTTTTAAGATTTTATCCAAAATCTTCTCAACAAAATTTTAAGAATCTAAAGTTTAAATTAAAGCATGTAATATATATAATATAGTTCTTAATTTTGAATTTATTTTCTTTTTAAAATTCAATTAATTTTTTAGGATAAATAATAAGATTTTTCATATTAAATTTTTTAATTTTTTAAAATAATAATCTTATAAAAAGATGGAGACCCAAATAAATAGATTATTATAAATTGCAATAAAATATTTTCATAAATTTTGGAAATAATTAAAATCATTTATGATTAAGACAATTAAATAATCATTAAATTCCTTGTGAAATAAGTTTCAATTATAAGTACTAAGTAATGGTAATTGTATTATAATAATTAGAATGTATTAAGTACCAATTCAGTACCCAAAATTCTAGTTTAAGCAATTAAATAGATATATTCAAATCTGTCTAAAGTCTTAGTATAAATTTACATAGATGTTGTTAAAATATAATAGATGATTTTTAGCAAGAAGATTGAAATGATTTCTAAAAAAAAGAAAAATAGATTGAGATTAATATATATATATAGGTAAAAAAAATAAAATATAAAATAGAACAGTTTTTTAATTTAAGTTAGTGCTTTATTAATTTTTGAATAGGGAAAGTAATTATGATATGAGTTATTATTACTTTATTATATGATACTATAGTATATCGTTATTAGATTAAAATTAGAGATTTATAAATAAAATAGCGCATTCAAGAAAATAAAACTTTAATTCATTTTCCCAAAATATTAAAAAATAATAAAAATGGATTAAGTAGTTAAAAAGAAGCAAGAATAATTACTATAATGTTTAAAAAAGATATCAAGCAAACCCTAAACAGATGATGAAGATTAAAGATAGCAGTTACGTAAATTCTAATAGGAAGTGGAATAAAAATTTAAGATGGCTCGTCATAACAATTAGTATCGATTTCCATATGAATATTATGATCAAAGCAGTGACAGTTCATTAGAAGAATTATAAAAAGTAGGTACATATGATCTACGTCAATAATATTAAAAAAAATAAACTAACAGCAAACATTTACAATCATCTAAAGAATCTATAAAAGCTAAATCATTGATTAAGATAATGTCTGATAAATCTATGAAAGCCAATAGATAATCGACTCGATATAAAACAGAATAGTATGATGAAAATTAAGTGAGCTACACTGATGCACTAAAAAAAAATAAATCAATTGAAAAATAAACAAATGAATAAATAATATCATTCATTCGTAAATCTGTAGCTAAAAGATCATAATATTCATAACACAATAATAATACATCAAGATAATACATAAATCTATCATCAAATAATCAAAGCCATATCATGTCATAAAGCTTTAATGGATAAAAAAGTAGAACATAAAACTATTATCTCAATAAATTTACAAAATTGAAATAAGACATGTTTAAGTAATAAAATTAAACTAGTACATCATAAATGAATTAAGATTCTAAAATGTATCTTTTCTTTAAATAATAGATCATTAAAATATTTCTTTAGTAGCAAAAGTCCAGAATAATCTAGTACTATCAACTTAAAGAATAAGCTCGCAGAAATGTGTAAAAGATAACCACTAAAAGTAATCAAATGAAATTTTATAAATACTACTTTCTCTTTTATTAATAGATATATTAATTTCATTCTTACTTACTCTTTTACAATTATAATTTATCTTGTAATAATTTATTCTGTTTAAGTAATTGTTCATTCTATTCATATTTATAATTATTTATACTTTTTTTCCAAGTTTCAGTATTTTTTCTTAAGCTAACCTAAAAATCTCATAATTGCCTGGTTTTGCTTATAAGAATAGTTCCTTCTCATATTTTTGTTTATGAATCTTTTATATTATTTCGCTTAATCTATTAATTAGCTCTTAATATTATTGATCAAGAGACAATCCAGTAACAAAGTTTTAAATTTCTCTAATAAAACTCTAAAACTCTTCTTTTTATTATTCTAATTGTTAACTATATTTATTTCATATATAAATACATATCATATTATTGATTAATGAGATCTTATGTCAACTTTTTCATATCATCTTCATTTTTTTGAAGTAATTATTGAGTAAACAAAAACTCTTATTGTTTGTTATCTAAAGATTTTTTTAATTCTTCAATTTATTGGTTTAGTTAATTAATTTCATATTACAATCCTGTTTGAACTAGATTCAATTATTAAATCTATTTCTCTAAATTTTCTTTTTTAGTTTTTTCTTATTAATAATAACATTTTAATTTTGAGAATTTTTTTTCTGCTAATTTTTATTCTTCTTCTAATTTATTTTCTAATAAATCTAATTGAGTTTTAAGAGTGAAAACTTAAGCATGTAATTTTTCATTCTCTTAAATTTATAGATCTAATGATTATTCAGCTTAATTTATTTTAATTGTCATTTAATCTAATTAGGAATTATTAAAAACTTTGCCTAAAAAACTTGGTTTCTTAAATTGTAAATCATTAATACCTTAGTATCAGATATGCTTTTTAATTTTTTTTCATATTCATCAACTTTAATTTCTAATATTTCAATATGTTCTTTTTCATTTGATAACTTTTTCTCAGTATATTCTAATTTTTCTTCCAAAGTTTAAACTAGTTTTTATTCCTAATCAAGTTTGATTTCTAAATCTTTATTTTTTTATTGTAAATCTGTAAGTGCTGTTTTTAATTTTGTTATGTACTATTGCATTGCATTGACTTAATCCATTATTAATTTATTTATCACACTAAAAACGCCAATAATAATAATAATTAACTTATTTCTTAATTACATTCAAAATTTACTAATTATCCAAAAAAAGGATAAACATAAACTTTTTAGAGAAGATTCTGGATGAATTGATAAATTAAAAGAGAAATAAATGGAATTAGAGGAGAAATTATGATTTTGAACATGGACAGGATAATTTAGATTTATTTATGTTGAGTACATTACAAAACTAAGTGGTTTTATAAGAATGAAAAGAAAAATTAAGAAATCATAAAATTTTACCTTACTATATATAAAATGAATTTTAATTAGAATGTTCATGAAAATGAAGCTGAAAAGAAAGTTTATTATATTTTTATGTTAGTAACTAATGAATGAAATTGAATTTTTGAAATAATAACTTCTTCATACAAATGATACTCAATATCGATTATCGAATATTGAAGACATATTTATTAGCTAATCATATTTAAGCGTTTGAATAGAGTATAGCATAAATAAAAAAAGAGGCTTATTATAAATGATTAAATTTAATGTAATTTTATTAATAATTATATGATGAAAATCCATACTTTAACAGATTCTTCAAGGAATAATTCATATATTAGGGATTCAACATCTAATTGAGTGATTTGCCTCAATATAAAAGCTAATTTAATTTGATAAATAAGGAGAATCTAAATTTGACTTGGAAATATAAATAAGACAATTAGAAATTTATTTTTAAGGCTAATAATTAGATTACAAATACAATTATAAAATCATAGTCACAAGATTAATAAGTAAATGAAAATATTATATAATAGCAAATCTAATACTAATTTAATTTGATCACTAGATAAAATAGATATAGCATTTTGTTAGGTTTGAAATACAAATATGAAAAAGATGAACTTTAAAAGCATACATTTACTCCTTAAGTTTAAATTAGTTAGAGTTCAGGAAGTAATTCAAATTTGGATGTTGGACTAAAATATAACTATTTAAATAAAAAAGATGGTGTAAATGTTAGATTTAATATATTTTCATCTCTATTAAATAGATAGAATATGGAATATTGTTTGATAGGGAATTTTGAAAAACCTTAAAAATTATAGATTGGATTATAAAACAATAGAATTTGGATGGGTATAATATAGAGAGCTAAATTAATGAATTCAAATAGTTTTATACTTTACAACTTGAAGAATAAGAAATATGATTTGAATTTATATGTAGGATTGAACTCAATTGAGAATAGATTTAATAATAAATTGAAATTGATGATGGGTGTATCAACATAAAAGGAGATTTTAGGAAAGATTGAATTTTTAACAGATGTAGGAATATTAGGATATTGTTTAAAATGGTAACACGTATAAGGATTGAGTATGGGATATAATATTGAAATTTGAATTAATTTAAATATATAATAAATTAATTAAAATGGATTAATTGCTTGGAAAAATATTTTAATTGATAGCAATAGCAGCATTTCTTTATGGCACATTAACAACATTTGGATAACCTTTATTAGGAGAATAATACTAGATGTTTTTTTTTCCAAGATGTTTTTTCAATTGGGCTCCAGGTTTAGTAATTGGAAGTGTTTTAGGATTGATATTGGTTTATTTGAATAAGTAAAGTAATATGAAAAAGAAATGAATTTAATAAATATATTAATATCATATTCAACCAATTTCTTATCCTTCAAAAGCCATACCAATTAAATAACTTGAACTAGCAGTACATGCTCCAACAAATAAAGTTTCAGCAGCACATCTCCACCATGGAGCATATGAGAAAAATGATTTACTTACTCCTAAAATAATTAAGAATAAAGCAGTCATTGCTATTGATATATAAAACAAAGTATCAGTTGTTCCATCAGTCAATCCTGCAATAGCTGCAACAATAAATGGAATAACTAAAATAATCATAATAAGGATAGATTATTACTTGGTACTAATCCAAATAAAATAAAAGCAAGAAATGTTACTAAAGCATTCATAAATGGATTTTCTTCAGCACCTCCTAATTCTAATTCTTCTAACATCATAATATCAATGAAAGCATCTTTATGTCTAGTAATAATATTCATAATTTTTTCAGCATCTTCTTATTCCATTCCTTTTTTCTTACATAAATTTAATAATATATTTTTACTTTATACAATTCAATCATTTCTTTTTTTTCTCCTTCCAAATTATTTTCTACCTCCCATTTTTCTCTTTCTCTTTCTTATTTAAAAAATTATTATTCTGATTTAGTAGATAAATAATCTCCCAACGCCATAGATAATCCATCTCCTATCATATTTGCTACTCCTAAAGCTAATACTGCTTACACTCCAAAATTTCCCTATATTTATAATAATAATCTACTCCTATTACAGCAGTAACCACAGAAAATGTTGTCATCATACCATCCATTCCACCAAATACAGAACTTCTTAAATAATTACCCCCTGTTGAATGTTTCTCTTAATGAGAATCTATACAATATTCTATACCTTCAAAATACCTAATTTTTATAATGGGTCATTCTCATTTGCTCTATTATCTGTATATATTTATTCTGAAGGATTATAATTATGGGCTTGCTTTGTCATCTCTACATTCCTTCCCATATATGCTTATCTAGCTATCTCTAAGTCTCTGTTCATTAAATATAATTATTTATTAATATCTTAGTCAAACTAATCAGCTCTTATCACGATCGTGATTCATCAATCCCATTTACTAAAATCTCATACTGTTTATTCAATAATTTAAATTTCTTAGTATCTCCTTTTTTTCATTATATCTTATGATTATGATAATATTTTAGAATTTAAAATAATTGTAACATATTACATTACGCATTTTATTTTATTTTATAATTCCAATTTTTCTATCTATGTTTCTGCAACTTTCTTATTCTTAAACTTATATAAAAGGCACTTTTCATATCTTTTCTTCTCTTATGTACTTTTCTTGTTTATCAATTAATTTTTTCAATATTCTTTAAGAATTAACTTATTTAATATTATTATGTAAAAGTATATTAAATTTAATTAAGTTTCTAATAGATTATATCAGATTTAAAATAAAAATTATTGAATTATGTATTAAAAAACTGAATCAAAATAATAATTTTAATTTTGATTAATAATGCTATAAATATTTAGATTATATGATTAGATTGATTTATTAATAAATTTAAAGATCATAATTTTATTTAATATATTAGATTAATTAAATCAGATTGATAAAAATAGATATGATTTACATATATGAATTAGAATAGAAAATGAATAAAAAATAAAGATCAATAAAAAAATAATTGAGAGTACATCAAAAAATGTAAAATATGCATGATTATTATGTATAAATCATTCAGATAACTTTTAGTTGATGTATTCAATCAATCTATCAACAATGTCAATTTCGGTTTATCTAGATTAAAATAAAATAGAATACCTGCTGACTTTTTAGTTACTATATTCTTGATCTTCTTATTCATTGATTCTAGTAGCATCTTAGATATTTAATTAAGTGACTTCAACAATAGCATTAGAAATATTAATTAATCCATCTAATTCATTTAATCTTGATTAGATCTCTTTAAGTCTATTATTAGCAGTAGCTAAAGAAACTTATAATGTTTATTTTTCATTTCTTAAATCATCACCCAATCTAGTAAGATTTTCAACTTGAGTTTTATGATTAGCTTCTAATTAATCTTATCCTTCTTATAATGCAGTGATTAATCTAGCAACAAGACTTAAAACATTATTCAATGTTTCTGGATTGACTTTAGTTGTCATTTCAGCTAATCCTTCAATTATAGGTTAAAATAAAGTTAAAGAGCTTTTCTTAGTATGTGCTTCTAATATTTCTTTAATCTTTTAGAAATTCTCTTTAGTTTAAATGAGATTACTTTTGGTATCTTAACTAATAATTAATAATCATATATAATATATACGTCAATTAAATTAATGATGCACCTTCACCTCTTAAATTCATAAGTAATCTTTGTGCTTCTTTACATGCAAGAATAGCATCACTATAATCTTAGAATTTAGCTGCAAAATCTGTATTTTCAGCATCTAATCTAGATTATGCATCACCACTTCCTCTAGAATTACGATCTAAAGCAGCCTAATCTATATAAATAATAAAAATGATTAATACCTTCTCTAACTCTTGTTTATAATGTACTCAATTCATTATTTAAACTTGATTATTCTTATCTTTAATTATCAAGATCTTATTAAGCTTATTCAAGTGTGGCTTAGAGTTTAGCCAAATCAACTTAACTTCTTCTTGTAAAAGTACCATTTTCTTAGTCTTACAATTAAGTTAAGGCAATCAATTCATCCTTAATTTATTATAAAAGCTATTTTAATTCATTCAATGATCCTCCTGTTTTCATGTTAACACTTACTAAATTTATCATAGATGATCCAAATGGATGATCTCCATATCCTGAAAGTCTTTCCTTTAATTCAGAAACTGTTGTTGCCTACATACAGGCAATCAAAACAACAACCAACAAAGCTGATTTCATTTATTATATTAATCAAAACAATCAAAACAAAAAAACAGAAAAACGAATATTATCTTAAACATAATTATTACTATACAAATCACTTTTTAAATCCTCTTTTCTCTTTCATTCTTTTTATTGCTTCTTCTTTTGTTAATTCTTCCTCATCATCTGATTCATCATCATCTATATCATCACCTTCATAATCTTCATCTTCTACATGTACATCTAAATAATATTCCAAAGAATATGGTAATATTTCATCATAAATCAATCTACAAATATCATAACACATATCCATCTTTTATTATTATTCTTCCTTTTTCTCCTCTTCCAATTTCTCCCAATCTTTTACATCTAAATTTTTAAATAATTAAAATAATGTCTTCTACTCTACTTCCTTTACCTTCTTCTTCTATTTATTCTTCTTCTTTACAATCTTTACTGTTATATTCTTACCTTCTTTCCAATTTATTTTTGTACTCTCTACTTTCAATGGTTCTCCTTATTTTTCATCTAATAAAAATTCTACTTTCAATTCTTCCTCTCCAAAATAATCATTTGCTTTAAATTAAAATACCAATCCTAACTTATGTTATTCTTTGTCCTCATATCCTCTTATATTTTTTATTGCTTTCAATAATGCTTCATCCTTGTCCCCAATCACTTCATTTTTTAATGTCTTTGAATTCAATAAAACCTTTGACCAATAATTCTCTATTGGATCTTAATTATCCAATATTGCTTATTCTTAACCATTTAAATATTCCTTTAAATCTTCTATCTCCTCTTCCTTTACTAATCTTTATCCTGAAATTATTTAATTTGAGGCTTCAATTAAAGGTTCTACTCTTTTCTTATAATCTGCTTCCATCTTGTCTAATTCCTCATCCTATTCATGATCCAACTTCTTCCTATCATATAAACACTAGGCCAATGCTATTAATTAAATCTTTGTCTATATATCGTAACCTTTTAGTTTCTCTTTGATTTGATCGTAATTAAATTCCATTTAAAATTAATATTATTTTAATATAAAATCAAACATTTTGGTTTTTTTACCAATCCTCTTTAATAAACTTTATTAAATTATTAGAATCCTCTTCCAAATTTTAAATTTCCTCTATATTCATATTTTTCATATTTTCTATTGAATAAACACTCTCGCTCCATTTAAATTTTGTTGAATATCCTAAAAACCCACACACCCATTTTCAAAATTTACTTTAATACATCTTTAGATTACTTTTTAAAATCATACTTTTTTTCATTCAAAAATTTATAAAAATGATGCCCATAACATTAAATAATTCTTACAAAATTATATTTTATATCATTTGTTCTAATTAATTCAGAAATATCTTCTAAATTCAAATTCTCCCTTATCAACAGCATATCATTGATTTACTATCAAACTTATTTTAACAAATAATCTATATATTTATAAAATTTCTAATTAAAAACCTCTGTCTCTATATTAGAATGCTAACTTTCATCATAAAATTAATAAATAGTATAATTTTTATATTTAATTTTGATGATGTTTCTCTTAATCTATTCATCTCTAAACCAAAATAACCATCTAAAAAATAGTTTATTGGCTCTAAAAACTCTATCAATTAATTATGTAGAGGATATAACTCTTTATTTATTTCATTACTTTTCATCAAAATAAGATTTAAAAGAAATGATTATTTATAATTAATAATGAGAAAACGAAACACGTCTTTATTATTATCTAACATCTATAGCTAAATTATAATTAAAATAGCTACAACCCTTACCCAACTTATATAAGGATTACAATAAATTGTCAACCAATTATACTTTTGCCAAAAATTCCATTAAAAATTTATTTTACAACTATGATTTAATTCTCCTAATTTTAATACTATATTTCATCCCTTATTTATAAATTTTTATTCGCATTATTTTCAATATCACAGTTTTATTCTTAATTAGAATTTTATTAATTCTCAAATTAATTTTATTAATTATCGAATTGTTATTCCTCATTTATTTATTCAGGAAAAATATTATTATTATAATTATTATTTGATTGTTAAGTAAAAACTGGTGTGTCTAAGATTTAAACTTAATTTTTGCCTTAAAATTAATTTTTTGTTTAACTTTAAGTTTAATCTTATATAAAATGAGTTTATTACATTCCTTTTTTAATTTATTTAATTGTCAATTAGAAAGGAGTTTTTTAATTTTTTTCCATTACCTGTCTCATTTGAATAGCTGAAAGTTTCTCATCATGATATTTTCTTTTTAATTTTGTTTATAAATCATCATCTATTAGTTTAGGTAAATGTTTTAAGGTAAAATGATTTAATCAAAAATACTAAATTATTCCTCCCAATTTAATCTGTCATTCTCATTACACTGAATACATCCATTTAAAATAAATTATAATTATTAATTTAAATCTTTATTTCCATCATTCTAGAATTCTCCAATTTTAATTTTATTTTCTGGAAGCTTAAACATTTCAAATAATTAATCAAATGTGCAAACTTGATAATACGATTTTTAAAAAATAAGGAAATGCACTATCAATCCAAACTTAAATTAACTAACAATTTACACTATAAACATCAGTTTTAGATGTATATTAGCCAGTCATTAAAGCTTGAGGTGAGATATACTAAGGAGTAATATATTCTTTTGTTTGAGATCTCTATGAATAATATGGTTAAAATATAAAGTACGATAACCATCTACAATCTATTTGGCAATATCTATTATTTGAATAAGAGATAATAATTAATTCTTTTGCTTAATATTGGCTATGTACTCACCCAAGTTTTATTTACATAATTCCATAAATATAAACAGTAAACTATTCTAATTCAAAATGTCATAAATCTTGATCAAATGAGGATTATTCATAGCCTTGAGTTTGTTTAATATTTAGATTTCTTTATCAATTAGGTTTTAATTTTCAACAGTAATCTAAAGAATCTATTTTAAGTAAAATAATTACTTTAACACAAATAGATAATTTTGTACTCATCTATTCAGCTTTATAAATCTTAGCATAGCAACCCTCCTCTTAAGGTTTTGAATAATAAACAAAATAATCTCCAATAAAAGGTAGATTAGGGTATTAGTTTACTGAAAAATATATAATTGTTTGAATTGCTATCTAAAATACATAAAAATAATAATTATTATTATTCAACTGTGTAAATAGAATTAATATAATAAAATATCAATGTTTAACGTAAGTATTCCAAAAGATTCGACTTTACTCATATCTATGAATATTAATTAGTAATACCCAATCAATTAGGCTGAACATGCTACCATATAATAGATTGCACAACTATTGAATCCTTGCCAAAAACCCTTAAAACCTGCATCTTTATATATCTCTTTAATGCACTTCAGAATACCACCATCAATTCCAACATATTTTCGATTTTATTTCGATTCAAGAATTTCATATTAGATTTTTGTTTTAACCATATCCTAGGGATAAGAAAAACTAACACAAACTAAACCAGCAGTTATTCCAGCTATAAATTAATCAAATATGTTTAAATATCCTTTCTAACTTTGTATATATTATTTAGTAGATTCAAAAGCAATAAAAAATGTAGCATATTAAGGAATGTCTCTGAATATAGTCGAATTTACTCCTTTGAAGACTGCAGCTATTCCTTCTTTGTTGACAAATTCAAAAATGCATCTTAGAACAGATTTACGCTTTCTCTCTTAGATTTACATTTGGAATACAATCTTAAATAATTCTGATGGACTTGTGGCAAAACTTTATATAAATCCAGCATAAGCTCCCCCAACACCCCCTGTTAAATGAAATTATATGTACAATGCATTATTTAATANTAATATATTCTTTTGTTTGAGATCTCTATGAATAATATGGTTAAAATATAAAGTACGATAACCATCTACAATCTATTTGGCAATATCTATTATTTGAATAAGAGATAATAATTAATTCTTTTGCTTAATATTGGCTATGTACTCACCCAAGTTTTATTTACATAATTCCATAAATATAAACAGTAAACTATTCTAATTCAAAATGTCATAAATCTTGATCAAATGAGGATTATTCATAGCCTTGAGTTTGTTTAATATTTAGATTTCTTTATCAATTAGGTTTTAATTTTCAACAGTAATCTAAAGAATCTATTTTAAGTAAAATAATTACTTTAACACAAATAGATAATTTTGTACTCATCTATTCAGCTTTATAAATCTTAGCATAGCAACCCTCCTCTTAAGGTTTTGAATAATAAACAAAATAATCTCCAATAAAAGGTAGATTAGGGTATTAGTTTACTGAAAAATATATAATTGTTTGAATTGCTATCTAAAATACATAAAAATAATAATTATTATTATTCAACTGTGTAAATAGAATTAATATAATAAAATATCAATGTTTAACGTAAGTATTCCAAAAGATTCGACTTTACTCATATCTATGAATATTAATTAGTAATACCCAATCAATTAGGCTGAACATGCTACCATATAATAGATTGCACAACTATTGAATCCTTGCCAAAAACCCTTAAAACCTGCATCTTTATATATCTCTTTAATGCACTTCAGAATACCACCATCAATTCCAACATATTTTCGATTTTATTTCGATTCAAGAATTTCATATTAGATTTTTGTTTTAACCATATCCTAGGGATAAGAAAAACTAACACAAACTAAACCAGCAGTTATTCCAGCTATAAATTAATCAAATATGTTTAAATATCCTTTCTAACTTTGTATATATTATTTAGTAGATTCAAAAGCAATAAAAAATGTAGCATATTAAGGAATGTCTCTGAATATAGTCGAATTTACTCCTTTGAAGACTGCAGCTATTCCTTCTTTGTTGACAAATTCAAAAATGCATCTTAGAACAGATTTACGCTTTCTCTCTTAGATTTACATTTGGAATACAATCTTAAATAATTCTGATGGACTTGTGGCAAAACTTTATATAAATCCAGCATAAGCTCCCCCAACACCCCCTGTTAAATGAAATTATATGTACAATGCATTATTTAATACGAATCTCTATCAACTTAGAAATATCTCATATATTATTCATAACATGCAAATAATGTTGCTGAGACTGGAAAACTAAATAATAATGGTGATATAACTCCTTTATAGAAAGCAAAAGGCTAATACAGATATAGATAATAATACTCCTTCATATTTAAATATTTTATAGGCTGTTTTAAGAATTGATTTATTTTCAGAAACCATTTACATTCTCACTTTAATCGTGCTACAATCACATATTAAATATTACTCAAATGGATGTGCACTCAAAACAAATGTAATACCTCCAATAGAGCCTGCAAATGTATCCTGAAGAAATTCATTCCATTAATCCATTTATAATATAAAAAGAGTCTATATAATAATCTTATTTATGGCTTTAATTAGATTATTAGAAAGTAAGTTACTGTATTGATTTATTTGATTAATTTTATTTTAAAATCTAAAATTATTCTTAAAATGATTATATTAGATAAAATAAGGATAAGAATATATAAAAAATATGTTTATAAATATATTTATAATTTATATTGAATCAACTTCTTGATTTTAATGCTCTCAGTAAATAATACAACAACCACTATCTCGTGCTATGATATAAATTAAATAATATACATTATTCAGTTTATTTATTCTCCTATTTATTATCTTATTTATCTTGACCTCCAACTTCAATAGGTTTATTTTGTTTTTAAACCTATACATTTTCTTCTTCTTATTAATATTAAGGTTAATGTTATTATGGAGGTGGTTATTATTATGATTATGAAGTAGGAGGCTATTATGGTGGTTATTAAGGAGGTGCCTATTATTATTATTGTTAAGGAGGAGGAGTTTATTATTATGGAGGAGGCTATTATTATTAAGTTGCTTATTATTATTATTATTATTATTATTATTATTATTATTATTATTATTATTATTATTATTATTATTAATCTTTTTATTGTTCTGCTACTTATTACTTCTTCTTTTGTGCTTCTTAATTTAATTAATCTTTTCTAGCCTTTTCTTCTTAAAGGAATTTAATTTACTCTGGAGTTTATTAGGGAACTTCCCAATCATCTTCTTTAATTGGATCTAAGGTGTTTGGAACTTATTTTACATCTTTAAGAAGAGTTTAAATTTTTTCAGTTACAATTTATTCAATTTAAACATCTAATAAAATAGTTTCAGATTTTTTAATAACATCTTCAAAATTCTTTTATAAATGTGCTAAACATAAAATAACATCTTTTAAAGCTTCTCCTCCTCCAACAGAATCATATAATTCAATTTATTTTCCTAATGCATATTCTCTAATTTAATTAATTTTTGCAGTAAAAAATCCAGTGATTTTATCAATCGTTCCAGGAGGTTTAGGATTTTCTAATTCAAATTATAATTAAATGAAAACTTTAGCCGTAGATTTTTTTTTGGCTATTTCAATAGCTGCTTTTGTTATTACTTAACTTAAATCTTCTGAAGTATTAGCTGTATGATTTTCCATAATAATTTTATTAATAGAATTTACTTTATCTTCAAATTTCTTTTATTTATATTCCGAATAACAATAATCAATAGCACCATCAATAACTTTAAAAATACTACCTACTAAAGGTAAACTTTCACAAAGAGATGATCCTACTTCAATAGCTTTTTTAGCTAATTTGACACCAGTACTAACTTTACTATCAATTTCAGCATGTTCTACATTTGTTTATAATATTCCTGTACTAGCTGCTCTATATGAATCTATATAATTAAGTAATGTCCAATAAAATGCTTTTGCATATTTACCTTCTTCTGAATTTCTATTTTCATTCATCCATGTTTTAATTTTAACTTAATCATAAACTCCTGCTGCTCTTAATGTATCTCTCATTTTATTCACTCTTTATTCTAATGCTAGTGTTCTTTTTGCTTATTCTTATTATTTCTTTTCTATTTCATCTATTTCTTTAGATTAATTTTCAATCTTTTACTTTAATTATTAAATTTGTTACTATAACATTTCATAATCTTTATCATCTTCAGTACTCTTACTTTCATTTGTTTATATTTTATCATATTATTTCTTCAACATTTCAATTCTTTATTTTTCTAATTCTTCATATTCTTTTGTTATATTTTTATGACCAGCTAATATATTAGGTCTTTTTAACATAGTGTCCATCTTTGCTTTTATTTCATCTGCTGCTTTTCCAAATACCTCTTATAATTCTACAATCTTCTTTAATCCATCTTTAATAAAAACTATATGAGAATTTTATAAAGTTCTCTTTGAAAATGGATCATTTAATAATTCTTCTGATTTCCTTAAACTTGCTAATGATTCTCCTGGCTTTCCTAATATTAATTCCACTTATGCTTTATTACTCCAAGCTAAAGCAAATCTTGGTTCAGCTGCAATACAATTTATATATGCATCTTCAGCCTCTTTATATTTGTTTTACATTTTATAACACAAACCTAAACGATTAAATACTACTGCTCTCTCAAATGGATCTGCTGTTTTTTTTATCATTTCACATAGTCTTATTGCTTCTTTTAAATGTTCTTCTTATTTACCATCTTTATTTAATACTGCCAATTTTATTTCTATATCAGATAAATTACCCAATGCAATTTCATCATCCTTATTTTCTTTTAATACAGCAAAAAATTAACTCTTTGCTTATTCCCATTTTTATGTCTCAAAATAACAAATACCTAAATTATTAATTGCTTTCAAATTTGTTGGATCACTTTTCAATATTAATTCATATTATTCTATAGCTTCATTATATTTCTTTTATTTTAAATATGATTAAGCAAGTCCTAATTAAGCTTCTATTCCTTAAAATGATTTAAAAACCTATTCAGCTTTATCATATTTCAATTAATTAAGATAAATCCTTCCCTTAGCATCCAAAATCACTGGATCATTTAAACAATCTTTATGAACTTTATCTATAAACTTCTCTGCTTCATCATATTTATTTTATGCTTGAAATATATTAGCTTATAATGCATATAATTTAGGCATTATTGGATTTAATTTAAGTGCTTCTCTTATATCTGCTTCAGCACTCTTATAATCACCAATATTATAAAAACAAACTGCTCTATCCTTATATACTTTTGAAAAGTCTGTATTTTCATTCTTGTCTTTTCTATCTATTACATTCTAATATTATTTTATTGCTTCCTCATATTTACCCAACCCCATTTCACAATCTGCAATTCCTTTATAACAATCAGATAAAGAAGCAGATTATGTGTTTCCATTCTTTAAAAGAACAGATAATTCAGAGTAATGGGCTTTGGCCTCATTAAACATACCCAATGCGAGTTCAGCATCAGACAACAATAATAAAGAGTCTTCATTTTCCTCTTTCTAGAGTGTCCAGCTTTTTAATAGTTCCTCATAAGCCTTTTTTGACAATTTAAAATCCCCCTAAGTTTCTTTTTTTTTAAAATATTCGTCAAGTAAAGATTTTCCAATCAATCTTCTAAATAAAAACTAATCAGGATCTTATTTTTCAGCTTCTTTCGTGGCAATCTCAATTGCTTTTGCATAATCTAAAGCATCTAATGCATCATAAACCTATTCAAGAGGATCACTCATTAATTTAAATATTGAAAACTTATATCATTTTATTTTGCATTTATATAAATAAAAATTTTGAAACTGTCTTTATATTATTACAATAATTCCGATAATTTCAAACTAACAATCTATAGAATGATTTAAATTCATTAAATCTTTAAAAAAGATTAAATATACATTCTAAGTCTTGCCTAATTTTGATGCTTTTATTTATCCCGATGATTACTGATTTTTAACCAAAAGTTTTATTTTATTTATGTTGATATACAATTAATATTTAATAACTAAAAACCAATATTTTTTAATTAAAATATGACACTTAAAGTCATAATTATGAAAGTGTTTTATCTAATTTAAGTCATTCTTTTATTTATTTTATTATTATTATAATCATGGCATAAAAATGATTTAATACTCCTTTAGTTTTTAGTAAATGTTTGTTAATAATTAATAATGAATTTTTAAATGTCTTTTAATTTTTTATTAATCTATTAAATAAGATTCCCATTAACTTAAAATAATAAATGATACCTTTATAGAATCTGAATTATATTATTTATGATATATATAAATAATTAATAACTCATATTTCATTTAAAATCTGGTTATTAATCTGGTTAAGCTTTATAAAATGAAGGTAAATCTTTCAAATTATTATAAACTTCTTAAATTGTTGGGAATAAAGTAATATCTAATTTAAATCTTGCAATAGCTCCCATAACTTATGGAACTAAAAAGCAATCTGCTAAGGTGATTTCATCTCCAAAACAATATTTTCCATGATTCTACAATAATAATTTTTCTACAGCTAATTAAATATAGATTAAAATAATATACTTTAAAATTCACTTTTCAACATATTTTATACGAATTCTACACGATCAAACTTTTCTACATACTTCTCTATCCATTCAAACATTATTAGATTCTAATATGGATGCATTCCAGAATTAATCAGCTCACAAAAGCCTCTAAGAATATTTAATCAATCCTATTACCTAACCTTTGCCTTTTAAATAGGATCTTATGGAAGCAACTTCTTTTCAGGGTGAACTTCATCCAAGTATTCTGCTATTGCCATACTTTCTATTAAAATTGTTCCATCTGGAAGATGTAAAGCTGGAACAGCCTATATATATTAAAATCAAATTTACTTAATTTGGTAATTCTTAGCTATGATTTTCAGACTTATGTTCACCTTAAAGAAGATTAATGAATTTTGGTTCATAATCAATTTCTTTTAGATTTAATACAATCCTTATTCTGTGAGAAGTTGATGATCTAAAGTATGTAAATAATCTTAATTTTTATTACATATTATAAATATTTCATTCATAATCTAATTTATTTTTATTTCTCTAAAAATAAATAACAAAGCAAATAAACATGAAATTCAAGAAAAAACTTTATTTATTTATAAATTAAATATATATTATCTCAATATAATAATTATAATAAAATAATTATGTTTTTAATTGCTTTTTTTATTTTTGTTTCAAAAGCTATTATTTTACAAAGCCTTCCTTAATATTCAGATTTTCAGTTTAATACTTTTGATTTTGAATGTGAAAATATAGGGCTCACTGAAAATGTCAGTTTTTACGTTGAAAACTAACAAGATTCTAATATAATTTAAAAAAATGCAAATAATTTTCAAGAATTATTTAATGATAAATGGAATTCAACTTTTATCAACTTAATTTATGAGGAAATATTTTTACCTTAATCTATTTTGATTCTTTAAACATAAAAAATTGCTTTTGAAATCAAAACATTCATATGTTCTTTAATTTAATATAAGGAAAATTAAGATTACTAAATTTATTGTACATAAGAAATGAAACAATAAATGATAGATGATAAAATTAAATTTAACCTTATACATGAGTTTTCATTTTCAATCTAAAATGAATAGAATCAATAATGCTAAAATTTTTTATTTGTAATCAATTAATTTTATATTCTTTGTCTAAATGATGATTATATTATAATTATTACTCTTGATATGAAAGGTAATTAGTAATTACAAAAGATTTTAATCACTAATTCAAAATGTTAAACTAAATTTAAATATACTTTTGATCATTATTATATAATTTCATTGTATTAATGTATAAAATGGGAAATTATTATTCTTGATGAAAAAATGTTGATATTTAATAGGATTTCAAGTTCATAGATTCAAAGTGAAAAAAATGATACTTATTAGTATTTATAAGACATACAATATTGTTAAGAGAAACTGATTCTAAATTTTACATCAATTCATATTTCTTTTGACTATTAAAATTTGAATACAAATATTAAATATGAATTGTTTTACTAAAATGAAAATACATAAATGTTTATATGCCTAGCATAATCAAAATTTTATCTATTAAATTTTCCCTTATAGTTCCAAGAAATGATTATTTCTGCTACTCTCTCTTATGATTGGAAAGATATTTTCATATTAGGAAATTCAATTATTTTGGTTTAATACTCTGATCATTTAGTTGCTATTTTAGCCAAAAAGATTAAGTAAATCATTAATATTAACATTAAATAATTAGTTCTATTAACAGATAATATTTAATTTTTCATCGTAGACTAATTTAATAATCTTAGCTTATTTAAAGCAGACTAATTCTAAATTTTGCATTCTTATTAATAAAATTAAAACTATGTAGGATTTTTTAGAATAAAATATTTTTAATTATATTTTATCAAATGCTTTTAAATCAAATAATATAAAAATGAACTTTTAAAAATACAAGATTAAATAAGAAATTTAAGAAATAAAAATTATCTAATCAAAATTGATGATAATTTTGATAATCAAATTTTGATTGATAAACTAAGCTTTATATTAGAAAAAAATATAAACTTAACTTTTTCTTTTCCAAGTTTATTTAAAAAAAAATATATTCAAGATGAAAATAATGATTAATGTTAATTATTTAGAAGAAAACTTAGTAATTTTTCAATATTTTATATCCTAAAAAGAAATTCTAAAAACTATATACTTTATAATGATGAAAATCAGTCATTAGTTATTTATAATTGCAGTTCTTCTAGATAAGTCAAATATAATTTAAAATTAGATTTAAATACTATAAAAACATATTATGAAGTAGAAAATTTTCGTTTTATTTTGATTTAAGAAACTTTAGGAAAAATAGTTACGTTTGGTCTCTCAAGCTAAGAAGAAAAATCTATAATTTATAAAATTTATTAATTCAAAGAATAAATNCATAAGAAATGAAACAATAAATGATAGATGATAAAATTAAATTTAACCTTATACATGAGTTTTCATTTTCAATCTAAAATGAATAGAATCAATAATGCTAAAATTTTTTATTTGTAATCAATTAATTTTATATTCTTTGTCTAAATGATGATTATATTATAATTATTACTCTTGATATGAAAGGTAATTAGTAATTACAAAAGATTTTAATCACTAATTCAAAATGTTAAACTAAATTTAAATATACTTTTGATCATTATTATATAATTTCATTGTATTAATGTATAAAATGGGAAATTATTATTCTTGATGAAAAAATGTTGATATTTAATAGGATTTCAAGTTCATAGATTCAAAGTGAAAAAAATGATACTTATTAGTATTTATAAGACATACAATATTGTTAAGAGAAACTGATTCTAAATTTTACATCAATTCATATTTCTTTTGACTATTAAAATTTGAATACAAATATTAAATATGAATTGTTTTACTAAAATGAAAATACATAAATGTTTATATGCCTAGCATAATCAAAATTTTATCTATTAAATTTTCCCTTATAGTTCCAAGAAATGATTATTTCTGCTACTCTCTCTTATGATTGGAAAGATATTTTCATATTAGGAAATTCAATTATTTTGGTTTAATACTCTGATCATTTAGTTGCTATTTTAGCCAAAAAGATTAAGTAAATCATTAATATTAACATTAAATAATTAGTTCTATTAACAGATAATATTTAATTTTTCATCGTAGACTAATTTAATAATCTTAGCTTATTTAAAGCAGACTAATTCTAAATTTTGCATTCTTATTAATAAAATTAAAACTATGTAGGATTTTTTAGAATAAAATATTTTTAATTATATTTTATCAAATGCTTTTAAATCAAATAATATAAAAATGAACTTTTAAAAATACAAGATTAAATAAGAAATTTAAGAAATAAAAATTATCTAATCAAAATTGATGATAATTTTGATAATCAAATTTTGATTGATAAACTAAGCTTTATATTAGAAAAAAATATAAACTTAACTTTTTCTTTTCCAAGTTTATTTAAAAAAAAATATATTCAAGATGAAAATAATGATTAATGTTAATTATTTAGAAGAAAACTTAGTAATTTTTCAATATTTTATATCCTAAAAAGAAATTCTAAAAACTATATACTTTATAATGATGAAAATCAGTCATTAGTTATTTATAATTGCAGTTCTTCTAGATAAGTCAAATATAATTTAAAATTAGATTTAAATACTATAAAAACATATTATGAAGTAGAAAATTTTCGTTTTATTTTGATTTAAGAAACTTTAGGAAAAATAGTTACGTTTGGTCTCTCAAGCTAAGAAGAAAAATCTATAATTTATAAAATTTATTAATTCAAAGAATAAATTAGAATTTCTTGTATCTTTTAAAATTAATTAATTATCTAACTTGTAAACTCCTCAGAATTATATTTCGAATTTTAAAATGAAAATCAGTTCTTGAATTTATCAGGCCATCATGAGTTTAATTTTGACTTTTTATTTAATTAGAATTTTAATGGAGCCATCAAAATATTAACTATTAAAAAGATACTTATTTTTTAATTCGAAACATATTTGCTTATATATTAATCAAATTTATTATATTTGAGTATCATATTAATATTATTTTTAGTTATAAATAAAAAGTTGAATATATTAGGAGGATACTTATATAATAGTAAAGTTTTACAATTAATATTATTGGCAATAGATTAGGAAATGAATACAATTCATAAATATTTAATTACTAAGTTAGATTATTATTTAGTTTCAACTTTTAGCTTTAGTGATTATTTTCCAATACAACCTTTGCGTTATTAGATATAATAAAGCCATTTTATAATAGTAACTGTTAAATAAGATTAAACTTAATTTCATCTCTTATTATTCAATTTCTTAAATTGTTACAGTTTCAATTATTATTAAATAATTTCTACACCTAATGAAAACTTTTATATTTAAAATGATAACCTTTATTATTATAATAATTAAGAATTAATTTCAATATAGCTCAAATATTATTCATTTAATTTTTAGTTATAAGAACTTAATCAAATATTCTACAAACTAGAATTAAAAATAAATATAAATTATACTACATCATTATAAAATTATAATTATGAAGAGAAATTAAATTTATTGTTGTTTAATTCTTAATTTGATTTAAAATAAATCAATCAACATAATCGTAAAATTCTAATCAAGTAGGATTAAAATATAATATATCCAAATTTATATGTTGTTGGATATTTTACTGAAATATCTTTGATTAATAATAATGCTTTTATGATTTAAAATCCATTTAAAGTTATCAATAGAAATTAATGTTATTATATTTACAATGGCATTTGCTTAATTTAAGATTCTAAAAATATTCAACTTTACGATTTATCCAGCAACGCAAAAATGGATTAATTTTTAAATATAGATATAATGATTTAGGATTAAGCTTACATTTTTTCGTGTAATAAGGGATTTATTTTTGTAGAATAATTAGATTCAGATCTTATATAGATTACATATTTCACTTAAAATATAAGAAATAATCAATTTATGGTGGGATTGCNTATCTTTTAAAATTAATTAATTATCTAACTTGTAAACTCCTCAGAATTATATTTCGAATTTTAAAATGAAAATCAGTTCTTGAATTTATCAGGCCATCATGAGTTTAATTTTGACTTTTTATTTAATTAGAATTTTAATGGAGCCATCAAAATATTAACTATTAAAAAGATACTTATTTTTTAATTCGAAACATATTTGCTTATATATTAATCAAATTTATTATATTTGAGTATCATATTAATATTATTTTTAGTTATAAATAAAAAGTTGAATATATTAGGAGGATACTTATATAATAGTAAAGTTTTACAATTAATATTATTGGCAATAGATTAGGAAATGAATACAATTCATAAATATTTAATTACTAAGTTAGATTATTATTTAGTTTCAACTTTTAGCTTTAGTGATTATTTTCCAATACAACCTTTGCGTTATTAGATATAATAAAGCCATTTTATAATAGTAACTGTTAAATAAGATTAAACTTAATTTCATCTCTTATTATTCAATTTCTTAAATTGTTACAGTTTCAATTATTATTAAATAATTTCTACACCTAATGAAAACTTTTATATTTAAAATGATAACCTTTATTATTATAATAATTAAGAATTAATTTCAATATAGCTCAAATATTATTCATTTAATTTTTAGTTATAAGAACTTAATCAAATATTCTACAAACTAGAATTAAAAATAAATATAAATTATACTACATCATTATAAAATTATAATTATGAAGAGAAATTAAATTTATTGTTGTTTAATTCTTAATTTGATTTAAAATAAATCAATCAACATAATCGTAAAATTCTAATCAAGTAGGATTAAAATATAATATATCCAAATTTATATGTTGTTGGATATTTTACTGAAATATCTTTGATTAATAATAATGCTTTTATGATTTAAAATCCATTTAAAGTTATCAATAGAAATTAATGTTATTATATTTACAATGGCATTTGCTTAATTTAAGATTCTAAAAATATTCAACTTTACGATTTATCCAGCAACGCAAAAATGGATTAATTTTTAAATATAGATATAATGATTTAGGATTAAGCTTACATTTTTTCGTGTAATAAGGGATTTATTTTTGTAGAATAATTAGATTCAGATCTTATATAGATTACATATTTCACTTAAAATATAAGAAATAATCAATTTATGGTGGGATTGCTATTTTCAGCATCATTAAAATAATCATTGTTAATAGTTTAAACAAATAATTTGACAAATTATTATTTTATAGAAGAATAGATTAATTTATTATATTCCTATAATTTTATTGATTAATAAAATAGGAATTTCTATTTAAATCAAATTGGAAGTAATCAAGTCTGTTAAACAGCATTTTAATTGTTAGAAATAAACATAAATTGCTTTTAAATTTCATAAAATACTATTTCACCAATCAAAAATTATACAATTTTTATGAAGGACATCTATAATTAAATGTAATTTTATGAATTTTTACCTAATTTCTTAGAAAAGCTTGATTTGGAAGCTTTAAATTTATCAAAAATTTAGGAAAATGAATTAGAGTTAATATTTTTACTTTATAATTAAAAGAATCTGATATTTTATTTTTAGATCATATTGAATAATTATGGATATCATATTAAAATAAATAATATCATCAGATATCCTTAATATTTTCATAAATGTAATTCATATATTCTAAAACACAAATTATTATTTGATTGCTCAAATTTATAAATGTTTATTTTTGACATCTAAAATGAATTATAAATATTAGATTCTTATGCAATCTAAATTATCCTAAATCAGTAAATTGATATAATTAATAATACTCATATTGCTTTATTTGATTAACGCAATCTTTATGTAGAAATAATTGAACTTGATTATTGGAGAATAATAAAAAATCCTAATGTAAGTTTGAATGAATAAAAATTTCTTACATTTTGTTTTCAAAATCATTTAACTAAGTTGGAATTTTAAGTAGAGATAATTAATGAAACAAATATTGAATCTGAACTAAACATAATAGTCATTTTAGTAATTGCAATAAACAATTTATTTGTTATTTTGTTCATCAAAATTAAAAAGTTAAAACGGAAATGATTATTTTTGTTCATATTTTTATTCTCTATAAATCAATTTCTAAATTAATTTAGCAATCATTTTAAATTGTATGAATGAAATTAATAAATAATTAAAAATAACTTCCAATTTTAATAAATAATAAAAAATTATGTAAATTTTTAAAATTAGAGTAATTGAACAATAAATTAACGAAAAAATAAAAAATGATAGCATTTTTATAAGTTTAAGATATTTAATAATAATAATTTGATGCTCTGAAATAAAGGAATATGTAATTATAATAATAAATTAAATTAATTTAAGATGCATGTATCTCCTAAATAATTTGAAAATTCAATAAATTAGCTTAACAAAGAAAAAGATGAGTTAAAAAAAATGATAAGCTTCATAAAAAAAACCATTTATTAGATCATGAAAAGAAATAGTTAATAGATAGATAAAGAATTATTCAATAATTGTTTAATATAATAATTAAGAAAAGTAAAGAGAATTAAAAGGACCGAGATAGAAAAGCACTGTTGTAAAAAAAAATAGAGAGATTATAAATAGTGAAAAACTAATAAAAGAAAATACTAAGTAATATTATTGATTAACATGAGAATGGGATAAAAGTATATAAAACTTACAATTATAATATAAATGAATGATAATTTATTACTTGAAGGTTATGGAGAGACAAATGATAAAAAAGTAGTTTATCAATAAAAATATGATTAAGAGAAAAAGATAGTGAAGTTCAAAGATAAGCCACAAGTATGTTTGAAATAATCAAAAATAGTATTGACTTTTGAAGTATGAGATTATAAATCAAATTAAATTTTTTAATTCTGGATGAATAGAGTGATAGCTTTTAGTTTTGCCACATATGAATCTTTAGTTTAGAGATTAAGTAGTGTCGATAATGCAAATAATCTCTTTCGAATTTATGAAGAAAATAAGGAATAATTTAAACATGAACATATCGTGTTATCAATGAAAATGCTTGGCAAATTTAGTCGTTAAATTCATTCAGACAATAAATTTTTGGAAATAACTAATAAATTAAATGATATTGTTGACTAATTGACAGAATATGGTATATGATCTTTTTAATTCAGATGTTGTGGATGTATTGTTTTGTTTAAGGAAATTCAGATCAAGTCGAGTTCCAATAAATATTACAAATCAAACCTAAAACTAATTATTTTAGCGAATAAAATAGATGTCTGACAAATAAATGTTTTCATTTAAAAACATGTGCAATATTTACTATGATTTATCGTTTCTAAATCATTATACTGAAAGTCTAGTTAAATCTATTTCTGAACAAATGTTAACTTCTAAATAGTTATCTCCCTTCATCATAATTTAACTATTAAGTACTATTGTTATCAAAATTAATCATTGCATTATTTCTAAATATGATTAAGTAATACTAACTAATTCTATCAAAGTATTAGATACTTAATTAGATAGTTTTGATTTAGAATAAGTATCAAAATAATTAATTATTAGAAATCTTTTGTATTCAAACTTTGTGCTGAAGTAAAATTTTAAAATCTTCCTCCTAAATTCTAATTACCAATCTAATTAAAAAAAATTTAAGATAATTTGTCAGATAAAGTAGATTAACTTCAAGAAGAATCAGTTATTAATATTTTTAAAGCATATGAATGCCTACCAAAATAATTTGATTTTTATCTATTAAGAAATTTAAGAGATATTATTATAAGAACTTTAGAATAAAATCCATAAAGTTTAAACAATTAATTTTTAATCTAAATAGCAGAAAGAATGATTAAATTAAGTCATAGAATATCTTTAGATAATATCAAAAGAGTTTTAATTGAAATATGTAACAGAATTTAAAATAAAACTATTGATATTAAACTATTAGATTAATTAATTCCAGTTTTAATGAAATATAAAAAAATCGAAGATGTTCTTAACATATTTATAAAATTAGAAGATAAAAGCATTATGGTTTAAAGCTATTTATTTATCAATGGAATCAACATGAAAGTATATTTGGATGAATACATTCAGAATAAAAAGAATTAATAAATTCCATTAAATTTAGCAATTACTTATGCAATATTTGCTAATAGAGATGCTAAGGAACATGTAGATTTATTTCTTGAAGTTTGTAGAGAATAATTATAGAAATATCCATTATAAACATTAAGAACCTTATAAGATGTATAATTGAATTACTAAATCAAATATTAAATTTAAGAAGAAGCTTATTTAAATTTAATTGAATAAATATAATAAAATAAATTTGATTTTCTTCGAATTTGTAAAGATTTAATTCATAGTTGTTGTAATATTAAATGTAGAAATGCTTTATTTCAACTTTATGAATAATAAAATGATTAAATTAATCCTAAATAAATTATTCATAGATTAATTTAATAAGGATCTGATTCTCTTAGTTATGAATCATTTAATGCTCTTGCATAAATATTACTAAAAGATCCTAAAAATATACCAATTTAAAAATTTGTGGATTATTTAACTCTTAATTAATAATAATTACTAGAATTAATTAAAAGTGATCATATTTCATTGGCTACTAAAATATTAATTAATGCATATTAAGCTTAGCCTGAATAAAAACTTTATTCAATAGTTAATTTTGCAATTAGATTTGAAATTGCTGGATATCATAGTGAATATATAAGTAATGCAATAAAAATGATTTCATAATTATTCAAAAAGAATTACCCATGTTCTCCATATCCTGATCCTTTATTTGTTAATTTATTAATCAATTATAATATAATGACACCAGAAGATGCTATAAATCAATTAAACAATGAAAAAATTCATTACAATACCAAAGTTTAATTATTAGGAATTATTTAATCTTCAAAAAATAATCCGGAAAATATTTAAGAATTAAGTGACTAAATTAAAGCAAATAGCTTTGTATCTTTACAAAAAGAAATTACATATTAACCAATTTTAGATTTAATCACTTTAGGATATTATACTTATGATGAACTTTAAAATATAAAAATGAATCTCTAAACATTATTACCTAATTTATCAATTAAATAATACTATGAATTAATTATGTTTGCTAGACATGAATCTATTTTAAGAGAATTAGCATTTTTATTCTATGAATTTTCTGCTAAATTTGGAATTAATAGAATTATTAGAGCTGCTCATAAATTTGCTAAATTCAAAATCAGAACTTAAAGTGTTTATAATGTACTTCTTGAAACTTATGGATATTCTTTTAATACTGTTTTTAATGAACAAAGAATCTAAATTTTATAAATATTTGCTTTAGCAAAAATAAAAGAACCTGATCTTTTTAAAAGATCATTAGAAAAAATTAAATAATAAGCTTCAGCTTATAAAGTATATTATAATGATATTATTGAAATCGTTACTAGTTTAGGTCTAATTGAATAAGAGTTTGTTGATTTAATTAATGAAATAATTGGAAAAAATTAAATGTAAAGTTAAGTAGCTCTTAAATTAATGCATTATTATGTCTTAGCAGATTAACCAATTTAGGATATTGAAAAGATTGTACCAATTATAAACTTGGGTGATATAAAAAATAAAGATAATTATAGAAGTGTATTAGTTTATGAAATTTTACTAAGAAAATATCCAAATTCTATTGCAACTTAAGTTAATGAGATTTTTCTTCATGAAGATAAATTTTCTAAAATCAGATACAATCTTGCTAATCCAATTTAAATATAATATTTTAAATATCAATTATGTTAACAATATCTATAATTGTTAGGTGTCGAAATAGAATTAAATAAAACAATTAATGGTATTAATGTTGAACTTTACTTACCTTCAATGTAATTATAAAATTATATAAATTAAGTGAAACATCTCTTTTAATAGTCAGTTAAGTTTAATTAAATTATGATTAAACTACCCTTAGTGGGCATGGAATTTTAGAAAAGAAATTATTAGAAACTCTCACAAAAAGTGTTATTGTTATTAATTTTAAATAATTCATAAAAATAGAAAATCATTAAGATAGAGCTATTTTCTTGATGAATTTAGGTATTTCTTTTATTAATTATTAAGGAATACCAATTAATGTTGATATAAGTTAAATAGATTTTAGTTCTATTTCTATCGATCAAATTGATGAGAGAGCTAAACATTTAAGATCTTATAATAAAAATGATACAGATAAAACAGATTTTGATGAAGATGATTGATATTAGAGTAAAAATGATAATTCAAAGTTATTTTATAAATATCTATTAACAAACTATAACTATTCTAATTTCTCTTTTGATTCTATTATTATTTTTTTTGTTTTTATCAATTAATATATATTTAACCTATAAATATCCATTTAAATTATTTGATAAACAAAATCAAAAAAGAAGTATAATTAGTTTTTAAATAAATTATATATTTTGCATAAATAAATCATGAAAACTTTATGTCATATTTTCTCTATAGCACTTATTATCCTATGTGATCATCTAATTTAGTTAAGCGTTATTGTATTTTAAATATTTCTTTTTCTAATTACAAATTATCATTCCTAATATTTTCTAATTAAACTATCTGATCTTGCATTTCATGATTATATTCAACAACTTACTATTAAAGCATTTATTTTAGTTAAAGAATTTGAGGTTCAATTTCATTTTAAATTTCTTCACTTTATGAATTAACTAGTTGATTCATATGAGTAAGATCATCTTAAAGTAATTCACTTTCTTATTTATAAATTGTAGTTAACTCTTTCATTTTCAATATGTACACTGAATTAGTATGTGCAGAATCAAAACAAGTTAATGTATTGATTGGTCTAAGGGTTTCTCTTTTTGTAAAAACATCATTTTATTTCATATAAAATAATAAGTTATATAATATAATTTTATAATCGGATAAATTAAGTTCTTTAAAAAGAATGAAAGAAAATAAAAATGTTTTAAAAAATAAGTTAAAAAAATCAACATTCATATGATTCAATTCCAGGATCTGTATCTGATATTATTTTTGTTAGTGGTTCTATGAAACTTGAAGCTAGTTTCGATACTTAGGGATCCTAAAATATCTATGTCAGTAGTTATCTAAGATTTTCATTCTCGTTTTCTACTTTTCTAACTTTCTTTTATATTTCTTCAAATGCATCTTACAATGGACCAATCTTTTCAAGTGCTTCTCTCTTTTTTCTTTAAGATTCATTTGCAGAATTTCTATTTCTACGTACACATTAGCATTTCTTGCATGAACAATTCTATTCTCCATTATATACACATTTATTCTTTAATTTCTCTATCATTCTCAAATAGTAATTGGAACTATTTTTAATTATTTAGGTTTCCTATTTTTCATTAAATTTAGTAATATCTATCATATGACTCTCTAATTAAATTAACATAGGTAATATGTATAAAATTGAACTATTCATTTAATTATGTATCTATTTGGTTCTTTTTATAAATTCCTACAAATCTATTACTACATTTGTATCATTAAAAAATATTGTGATTGCTTTTTTCAAAAAGTCTTAAGTTGTTGCTTTGAAACTACCCATAATTAAAAGATACTAAATTCAATATAAATTATACCTCTTAAAATATTTAATCACTATGTAATTAAGCTGTTTACTTAACAGTATTTTCAACTATATCAAAAATTAAATTTGATTTCTTGAAAAAGTTATTCATCAAAATTGTATAATTGTTAAATTACAATAAAAATTATTCTTTAGTTAATTGTTTTTACTGTTAACTCATTAATTTATATATGAATGTACTCCAAACATCTTCGGTTTCTTTTATTATTAATTAATGCAATTGATAGAAACTTAACTATTGACTCACCTATTTATGTTAAGATATCTAGTATTAATACAGTGAATCAAAAAATATATCACAAAAGTCATCTCTAAATAGTAAAAATTAAGAAAAATATTTCAAATTTATTTATCTACTATCTGATAGTTAATCTAATATTTTAATGATGGAAGTACCTCTTTCAAACTCTACTAAAGAAGATCTCAATAATAGAGAGAGTGTTTTAAACAATGAATTACTCATAGTTATATTCATTGGTTAATTTATGAATTAGGATTTTAGAATTCCTATTTAAGTTTCCTCTCCTTTTAATTAATCCAAACCATTAATAATTAAATTCCCTAAGACATTTAGAAAACTAGGTAAATTATTCCCAAATTTATTTTTTATGATCACTACTTCTCCTCTCAACACTTATTATTAAAAATATTATGTAATTCTGTTTTAAATCTCAATCAATGGCCATGTTTATCTAATATTGAATTTAAAACTTTATACTTCTCACTAATATTCGAAGTCGGTTGTAATACAAGGGAGAGCAACTGTTACTTTTTTATAATCTTAACATTATATTAATTTAATTTACTTCTTGATTTTATCTTTGGACCTGATCCTCTTATTTCACTTTTTCTAATTCTTATTGTTTCATTATTGCCTAAAAGTAAAGTTATTATAAAGGATTCATAGTAGTTATTTAAATAATTTTTTTGAATGCTGATTTAGAGCAAAATACATTTATTTAGAGAAATGCGTACTATTTACTATATATAGTTATTTACATTAAAAGAAAAATTGTTATTTATTGTAATTTCAAATAGCGCGTCATTTATCATTAATTATTATAATTTAACATTCAAGAAAAATAAGAAAATATTTTAGTATTTAAGTCTAAACAATAAAACTTAACTTAATCTTCCTTTATTAAGCATTGTGAAATTAAAATATTTAAATATTAAGTATCAATTTTTTTATATAAGTAGGTATAATTTATATAAAAATTATTTCATTCCACTAAAAAACTTATTATGTTTAAAAAATTCAAATATTAGAAATTTATAATAAAGAATGATTACACCCAATATAAGAAGTCATATATCTGAGATTTTTATTGGTCTAAAAAAATAAAGAATATTAAGTACAGAATATAATAAATCAAGACCATTTAATAGTATAGAGAAGAAAAATGAAGTTTTTTTCAAATAGATATAAAAGAATGAAGCCTCCCAATAGAAAAAAAAAGTAGTTTAATGAGTATAAAATTTTTCTTATGGCACTGGTTAATTTTTTATGTATTATATCATTAGCTCTTAATTATTGATTTCTTTCTTATAAAATAGACAAAATTTATATCAAAAAAAGTTAATGATGTTTCAACATTGTCTTTTTATAATTTCTTCAGAGGATAAAATATTCATCTTTAATTATTTGTATAATTATTTTTCATTATGTGCTCCAGTATATTGATTAAACTTATTGGCTTTCTTTTTTGAATGGGATTTCTAAATTTTTTAGAATTATTCAGCTCTAAAAATTTCTCTTGAATAAAAAATAGAATTATAGAATATTTGATTTTCAGGAATTCCAATTTATTTTGTGATTGCTAATTGTAGATTATTATCACATTATTCGGTTAGTTCATTTGAAAAACAACAATAAGGTTTTTTAGGAATTGGTTCTTGTCCAAGAGTTTTAATTGCTCCTTCTTCTTCTGGAATATCAAAATCGTTAGACTCTTTTACATTTTTTAATGATTTGCAAGATGATCCCATTTTAATATTAGAATTTAATTATTAATGTCGCATTATGTTAGAAATTATATTAAAATATAGTAATAAAGTGATATAACTATTTTTAATAAATGAAAAAATAAGAAAGAGATGTGATTATATAATTTATGATTCAAATAAAAAATAGATGTTAAAATGAAAATACTTTAATGATAAATTTGAAGATTGTAATCCAAATTGATCAGAAATGACATATTAAATATTTAGATTTATGTTTATTTTAACGCAATTAATAATTTTTTCTTAATTTTACTGATGTCTTCATTTGATTAGGAATAACAATTAAGAAAACCTTCAGATGTTACTGCTATCTTTTAAAACTATCCTTAAGATCAAGAAGAGGATCAATATATCGAGAATTTACCTTTACCTGCCTTACGATAATATAAGTAATAATTTAAATTATAATTCAAGGAGCAATTTTTCAGATGAGGAATACTTCATAAATGGAAAGTTGTAAAATTTAGGTGGTAATGAACAAGAATAAGGAATTTTTATAAATATTAATCAAATAGAAGAAAAACTTTAAACAAAAAATTTCTAGTCACTTGAATAGGTAGACAATACTAATCAAAATAATCGCTTGTAGGGAAAGAGAATTAGAAGAACTAACAATTATAATGTATATATAGCATAAATAAATTTAGGAATTTTTTGATTAACAATTAGATGAATAGAATAAAAATAATTCACCTTGTAAATGTAGTAAATCACATTGTTTATAACTTTATTGTGCTTGTTTCCATAGAAATATTGAATGTTCAAAATTATGCAAATGCTATGATTGTCATAATAAATAGGATTATTGTTAAATTAGAAATTAAGCTTTTGAGAAAGTGAAAATAAAATAATAGAAACTCAAGCATGATAAAGATTTATTTGATAAAACAACTGTATGGGGATGTTAGTGTAAAAAGTCATAATGTAAAAAAAACTATTGTGAATGTTTCATCAGAAATAAAAAATGCTCATCTTTATGCAAGTGTAAGAATTGTGAAAATAAAAAGAGAATACAAAACTTAAAAAAATAGTGAAATGTAAAAATTTATAATACTGATTACTTTTGATTATTTTGATTTAATTATTATATAAAATAATTAAATATAAGTTATTAATATAATGTTTATTTATGAAAAGAAGAAAATACATATACCAATAAAATTTCAATTTAAAAATTATGACAACCATCTAAACCCTTCAGCATAACCTACTCTGTTTGCTACACTGCACATAAATACATCAACAGGTCTTCCATCAATTTCCTTAATATTTTTATTATTTATTTGTTATTTAACATTTATTCCTAAAGCTTATCTTAATTCTTCTTCAGGCACTGCTCCTGGTTTGTCAATTTTGTTTCCTAAAATTACTATAGGAACCTAAACAAAAATATTAATCATTTTATACCTTTGCTAATTCTGCTGTATTTAATATTTATTCCAGCTCATCTCTGCTTTCCTTTAATCTTTATGAATCTGCTGAATCAACAAGATAAATAATTCCATCAACTGTTGGAAAATAATTCTTCCAAGTCTTTCTAACTGCTTAATGTCCTCCTAAATCAAATGCCTTGAATCTAACATTGCCTAAAACTAATTCTTCTGCATGTGGATGTAATGTTGGATCATGTTACACCATTCTATCATCTTTCAATCTTCTTAAAAGAGTTGTTTTCCCTGCATTATCAAGACTATTAAAATATTAGAATTTTCTAATTACCCCAAAAACAATATTTTTGCATTCTTTTTGTAAAGTCCTAAAGAACTCAAAAGACTTTTAAACATGTTTAGAATAAACATCTTAATTTGTTATATTTAAAATATTAAAATAAAAAACGAAATATTATTTGGATTTGAACAAATTTTTTATTGCATAATAATCGAACACATCATTCTCATAATTTATGTTTAATATTGAAATTATTTCAATAATAATTTTACTTTATAAAATTATTTCACTTTATTGTCAACTTATTTCTCATTAAAATATAGATAATTAAAAAATACTAATTAAATATGAAACACTTACAAATCAGAATTTTCGAAACATTAAATAAAAAGTTTTAATTAATTGTAATATTGAAATTTGTTAAATATATAAAAATCAAAGTAGTTCCATAATTTGTTGATTTTAAAGAATTTGTACTCATTTAAGATCATCTTCATCAGTTTCCTCTTCGATAGATATTAAACTATCTAATTTAATATCTTTCTGATTCAATTGTCTCATTTTTTTTATTTTTTATAGAATGAACTTAGAAATTTAGTCCAAATTTAACTCTATATCTGGATGGACATTCTAGTTAAGTAAATACTCTTTCATATAATTTTTTTCAATCTCACTAATGATTTAGAGATCACAAAAATTTTTGAGAGTTTAAAATGCCAATTTGTAATAGGTTTGCATTTTATAAAAAATTAAATTTAATATATAAGTTAGCCTCAAATAATCTTATTTAAATCATAATGCATCAGATTGTTATATTACCTGAGCAGTAAATTAAAGATTCCCATATTAAATTTAAATTATGGTGTCTGATTTAATTTTGGAACTTAATTATTCGTCAAACCCAACAATGACATTCGGAATATTAAATTGCACTTAAGTATGATGATACTATAAATTACTTTAATTTTATTTACAATAATTCTTCAATTCATTGATGCCAACAAATTGAGAACATCTAACATCACTTTAATCTTTTTCAATAGAATAATATTTGACTTCTACAAAATACTCACAACTCAATGCAATTAAAGTATTCAATATGATAAAATTACTTATAAAAATGTATGCTGGGATAATAATGTAAGGTAATATAAATCCATGTTTTGAATACATAGGTTCAACTATATTTCCCCAATCTTACATTAATATTTGAAAATATTACCATCTAAAGTCATAATTTAAACAAGAGTATAAAATGAACCCCAAAATGATGAAAAATACTCTTATTCTTTTAATCCTGTGTATGCAAAATAATTCGATGTCAATATGCTAGCAATGAACATTAGAATTCCAAATAGCTCTGTAAATTATGGCATTAATAAAGGTAACATATCTATAGTTCCAACAAAAATTCCTTTAACAGATGGAGTAGTAGCAATTTTTAATAAATTTAGTAGACAACCAATTTCAAGGAAAATAAATGAACAAATTAAAGATAAAGGACTAAGATAATTATTAATAAATATACCCAGCTATGAAATGTAGAAGCATCATAGTTTTATTCTTTCTTTCTAAATCATAAATTGGCCCCTTCTTTATCATCAATATAATAAAATGTATTGTATACAATCCATCATCTATCAATTCAATTATTAATTCAATTGTACTATCTCCATGATCAAAATGTTCAAGTATTGAAATAAATATCCCTCCAAAACTTATTAAGAATACAATATATTCATAATAATTACCAATAATACATTTATCAAATAAATTCTATTCTTTAACTAATTCTGATAATATTTATTATTAATGAAGTTCGTAATTAAAAGGATCATCTAAATGATTACCTTTTTTCTCAAATTATAAAGTTTCAATCAATATACCCATCATTATATTTAAATAGAAATAAGTCATTAAAAGAATATAGATACATAATATAAAATATCCAAATAAATCATCTGATTCTCTTCCTATCTAAGCCCAATCATCCAAACTTAAAGCCTATACAAATGTTAATACTGATCTACCAAATGTACCATAAAATATTTTCAATTCTTCATCATCATCATAATAAGCAGTTGTTGAATAAGCACATAAACATAAAACAAAAAACATGGTAATTGCCAAATTCTTTATTTCAAACCAAACCAATTTTATTTCTTAAATCATTCTTTAAGAAAAAGGAAATGTTAAAATACCTAAACTCATAATTATTTATGAAATCCCTAATAAATTGTATTCAACAAATAAATTGGTAATACTTATTATTAATGCTATTATAGCCAATACTAAATCACTTAAATTCTTTCTATTATTTACAGCCATTAACAAATAAATTCCAACAAAAATAATATTTTACCATCCATTGAATGACAAAAATGAACCAATATAAAATGCAACCATTAATAAAGCTTTACATTTATAACCACCTTTATCAGTTTTTTGGTTAAACTCTTTTTTTGGAGAATTTTATGATGCATCTACTTAGACATCATATTCGGTCATTTCTGTTTCTAATTACATATACTTTATTTATTAAAACATTTATGCTATTTATAATATCTATAAACTATATATATAATATATATACGCCATAATATTATTAATAGAAAATAACAATAAGTTCTTAAAACTCTTTCTTATTTTTATTACTTTTAGTTATTAATCTATAAATAATCTAATTTTTCTCCTTTATATAGGAATTACTTAGGTAGAGAGAAAGTAGATATTAAATTATTATTTCTTGGCATTTTTATTATTGTTTAGCATATTCATCAAGCTGCTTGGGTAATGTTAACATATCTTATTTTAATTTCACTTAACTAGAAAATTTTTATACTTAGCCTTCACTTGTAAAATCAAAATTTTATCAATTTGAAAAAATCTTAAATTCTAAAAATAATAGAGTTTTCCATTTCATTTAAATTTGCCTTATAAAACCTACTTCATAATTTAGTTAAGATTAATATTAAAATAAATCATAAATCCTTTCAGTATTTTATGCATTAATTCATTAATCAAAATGTGAAACTTACTAATAAATCATTGCTTAATTCTCTCTTTATTATGCCTATTATCAATTTTTTGTTAATTTAATCATTTTTCCTTTATAATTACTTGTAAAGACAGACGAAAAGCGTTTCATTATTTATATATTTTTAAATTCTTTAAGTAGGTATTAATTCTTAATTTTTGATTGTTACAAATGATAAGTATTAATTCATAATTTAAAAATCAGATTTTATTATTTTTTTACTAAATTACGTTGGAAAAATAAAAAAGTGCAAATTCTACTACAAACGCTATCTGATAAAATAGTTCTTATTTTTCAAATAATTATTAATTATGTTTTTAATTAGTTTATTGTAATTTAGTATTAATAGTCATTAATCCTGCAATTCAATTTAATCTGGCCTGTCACTAAGGCGTTATCTGAAAACTATTAATTTTAATAAATAATAGATTCTTTCTTCAATTATTAATTATATAAATTCTAAAATAAAAAAAATTTGAAACTCATCTTTTAATTTATGGATCCTTTTTTAATATGCCTACATAATTAATTTTTCTGGATATCATTGTTTCACCTAATTATCTTTGCTCAAAAATTTAATTTTAAAAAATTTTTATCATCCTTTTTTTGAAGGTCTTTAATATTATGGGTTTTAGAAACATTTATAAAATAAGTAAGAACTTGTGAAAAATTATCAAAGCCTTCTCAAATTACAAAATTTTAAATCAATTTAGTTTTCCTTGCTATTTAATAAATAAAAGTAGATAATTTATATTATTCAAAAATAAAACTAGGTCATCAAATATTTTCACAGTTATTAGCCTTTTTAATTCTATATTTCTTATAAATATTTCTTGTATTATTAAAAATATATTGTTTAAAAATATGTATTTAATTAACTTTTAAGACATTAGTCATCGAATTAATTCTATGATCTTTTCGATAAAACAAACATTCTTATATTTATATCATGATAAATGTGATTAGAAAATTAAAAATTTATACAAAAACAATCAATTTTAAATAGTTTTTTCTACTTAAATATCTTAATAAACAATACGTAACAAATGAGAATGGTACAAGAAGACAATAATTTTCCATCATTTAATGAAAACGGAATCTATTTTAAAAATATGCTTTATCATTCCAATCAAGGACTAAATAAAATCCTATTAAATTTATATTTTGGATTTTTTATCATTAAATGGTTGATTAGTTTTAAGCAATTTTGTGTATTATTTATAATTAATTAATACATCAAGCTAAGCTCAAAATAAGATTATTTAATGAGTTAAAATGAAACTAAATAAGTCTACTTGATTAAATAATTAAACTACTTAGAAATGGAAAAAAAATTGAAGTAAAATCAAATACAAAACAAAAATAATTTTATTTTATATAATCGATGAATAAATTTAAGGTCACCATATTCTTTTACTATAAAAAGAAACAAAAACCTTTTGGATGAAAATAAAAAATAGAGTTTTTTATCTTGATATATCAAAATCGTTTTAAAATTTGTTCTATTTTTGTGTATATATACATTGATTCAATACTAAAATCTAAAAAGAAAAAAAAAATATTGAGCATACTCATTAAAAATATAGTTACAGTCACTTATTTTAACTCAATATTCCTCGAATGAATAATTTTATATTCTTTCTATATTTTGTGTATATATTCCTTCAATTACTTAGTTCAATTTTATGAGATAGTCTATAAAAACCTTAATTAATTATTTTATAAATTAGTAATTTAAAAAAAATATAAATCAATTTTTTTATTTTAACTCGTTTGCCTTTAAAATAAATGAATTCAATTAATTAATCTCATTCATATTTTTATAGAGACGTACTATCAAACCTAAAAATCTTTTAATAAAATTACTGTCATTGTTTAATATCACATAATCATGTGGACTTATAGTCTTTAAAATTCTTCTGAAATGTGTACTCTTTTACAATAAAATATACAATTCTGACATAACATCTACTTTAATAATAATGTCAATAAATTCATTTTATTAAACAAAGGATATACAAAGAAATATTTATATTATTTCGGCTTTGGTCTTACAGAGATGAGTAAAGAAATTTATCATAAAATTATCCAAAGAATTCTCAATTGTGAGTATATCTTTAATTTCAGACCAAATTTCAAACTTAATTATTTTTTAATCATAGGCCTAGGAATATAATTTTGCATATTTTTTAAAAGTTAATAGAAATGGTTGATTTGTGATTTTGAATGACTTTTTATAATTAAATTTTGAAAAAACGTATTTCAACTTAATTATGGCTTGATAGATAGAATTTTTATCTTGATTTAATGTTTTATCTAAAATTAAAATCTATTTCTTTATGAAACTTCTAAAATTGATTTTAAACTTATTTAATCCATTTTCATAATTAACTAGTTTTTATTATAAATTTTGAATCTCTTGTCTCTTTTTATCAATAATCAAGATGTGTATTAGTTCTGTAATATAACATTCGGAATAACGAATAAGAATTTTTTAAACATGATTGTTATTGATTGATTTTAGATCTAAAATTTTATTAACAATTAAATCATCTTATTTTTTTTTTCTGCTTAACAAAAATGTCTCCAAAGATTATCCGTGCACAAAGTAATTTCGAAGAATGAATTTAAGAGCTTCATAATTGGTTTAAAATTATTTAAATTCTGAATGAATTGAGAGATTACTGAACTTTTATTAAAACTACATGTTTTCTTTATCATAAGTACATAGCACAAAAGGACTATCAGTAAGTAAAGGTATCAATTATTCTAAAATTTAAATTATGTTTATTCATACCTTATTGGCTATCTTGTGTAGTAAATAAAAAGGATTATCTAGACTATTAATTTATCTTTAAAATAACATAGAGAAACATTAATCCAATTATAACAGAATACAGTATAGTTTAATAGGATAATGATGGCTGATAATATTTTGATACTAAAATTTTAATTACAATATTTCCTAATATCTAAATTAACCCAAATTTGAAATCAGAAACCAGAATTATCATTATATTTAATAACATTTAATTCTATCCAAATACAAATGCTTCTTGTGGTTCAAATCCATCCTCAACATATTATTACTGTAACATCAAAAAATGATTTATAAACAGCAAATAATAATCTACCCATTTTCTTTTGTTATTAAAAATGAAAAATTGAGCCAATAAAACAACTATTGTGAGAAAGAGAAATACAAAAAATCCTACCATCTGATTCTGAAAAATAAATGTTATACTTCGAAATAAGCAAAGCAAGAAACTGGTTAGATTCAAAGATCTACATGTAGGAAGTGTATACAGATAACGAGAATCTTAATACTTTTATTCCAATTTTTCACATCTAAATGTAAGAGTTAATTTATTCATTTATTTAATTATTTTTGTCAATTAATTATTATTAAACTATAAATAATTTATATTAAAGTATCTACAATAAACAATGTTGACAAAGAAAATCGATATCCAATAAAAACTTTGTGTAAATCAATTATTAAAAATATTTTTTAATCTTTGAACAGTAACATATAAAACTTTTCTATAAGTTGAATTATAATTACAGTCTATTTTTTATATTAAATTATGATGAGAAGAAACAAAAATCAATATATTGGTTATATGAAATTTATTTATTTACAAAAAATAAAATTTATAATATTTAAAATTAAGCTAATTGAAATCAAGCCCAATATAAAATCTTATTAAATTAAAATTAATTATCACCAGATGATTTTGGATAATCCTATTGGGAGTCACAAAAATAGTTTTATTTAAATGAATCAAATTTAACAGTTTATAAGTTTTAAATTAATTAATCAAACTTTATAACAAAAACAGTTTTCAGTATTGTTATTTGGTAATCATATATAACTCTTCAATTTTGTTAAGAAATCGATTATGTCTTTGTTGAATATCTTTTAATTATTTATTATATTTTTTTAAATTATCTAATGATTGATCATGTTGAATGCTCAAAATAAGTTAATAATGTACATTTTTAATGTTTATACCTGAGATAATGTTAATTTGGAATGATTGTCTGTTTTTTCTGGAGTCTTTTGATGTATTTTAGGTAATTTGAGATAATATGCATCTTTTTCTGGAGATTGAATTATAGGTTATTTTTTATTTCTTTCAGATAACAATGCTAAATTGTTTTATCTCTTAAATTTAAATTTAAAGAATGAATACAAGCGTTTCATTAGATTTGGATATTAAAGGGAGTTAAATGAATGGTTTATTTTCATGAATAGTGATTTTCTATAATTGCCTTTCTGAAAGACATATCATTTATTAATTTATATTAAATATAATTGTATTATATTTTTATATTTGATTATATTTAATAGATTTAATGTTATCTTATGATTTGTTTAAACGAAATATGAAATAAAACTTTATATATGTAAGAAAATTCTAATATGCATAGATAAGAATTAGATTTATGATTAAGAGTTTTGGATATAATTTATAATATATTAAGAATGAAAAAAGGGGGATATGCATTTTAGATTAGAAATTGTTTGAATTATATAATTTTGGTAAACAAAATTACTTAAATATGAAATTAATAATTAAATTATGTTCTAATTATATGATGGCATCAAGTTTATTTAATATAGAATAAATATTCTGAGGCCCCTGTTGGTAAAGGGAAAACTAACTTTTTTGAAGCAGTGTCTGTTCCTGTACCAGAATTTATAGCAGTGCCTGCTGCGTAAGTACCAGCAGTTTTATCTGTTATATAGACTAGAGTGTCTGTGGATAAAATTGTTGCGGTTCCAGAATTAATATAAGTAACAGTTGGAGCTAAAGTGGTATAGGCTGCTCCTGGTACAGCTGTATCATCAATAATCTTAACATAATAAACATCACTCAAAGCTTTAGTAGTGGCAGGAGCTTAGCTAATACCAAATTGTGCTGCTGGATAAGAAATTACTTAGACATATCCATTTTTAGTGTATGATAGCCATGATAAGGTTGTTGTATGTTCTTATCCATTAATAGTTAAATATAATCTAGAAAAGGTAGTTTAGGCAAAGTTTAAAATATAATAATTAGTTTGATAATGTTTGCTAAATGTTTAGACTCTTTGTAAAAAAACTCCACAGAGTTACCAAAATTTAACCATTGTAGCACCTCTTAAGGCATCAGTGATTGCTGGGTCATCCTATTATAGTTATTTATAATTACTCTTATATTTTAGATTGTTTAGAATAGAGCTTTTTCTATGTAATAAGGATGTGTTGTTGTTTTCACAAGTTCGGTTCTATAAGCATAATACATATCTAAAATTGCATTTAATTAAGTATTTGTGGCCAATTATATATTTACAGTGAATACTTAATATAAAAAGTCTGCTAAAGCAGTGCCAGTTTTAGCTCCTAAATCTGCAACTGTTATTCCTGTCAATGAATGAGTAGCTAATCCTGTGTTAGAAATTGGGAATCTAACATAGTTATAATCAATTTTTTTATTAGAATTAGGAGTGCACACATTTTCGTATTGTACATTTAAAGATGTAATTTCATAACAATTTGATGAAGCAACATAAACTCCAGTAGTACCACTACGACAAGCTCCAATTTCATTAATTCTATAACAGTCATCAGGCATAGTGTAAGCAATGCAAGCGGTTCCTGACCATTTGCAATATCCAGATGCTTTACATGCTGCTTCAGTTTACAAAGTTGTGTGTGTACAGGCTACTGTTCCTGGTTAAGCATAATTTAGAGCAATAAGTAGGAATGAAAGATAATATTTATACATTAATTTTATTACATCATCAAATGAATATTATAGAGACTCTTAAATCATTATTTATATCAAGTTATGATTTTATTAAAACTCTCAAAATGTAACAACTTTTAGTTTACTCTATAATATGAATATATAATATATATTCCAAAAAGTCAAATAATTTTACAAAATTTTCAATTTTATTATATAGAAATGTCCGATTCTCAAGAACAAGTAGATCAATTTTATGTAACAAGTACTAATCTGCATCTTGTATTATATTTAATTGATGGAACTTTTGAAACAGATACTCATTCAGTAATTAAATATGCTTTTGTGCTTAATTTACTATTAATACTTTTACTAAAAGTCTTTCAAGATGTATCAATTGTCACTATAATCAGTTCAAGAGACTTAAGTACTTTAATATTAAGATATTAGTGTAAGAAAAAAGCATTTAAATAAGAAATCTAAAATTCATTTAATAATTTTTAGAGAGGTTAATATGCTCTTAATTTATGAAAATATTCTTAAATTTTAATAATTTTAGGATACATGTAAGAATCAAGAAACTATCATATAATTATTCATAGTAGGCTAATTCAAAAGAATCTCTGTAAGAGTTAAATCATATTGTTTGAACATTATGCGTTCATTATTTTTAATAATTTCTAAGTATTTTATTCATTGTGTTAGCTATCAATATTTCATAATTATATTGCAAAGTGTACTTAGCAGTCATTATTTTATATAATTTGATAACATCTGTTGTAAATCTTTCTTTAGAATACATCAAGGTAGTTTAATCATTTTTCCATACATTAATACCAGTCTTAAAATTCCCAGAATTTGCTCATACTTGTGTTAATATACAAGTTCTTACAGTAATAACTTAGTGACATATAGCCATTTAACAAACATAGCCAAAAATAATAAATTTAACTACTAGATGTAATTTCTGAACAACTTGCAGTTTAACTCAAAGCATGATTAAATGAAGCCATCAAGAAGAAGCAATAGATTCATCAAATTTAATAATAAATAAATTATTAATGTGAATGCAATTTTATAAATGGATATTTAATATATAATCATATTATATAGATTGATTAACAATTGCTTTAGTTTATAAATTGTATAATTTTATTTCAAATATATTATTTTTATAATATGATTTATTCATTTGGCAGATAATCATTTTCAGCAATCTTTTAAACAGTAAAAGAGGTATTAGACTTCTCTAACACAATTCTATATGACATTTTCATTTCTTATCCTATTACATCACTTACATATGAAAAGTTAAGTGAAAGAATAACAGGATAAATGAAGAGAATTTTAGATGTTGGGGTAGGTACTGGGGTTCCTTTACATAAAGTTATCAATTAATTTCCTTAAGATTGTGAGATTACTGCAATCGATATAGATCTTACATATTTAAATAAGGCAATCCAATTATTTAAAGATAAACCTTAAGTAAAAATACTTGAATTGGATTTCTATAAGATGAATCCTGATATTCATGGAAAATTTGATGCAATCGTCTTTTCTTCATCTTTCTCATTACTCCATCAATAATAAGAAGCTCTTAAAATAGCGAAATCGTTACTTAATCCAGATGGAATCATTTATTTTATGCTCACTTTAAGTGATTCTCATTTTAGTGAAAGTTTAAAATATATAACGAGTATAGATTTACATCTAGAATCTGAAAGTGTATTCGAGGAATTATTAAAACAATCTTCACTAAAAATCATTCATAAATAAAGATTACAAAAGGTAGCAAATATACCAACTCTGTTATTAAAAGTGTATATTTATGAAACTAAATTATGATATCTATTTGATTAATAATTAAAAGGAATATTTATATATATATATATATATAAAATTATGAACTAAAAATTTTGCTAATCAAAATTCAGATCTTCACAGTGTTTTGTAAACTAATATTACCCTTAATTTTTACTATTATAATTAAGCAATTTGTCTATTAAATCTACATGTGTTAATATCATTCTTCTGCAACAATATCTCTCTAATCCTAATCTATCTAAAGAATCTCCAGTAGTTACACCATCCTAAAGTAATTGAACATAATCATTCCACAAATGACCTACCACCTAATTCATTTAATTAACATTTCATTACTTTTCCACATGTAAAGCACCTAATTGGAATAATCATTAATTAATTTTTATTATTTAAATAATATTATATTTTTTCATTCCATTTTTTAAACCATCTTTATTATCCTTCTAAAATATTATTAAATATAATATAATATCTTGAAAGTAAGAACCATCCTAAGTCTTTAAAAACCTTCAATTCAATTTCCAATTCTCCTATTCTTTTTATACTTATTACTTCAAAAATATCCTTCTCTTCAAAAGACTTTCTTTAATCAATTATAATTTATTCTTATAATTTAGAATTATATTATCTCATTTCTTAAAATTATTATTAAACACAAAAATTAAAGTGTTTTAAGAAGGTATTGAATTAAATTACATTTATTATAAATTCAGAATAATTCTTGAGCTTAAGAAACCTCATATTTTTAAGTATAAGAACTAATTTTAATTCTTTAAAAACTTAATAATTAAATTATTAATTATGATGTTAATAACTTCTTATCTACATTACTTGATAAGTATATGAAACTAAACTACTTCTGATCATTTATCACATGTATAATAATATGAAAATAACATATTGAAGCTTTTCAATATGTAATTATAATATATGCATTGTCCTATAGTATTTATGATTATCTTTTTTCCATTTTCTTTTAAGACATCAAAGTTAATAAGTTAAACTTACATATAGTAAATGCTTAAAAAAGGTGTAATTATACTAAAATAATAAAGTGTAAAGTTTCATAAACATTTAATTTTAAATTCAATGTTCATAATTAGTGAATTTGCCACAATTTATAAAGTTGAATTTTTAAATATTAATCTAACTAATAAGTAATTATGAAATGGAAGATCATAAAAATCAATGGTATTTGCATTCTAATTCTAAAAATTTCAGGTTATTATTATTACTTTTTTCATTAATTTAAAATGCAGAATTATTTTTTTCAAATTGCAAAAAGTTAATCATCTGATTTATATAATCAATAAATGACATAATATATAATCTAAATAATTTTTAAAGTAATAGATTTAACTTCTACAACTTAAAGAAAATATAATAGTTTGTTTTAATAATTAAAATAAAACCATGGATTCAATTCCTATCATTCTAAAATGCCCTTCATAAAATAAGGTTTACAATATCCAAATTACAAGTGATATTACTCCGTTAAATATAGAGTAGGAATTTAAAGAACAATGTTTTACAAAAGAATAAAATCTCAATTTTTTCTATAATAATTTGCTCCTAAAGCATTAAGTTCCATTATCGCAACAAGAAATTGTAAAAGGTTCTATTCTATTGATATCATTATAAACATTCTCCATCTAGATATAAATATCATCCAAAAATAAAAAATACTGTGTAGAAATAGGTGATTTTATGACAACAGATAATTTATCTTAAATATTAATTCAAATGTAGCCATTTAGTGAGGTTCAATTTTACTTAAATTAAAAATTATTGAAACCTGATGATTCATTGATTAATTAGGAAGTTTAAGCAAATTCTATAGTAGATGCCAATATAAAGTAATAAGGAGGATAAGAATTCTGAGAGATTGCTAATAAATGATATTATAATTCATTCAAAATTTTAAAATTATTTAATCTTATTCTATATATTAAAAGAAAAATTAAAAAATTATAAAATTTTCTGAATAGCATTTAATATAATAACTTTACAATAATTTTCATTTAATTTTTTATTGACTCCAAAATGATATCATGAGTTATTCTTCATTATTAAATACATCTATGATCATGAATTAAATGTTATACGAATAGTTAACCTGAAAAAAAAGAAATTTCAAAAAGAAGTTGATCTTTTATCGATGTTAAGATGCTTAATACATAAATAAAATCAAATAAATTAAAAAATTATGATTGAATTTATTAATTTAGTGTTGAAATGAATATTTTTAGTATAAATAGAAAGTTTAATGATTTTAGAATATGAAAAAAAATTATCACAGCTTAACATTCAAAATTTCAGTTTGCAATTCTTATTTGATCAAATATTAAAATCAAAAAATTGTAAAATAAAATATATTTAGTCTTAATAAATTATAGCATTATTAGTTTGATTCACAAGAAATGATTATTTTAAGATTAAAATCAAATTCAAACATCATTAAATTAGTTTCAAAAAAATTAAGTTTTGATAATCATACATTAAGTTGTTTGATTGAAATGTTAAAATGTTTAACAAGAAAATATACTCATGTTAGTAAAGCACAAAATAATAAATTAAGAAATCAAAAAAATAAAGGAATAGCAGAAGATGAATATGAATACATATTCAAATGTGAAAACTTTGCAATTAAGAAAAAATTTATTTTAATCTTAAGAACTTTACAAAATGGCTAAGTCAAAAATAAGAATAATGGTATAAATAAGGATTCAGTAGAAACAAATTCCAGATTATCAAAATATTATAAAGTTATCTAGTTTCGGAGAAATAAAATACCACCAAAAATGATAGATGTGCTTACAAGATAGATGATAGATAAGAGATTAATATATGGTAATTGAGAGCCATTATGTATTTTTTATGTTTTCGTACATCAACATTCATAGAAATGAACAAAATTTGAATTTCATAGTCAGAAATATTTAAAATTCTTTAAACATAGATTTAAATTAGTTTTGTAACTTTGATTTAAAAGATGTTATAATAAGATTCAAAAAGGAAAGCAACAATAAAAGAATTAAAATTTTCTTTATATGACAAATGGAGATGAATGAAGTGAAGTGAATTTTGATGATTAATATCATTATTTTACTTAAATGTAATAGTCAAAATAAATTTAATATTAAAAAGTAATAATATAAAAATATATTTCTACTTATAAATTAAGATTTAATGATTAATATATTTATATTACTTATAAAATTAAGGTATTATAATATCACAAAAAATTTATATTAATTTTAAGATTTAATCAATATGACATAAACGCTTTTAAGATTTATCAGTATAAAAAAATCAAAATATATCACAAGCTGTGTATTTACCATCTCTTGCTTAGAAACAAGCAGTTCTCTTTAAAAAGTTAGTTTATGGTGGAGGTTACAATTCTTGTTATTAAGATGTTATTGTATATTGTTTGATTTCTTATGGTTTTGGTTATTAATAATTAGTTTAAGGTATTTGTTTATTTTCCTTCTTTTAAAATTAATCTTCTTAGTTTTCTGATTATCCTAAAAACACAGGTCCTGAAGGCAAAGCATTTGGATAAGGGGGATGGAATTCTTATTTAGTAAAATGATATTATTTATATGATTTTCTTAAAGATTATGATTACCTAAATCGACTTGAATCTACGGGTTCTTCAACAAAATTTTTAGTTTCATTAGGATATACATTAGATTACTATAAAAATTAACTTTTCCTTTCATAAGGTTCTTCTTCGATGACTGGAAATTTAGGTAATTATCTTTCTTCTATATTTTATTATCTATAGCTTTATTTTCCTTGATTTGATTATTAATTTGATTATGGTTATGAAGCAAAATGGAAATCTTAGAAAGAAATATGTTAAATTTCTCTTGATGATTCTGAATTAACATTTTAAAATTCTAATCTTTATGGTTTTTATATACTGCTTTCATAACCAAAATTTTATGTTAATTAAGATGGTCTTTCTTCCGTTTATCTTGATTATATTAATTTATTTGATGTTTATTAAGTTGGTTAGACTACAATAGGTAGATTCAATTTAGATTCAAAGTATTCTTCTTTTAAAGATTCTTATAGATTAAGAGTTTATTATTCTTGTTATGGTTTTTTAAAAGGAGCTTAATATGCTTGATATTATTATTAATTATATGGTTCTGATGGTTTTGATCTTTATGATCTAACACTAGGTTCATAATGTTCAATTTAATGTGATAATTATTATAATTATGGTTTCTCAATTTAAATAGTTGGTAATGGAGGCCAATATTATTTAATTTTAGGCATTGTTCCTCCAAATTAAACTTCTAATTAACTTGGATCAAAATATTCTTATAATTTAGAGAAATCTTTTTTTTAAAGGAATTGTATCTTCTTATTAGATCTTTCATCAATAAATTCTAAAAATTATTAATGATTAAATTACTAGATACTAAACTCCATGACATATTAAGACCCATTGATGGATTCAAGAGATATAGTTTCTCTAAATTTCCTACATAATGAGATGCAGCAGTTGATATAATCTTCTTTAGAATTTCTATAGGCAAGCTTAATAAACCTAATTCAGCCGTATCAATCAAGATTATCCAATTCTCAACATATCCTTCATAAAAACAATATTGCTATGTAATCATAAAAACGGTGTTTAATGCTGCTAAAAATTCCTCACCTTTAATATTCTTTTAATCAATTAAACTCACTTAGAAAATAACTGAAGGTCTAAATTTCTTATCTCGACCTCCCAAATATATAATTCCTTTATCCTAGAATTCAATCTTATACATATACCAATATGGCCTAAGATCCACTATTCAATTAAAATGTTTAAGGATTGTTCAACCACTCTTCATGATTCTTTATTCCATTATAAGTATCATCCAAAATAAATCGAAATGAATATAAGAAACGATATAATAATATATCAGGATAATGACTATTATTTTTTCATATTAAGAAATACCTAGCCAAACCATTTAATTTTGTCTTTAACTAAGTTAACATCTATTATTCATATTAATCATATGGTACTCCTCCACCTCCATTTCCATATATTTTTCTAATAGCTTATTTTCCTGTTCCTTCTTTTACATAAGTAGCTAATTATTAAAATTCACTAATACCAGAATGAGTTATTCCTCTTGCTTAATTTGCACTAATTGTTAAGTAATCATATGTCGAACCAAATAATTTTTACATTCCTTTTGTATCAATAATTTAATTTATTTAATTGCTATATGAATTTTTAATGTACTATCATCTTACTAATTGATAATAGTTCATTTTTTTAAAGATATCATATGATATTACTTAAATATTTTTTTATTGATGTGTAACTAAAAAATATGTAGAAATAAAATAATTTAAATTAATTATTATTATTATAAAAATGAAAACAGAATCAGATAATGAAATAGAAACTTTATAAACTATGTGGAAAAACATTAAGTATTATAATAATCAAATTTTAGGTAACGTATGGAATCAAAACATGATGATTCAGATATCATGTAATAACCTCCATAATAAATTACAATCAATAGCCCATATGCTGCTAAAAATTATTAAGTGTAAATTCAAGCTTTACAAGATGAATTATTTCAAAAGAATACTAAATTAATAACAGCTTAATAATAATTGAATTAAATTAGTGATGAAAACTCTTAATTGTAAGATGAATTAGAATAAGTCAAAATTGAATATTCGTTAATGAAATAGAAATTGGAATTAATCGAATCATAAATAGATTCAATTCAAGCAGATAAAGAGAGCTTAAAATTAATTAGATTAGAGAATGAATAGTTAAGAATTGATGTAAAAAAATTACTTGAATTATTAAGAAAAACAAAAGAATATAATAATATAGGTTTTGATGAAACATAATCTTATGTTAAAGGAAGTATAAAATTTGACACAAGAAAATCTAAATTAGATGAATTGTAAATATTTATATATCATATTCATAGCAATTGGGTACCAACTAAATGTATTGAATTAATGTAAGACAATGATAATAAGGAAGAAATCTTATTACAATTAAGTAATTTATTTTACAATAACTATAATGAAAAAATTAATAAATTGAAGTAGTCTTCTCAATAAGAAATTGAATAATTAAAAAGGTAATTAGATAGCAGAACTACAGTTGATGGAATGCAATAATAAAAATAAATAGAAAGGTTAAAGAAATAAAAAAATGGAACTGGTAAAGATAAAGTGGATATTTCTTAACTTTAAGATTGTTTTAATTTGATAAAATAGAAGGAATTATAGATCATAGAACTTTAGTAAAGAATATAAGAAATGTAATAATAAATGAATGCAGATGAAAATTATAGTAGTATGAAAAAATAAGTCTTTATTGAAGGAGCTTAATGGATATGTATAAAATAATTTGATTATTAAAGTGGCTAAAATATTGGATGAAGTAGTTGCTTATGAAATAAGTTTGAATGAATTAAATTATGATGTAGCAATAAAAATAGAGAGTCTAATGAGTTCAGAGGATATTGTTTAATAACAAATTATAAATAAAGTCTATTATTGGATTACAGACACTTCAAGAGAACTGATTGACACTTTTAAAGATAAATTACAATCCATAATGAATACAACGAATAGTAGGATATAATAGTTATGAATATAAAAATATATATATATATAAACAAACTCAATTCATTTTTATTTTCTATTTATAAAATTAATTCAAAATAGTAGTAATAATAGTAATTAGGATTGCATAAATGGTTTCTTTTATGATATAATAAATGAAATCTATTAGAGATTATTCGATAATATAGTAGGAAATGAATAAAAGTATAGTCAGAGTGACCAAAGCAAATAAGGCTCTGTGGTGTGTAATTTTCTCATACTTCTCATTTAGTTTTTTTAATTAAACTATCACCAATCCAGTTAGTAATAAAATTAAATTATTTAGTATGAATCTATAATATATTTAAAATACAATACAAGTAAGTTATGGAAAATATGTATCCTAAAATTTATAATAAGTAGATGTCGAGACCAATAGAGATCAATAAAGTATAAAGAAGTTGGTATTTGATGATTAGTGTAAATATATTTTTATATATACAAATACTCCAATCATGGTCTTTGCAATTTTATTTGCAATCCCAACAAAATTCAAATTTACAAACTTAACATGTCATATGTGAACAACCACCATTTTTAGTAATTTTAACTTCACATCTAGGACATTAATAGGTAGAAATAAATTCAGTTATTTCATTAAGTAAAGTTTTATATGAAATTTGTTCATAGTTTTCTAATCTGGTTTAACATATTTAACAAATATCAACACAATTGACTTTACAAGGTTTTAAATAATAGAATTCACAGTTTTTATTTGGACATTATTAGACATCTAGAGATTTTTTACAATAGCTTTTAAATAATTAGTCATGAATATCTTAAATGAAATAATTTTAGATAGCTAATTATTAGATTGAATCAAAATATAGTGTTTACTTACATCCACCTGGACAATCAATATTTATATGGGTACCATCAGATGTCCAATATTCTTCTATTTTAATCTAATTTATAATTTAAACATAATTACTTTGGTATAATGTTTAATGCAATTCAGGCAAACTTTACAATTGCATTCCAAAAGGGACATTTGAGTATTTTCGTAACATATTTGACAAAAATTTTGAACTTGCATAGAATTTATTTATAATTTCTAAATTTACACTAAAATAATTAGCAAAATTAGTGAAAGAATTAAAGATTAAGTAATTTATAAAATTATCATGTTTAATCAATCAAAATGATTCTTTTGAGTAGTAGAGTATATAGATGACGAGAGAATAATGAAGAGCAATCAAAAATCTATTAAAATTCTATAGTTTAATAAAAAAATAAATAATAATATCATAAAATGGATTAAGACAAGGGAAAAAGATAATAATAAGATTATGATTAGATTGCAACAGAAGAATTAAATAAGTTGAGTCTATCAGGAGGAGATTTGGTTACAAATGTTTCTGCAACATTATTAAAATCAGTTTAGAAAGTGTAGAATGAGGAGATTAAATTAAAAGCATTATCAAAGTTTCATTAAACTTTGAGTAAATTTACAGTTTAGAATGTTTCAGCAGTAAGAGACTATGAAAATATATTAGGAATTACTTTAAAAGTTATCAAATGATAAATTGTTAATCTTTTTTGATTATGTTAATTATTCATTTGAATGTTTAAGTAAGGGAACTAAATTACCAGAAATGAGTAATTCATACAATTCAACATTCTTGTTGAATGTATATAATAAGATGGTAGAATTAAGAGGATTACCAATTATTATAGAGTCAATAAGTTAGAAGAAAACATTACCAACACAAATTATTACAATAAAGTGACATATATAATAAAACAAAGAAAAATTTTTATTAAAATTTATCTAGATTAAAGAAATCATTATTTATAATTTTAATCTTATTAGAATTCAAGGCCATAATTGGATTCGATGGTTCATAAAATCTTATATTTTCTATACTAATTTTTTTCTGTCTTTTCTTAAGTAAAGAAAATGATATAGAATTAATATCATTGTATAAATTATTATCTTCTTATCAAGAAATTATAAAAGTTGATTTATAAAAATGGAGCATCAGAATTAATAATAAAAAGCTTAAGTAAACATAGTTTTTGATAAGATTAAAATTCTTTAGGATATTAGTTGTAACTCAAAAGAAATCTCAATAATATTTATCGATCAGTTCAATAAAATATAGACAATCTTTAAAATGTAGAACAACAATGTTTATCAATCTTAAATCTCAAGAATTTATAAGTATTTTTTTAACAAAACAGCAACAACTTCTTTATATAATTAAAAGAGAACCTTAGAATTTTAAAAGCAAAAGAAAATTTGAAATAAATTAATTAAATATATAAATTGAAATTTAACATTAAATATTTATAGTTAACAAATGAAAAGAACTGTGAGATGAATTAAATGTATAGCAAAAATTAATCTGAAGATGGTTATATGGCTTAAATTGGAAGATATATTATTTAAAGTTAAATTAATGACATCATTTTCTATTGATTCTAATAAATTAAAAGAACTAAAAGAAGAAATTAATAAATTGATAAGCAGGCTTAGGTTAAATGAGGAAAACAAGTTAAAAATATATCTAGATTAAGTGAAGAATAATGATCTTTATTAGTTTAATCATTTAAACTTGGTCTTATCTTTTAGAATACAAACCTGCTCCATTCAATATTTTAAATAAAGTTGATAGAGACTTAATTTTTAACATAAAGAAGATATAAGATATATGTTATTATAGAATTTTAAACAACTACAATTCATTAAAAGAAGGAATGTATAATATAAAGTACATCATTTAAGTAAATTTGATAGATATGAAAGAAAAAAGAGCAAGAGTGAAATTAAAATGTGGATGATATATATTTATATAAAATTATATAAATTAAGATGAAAAATAAAGGAAGTTTTATAATAAATAAGAAATCATCAATAAAGAGTAGTAAATTGTTTTTGTTTGAGAATCTTTTATTTGAGGATGTTCCAATAGCTGCAAAATAAGCTTATCTTGAATGCCTTGAGAAATAAATAAATGATTTAGATATGATGAGGAAATAATTGAATGAGAATATATAGAAATAAGAATTAATAAAAAGACAATAGTAATAGTTTAGAAAAGAGATTGAAAATATTTAGAATGATTAAAAACTTGATCATAATATCATAAATTAGTCAATGTTATTAAGTCAATTTATAAGCGAATAATAAAAATTAGATACCTGTTTAATTGAATAAAGTTATTTAAAAGATTTAGAATACTTGTAAAATTAATAACTTAAAACATCAAATCAATTCGTCCCTTTTGAAAATGAATTTTTATGATTAATAAATTATATATAAACTATGTTTTGGTAATAAAGGCCTGTTACTTACAATAATTAAAGGACATTTGAGAGCAACTTCTATTTTGCATAGCATGATGCTCCATAATATCCTAGTAATTTCATAAAGACAAGCAGGTAATAAGTTATAAGANATATAATTAAAAGAGAACCTTAGAATTTTAAAAGCAAAAGAAAATTTGAAATAAATTAATTAAATATATAAATTGAAATTTAACATTAAATATTTATAGTTAACAAATGAAAAGAACTGTGAGATGAATTAAATGTATAGCAAAAATTAATCTGAAGATGGTTATATGGCTTAAATTGGAAGATATATTATTTAAAGTTAAATTAATGACATCATTTTCTATTGATTCTAATAAATTAAAAGAACTAAAAGAAGAAATTAATAAATTGATAAGCAGGCTTAGGTTAAATGAGGAAAACAAGTTAAAAATATATCTAGATTAAGTGAAGAATAATGATCTTTATTAGTTTAATCATTTAAACTTGGTCTTATCTTTTAGAATACAAACCTGCTCCATTCAATATTTTAAATAAAGTTGATAGAGACTTAATTTTTAACATAAAGAAGATATAAGATATATGTTATTATAGAATTTTAAACAACTACAATTCATTAAAAGAAGGAATGTATAATATAAAGTACATCATTTAAGTAAATTTGATAGATATGAAAGAAAAAAGAGCAAGAGTGAAATTAAAATGTGGATGATATATATTTATATAAAATTATATAAATTAAGATGAAAAATAAAGGAAGTTTTATAATAAATAAGAAATCATCAATAAAGAGTAGTAAATTGTTTTTGTTTGAGAATCTTTTATTTGAGGATGTTCCAATAGCTGCAAAATAAGCTTATCTTGAATGCCTTGAGAAATAAATAAATGATTTAGATATGATGAGGAAATAATTGAATGAGAATATATAGAAATAAGAATTAATAAAAAGACAATAGTAATAGTTTAGAAAAGAGATTGAAAATATTTAGAATGATTAAAAACTTGATCATAATATCATAAATTAGTCAATGTTATTAAGTCAATTTATAAGCGAATAATAAAAATTAGATACCTGTTTAATTGAATAAAGTTATTTAAAAGATTTAGAATACTTGTAAAATTAATAACTTAAAACATCAAATCAATTCGTCCCTTTTGAAAATGAATTTTTATGATTAATAAATTATATATAAACTATGTTTTGGTAATAAAGGCCTGTTACTTACAATAATTAAAGGACATTTGAGAGCAACTTCTATTTTGCATAGCATGATGCTCCATAATATCCTAGTAATTTCATAAAGACAAGCAGGTAATAAGTTATAAGACTTATAATTAGATATAACTTAGTAACATTTTTACCATTCTCTTTGTTACTTTAATTTACTAGATACGCTAACATTTACTTTTTATGCATTGCAATAATTTAATGCATACCAATATTATCAACTTTAAATCCGTTTAGTGCAATAGCTCCATTAGTATTTGTTTTAGGACTTTCAATGTGTAGAGAGGGTTGGGAAGATTATGGTCGTCATGTATCAGATAATGAGGTAAATTCAACAGATTGTTTTGTTTTAAAGGATAGAAGAGTAACAAAGTAATTATAACTGTTTTATTCTACATTAGGACTACCTGGGCAGATATAAATGTAGGTGATTATGTATATGTAAGATAAGATGAGAGTTTTCCAGCAGATTTGATAGTATTAGGTAGTGAAAAAGAAAGTGGAGCATGTTACATTGAGACATCTTCACTTGATGGAGAGAAAAATCTAAAACCAAAAAGTGCTATTTTAGATAGTTAACAGATTTATAATTCTTTGGATAGATTTAATGATTAAATTATAAAAGTTGTAGCAGAACCTCCATCTTAATCATTGTATGAATTTGATGCTTAATTATTGTTGCCTATAAATTCAGAATTCAAGAAATTCCAATTAAATGCAAAACAACTGTTATTGAGAGGAGCACAATTAAGAAATACTACTTGGATAATAGGAATAGTTGTATATACAGGATAGGATAGTAAGATTATGAGAAATGCTGATGCATCAAGAGTTAAATCAAGTGAAATAGAGAGAACTATGAATATTCTGATACTTGGAATTCTATGTGTTCAGATTGCTTTAAGTATAATATCTTGTTCATTATCTTCTGCTTGGTTAAACAAATTTGGAGTTAACTCATTTTATTTAGATTATACAAATGACTCACTCAATCCATCACTGTTATCCTTTTATGTTTTTTTCAGTTATATCCTATTATATAACACTATGATACCAATATCATTAATAGTATCATTAGAATTTGTTAAAGTATTCTAATCATACTTTATGGAAATGGATGTAGAAATGTATGTTCAATAAAGAAATAAATTCTGTAAAGTTTAGACAACAACAATAAATGAAGAATTAGGTTAAGTTGAATATATCTTTTCAGATAAGACTGGAACATTAACTTGTAATCAGATGGAATTTAAATATTCAGTCATAGGAAATTATCTATATGGAAAAGAATAATAGCAATAACCAGCTAAAACTGAAATTGGTATTGTTAATATGCCTCAATTATAAAACAAATTATAAATTCATCCAATTGAAGGAGTTTAAGGTCATTCACTTACAAATTTTAATTTCTATGATGAAGAATTATTAAATATTATTGATGGAGGAAATGGTAAAAATATTGCTAATGTAAATCTAACAATAAAATCAAAAGATAATAAATCTTAAATTACTATTAATAATTAAAAAGATTTAATTGATTATTATTTCTTTCTATTGAGTTCTGCTCATGAATGCATTATTTAATATGATTAAGATAAAAATGCTTCTTATTAAGGTCCATCACCAGATGAAATTACTTTAGTAGATGCAGCAGCTAGAATGGGTTATAAATTTACAGGAGCATCAGCAAGTGAATAAAATTTTATGATTTTAAATTTACCTAGAAAAGTAAAACTATTGAAATCATTTGAATTTGATTCAAACAGAAAAAGAATGAGTGTCATTATTAAAGATGAAAAAGGAATCATTAAATTATTAATTAAAGGAGCAGATAGTATAATCAAAAGCAGATTAAGTAAAGAATAAAAGTTTTTAGATAAAACTATAGAATGGTTAGAAGAATTCTCTAAAATTGGTTTAAGATGTTTATTAATGGCTACTAGAATATTATCAGAAGATGAATATAAAAAATTTGATAATGAATACAATAATCTACCTGATGGTGAATAAAGATCTATTGAACTTAATAGAATTACAGATGAATTAGAAAGAGATCTTACACTTATTGGAGCTACAGCTGTTGAAGACAAACTATAAAGTTAAGTACCTGAAACTATTGCAGATTTACTTAAAGCTAATATTAAAATTTGGATGCTTACAGGTGACAAATTAGAAACTGCTGAAAATATAGCTAAAAGTTGTAAATTAATCTAAGGCGATTTCACTGTCATGAGATTATCAGAATCTAATGAATAAGATTGTATGGACAAATTAAAAGATATACAAGATACATATGATTTATGTATCAAAGAAAATAGAAAAAAAGTATTATTTTATCAACTATTTTAGTCTATTGTTATTGAAGGGTAGTCATTAGATTTTATCCTAAATTCTGAATACATGTCATCTGGTTTTGTCTAAATGGCCAAAGATTGTGAATCTATTGTTTGTTGCAGAGTTACTCCTAAATAGAAAGCTGATGTTGTCAGATTAATCAAAAATAGATTGAATAAAATCACTTTAGCAATAGGTGATGGAGCTAATGATGTTAATATGATCTAAGCTGCTCATATTGGTGTTGGATTATATGGAAATGAAGGTATGAGAGCAGTGTAAAGTGCTGACTTCGCATTAGGAGAATTTCGATGCTTATGGAGATTATTATTAGTTCATGGCCATTGGAATTATATAAGAATTTCTGAAATGATTTTATACTTCTTCTATAAGAACATGTTGTTCACTATACCATAATTTTTCTTTAGTTTTTTTTGTGCCTTCTCTGCATAATCCTTTTATGATGATTGGTACATTACCTTATATAATTTGATTTTTACAGCATTACCGTTAATAATAAGAGCAACTTTTGACTAAGATATTAATTATAAATAATATCTAAATTATGATGTTAATTAACGCATTAAAAACGTATAATTGAAACAGGAGAATTATCTAAAATAAAAATTTCCATCATTATATTATGTGGGATAATAGAAAACTATTTTTACTATACCATCTTATATGATGTGGGCATTTACAGGAGTGCTACATGGTATGATAATATTTTTTTTCTTATTTTGGATAATGGATTATGAAGCTTTAAATATTAATGGATATCCTGGAGGATTAGCACCCTATTCATTAACAGTTTATACAGCAATAATATTGGTAGCTGATTTTCAAATTATAATATAAACTAAATATTGGACTCTATTCAATGTTGTAGCTGTTACCTTTCTAAGTTTATTCTTATACGCAGGTTATGTTATCATTTCTCATTATTGGCCTGGAGAATTAATGATGTACACACCTCTCACAATATTAAAAATGCCAACATTTTGGTTATGTTAATTTTTAATTTTAGTGATAGTAGGAGCTATGGAAGCGTTTAGATCTGAATTCAATAGATAATATTTTATGGATGCTGCTGATGAGATTTTAGTGAAAACAAAATCATTCACATGGACACTTAATGAGTGGTTGAATAAATAAAAAAAGGTAGCTAGATAAGATAGTTTTTGGGCTGAAGTCTACAAAGAGGATGAATAAGAATAAGTTATCCAATTTGAAGAGACTATCAAAGATGCCAATCAAATACCAAATCAATGACATATATTATGAACAAAATAGTTTTATTCATAGAATAGTCATTATCAAATGATTTTAATAATAATAATAAAATAAAATCATTGATAATGGAATCTAAGAGTAGTGGTACAAAGAGACTTATATCAGTTGGATCTTTGTCTAATTTTGAAAGAGCTGAGTTTATATCTTCTAAAACTGATACTAAGTAAAGATTAGGAGAGCTCTTCATTTATGAACCTACTAAACTAGAGAGTAATTATGCATTCCAATTATTACTTAAGTGTTTGGTTTGCGATAATAAATTGTGAGTACAAGAATACCTAAATTTGATCATCCTAAACCTATGTTTGAATTAGATTATTAACCACAAAAAACATTAACACATGTTGCATCTTAAACTGAGTGTTAAAAATGCAATCAAAGCTTAAGTAGGATTATTCAACCTAAATAAAATATGGAATCTTTACATTTATCTGCTCCTTCATTATAACCTTATGAAAAATAAGAACCTAAAGTTATTGTTCCAAAATAATTATAAAGTCATGTTGCAAGATAAAAAAAAAAAGATCTTCCACCTATTTTATAATATTCTTTCATTTCACCTCCACCTGACTTTACATAATCTGCTAAAGCTGTAAGAGAATAAAAATCTCTTGGAAAATTATCTTAAGGTAGAATATCAAAGAAATTTGATAATGAATTAGTCAAAGTCATTCAATCTGAACTTAGTAAATAGCTCCATAAAATTGAAGATGAAATCTAAGATAAAGGATATAGTGTTCCTATTAAATATGTATATATCAATATTTATTATTATTTTAGTAAAATCTCAAAAGAACCAAATAAATGACTCTTAGCAAAAAAATTAAATTAGAAAAATAATCTCAAATTTTAAATGAAAAAAAAACTGAATCTTAATTCTATCTTCAAAAGGAAAAAGAAAAAGAAATCAGATAAATCATATTTTTTAAACAACCTGAGAAGAGTCAATCTCAAATTCGCCTCTAAAAAGAAGAAAACAGTAACATCATATTTGGATATTCAAATAGATAAGAGGAATAAGCATGATTATTCATATTTACTCGAAGTTTATCACATTAATATTATTATAATAATAACATTAATTAAATATGAGTTCTAAAATAGAATCTAAATTTCTATCCTTGAACTCTAAGATTTTGATCATAAAATTAAACATCTTTTTTTATACATAAAATCTTATCATAAATCAATTCATCTACGAATTTCAAAGTAAATACAAACAATAGATAATAGATAATAAGTGAATCTATTAAATGAATCCAAATATATTCTAAATTACAAGAAAATGAATACTGTTTTTGAGACTCTTAATAAAGGAATAGAAATATATATTTCCCATGACTGATTAGAATTAAGTAAATGTTGAATATAATTATTTTATTAATAAATATTTTTGTTATTCACTCAATATAGTTTGTATGTCTGAGTAAAAAGACCAGGATAATAGGTAAATGGAAACTTATGAAGAATCAACAGAAGCATTACCAAATATATCTATTGCCATGATTTCATTTGAATAACAGAATGATGCATAAATACAAAATATAGAGAATATAGAGAATAAAGAAAATAAAAGTGCAATCTAATATTAAGAGTTAGAATAACAAAACTAAAAATTACAAGAGTAAAATTAAAAATTGTATTAATAATTAAGTTAGACAGAAAATAAATTGAATTTTTAGATTTAAAAAGTGGAGGAATTAACTCAAGAAAGAATCTAAAATATTGGAACAATTAATGAATTGAAAAAAATAGTTGACTAATAAAGAGATTTTATTAATTAAATTAATGATGATTAGGCTTACACTGATTTAACTGAATCTTTAGAGCTTTCTTTATAAAAATTAAAAGAAATGGAGTAGAAAAATGAAAAATTACTGGAAGAGAATCTTTATTATAAAACAAAATATGAAGAAAGCTTAATTTTTATAAAAAATAACAAAGAAGAGACTTTGAATCAATAAGACAGAATAGATTAATTAAGTTAGAACTATTAGTAATCATCAGAAGGATAATTAGAAAAAATTAAAGTTTTAGAATAAGAAATTAATAAATTGCATGATTAACTATAAAATAATTGATTTATTTTAAATATATTTTTAAATTAAATATAAATAATATTGAAATTTTTTTAGTGTATAATGCATAATCTCGAATGTATGTCTAAGAAAATTAAAATGTAGAGATTAAAAATAAGGCAAAATATAAATTAAAACAGAATGTTCATTATTGTTTTTAATTTTTTGAAATTCCATAGTTTCTTTCTAAGTAATCTATAGTAGGTGTAGTAAGAAGAGCTTAACAAAAATAAGCTATTATTCTTGCTTACCATCCTGCATATAATCCTGAGATGCCATAATTTTTATAAACAATTTTAAATCCTTAGAGAAGTGAGAGATTTCTAAAATTTTGATTTCCCTCCATCTACACAAGTGTTTTGATTGTATCAAAAGGATGAACTAAAGATTTAGATTATAAATACCAGCCAGAATATTTAGAATGCTACTAAGAGAAGAAGCAATTAAGGAATTAACTAAAGAAAGGGGTTAACCTGGTTCCGCTTTTAATGCATAACGAACTTTATGATCCCAATATAAATAGTTAGTCCATGATACTACTTATCTAGTTGTTTAAATTCTGAAACCAACATATATTGATTCAAATGTTATGTATTTGAAATAACCAAACCCAGTTGTCATAGATGTCATTTTTAAGGTCTTAAGTCTTTCAAAAGGAGTTATTATACAACTTTCAAATAACCCAATTGATGCTCCTGTTATTATTTTATTTATGGATTAGTTATGGATATGTTCATTCAGTATTTAAGGAATAAAAATCATCATGGGCCATCTATAATACTGTTTTACCATATTCCTTAGAAAACTTGGAGAAAACCCATCATATAAACCTATTATTCCTCTAGCTCCCTTGATATTAATGTAACTCTAAAATTCAGTGTTACATTTACTTATATATAAGTTATTCTTTATTGTGATTGTTTATATGTCTTAATTCTATCAAGTACATGTTCTAATGGCATAGTCAAAGCTACTCGAAAAGCTCCGATCACTTAAGTTTCAATAAGTGCTTTAACGTAATCTCCCATTTGTTGTTACTTTTATATTCTTTAAAAAATATTTAAGAATAGATTGCATTAATTTGGCCTTTATATAAATCGAATAATTGCAAAATATTTCTTTAATAAACCTTTATTATTACATATTATGAATCAAAAGTAGCATCTCTCTCAAAACCTGTTTTGTATTATATCATAATTTGAATTCTTATTTGTACCTATATAAAGCATTAATATTTAGAAAATTATAAATTAAAGGAAAACAATGAACAATAGTAATCAATAATCTTTAGAATTTTTTTAAAATTACTAAGTCTTAGAATTATTCTATTTTGGAGGTACTTTAGGTAATTGAACGCAAGTATTTTTGGTTTGAGGTTTAGAAAATAATATTTGTTATTTTTTTAAAGTTGGAGTTTAAGATGATACCTTATTTGTTGGTGTATGTAACCTTGCTGTTGTGTTATTTTTAGTAGGAGTTTTAAGTCTCATTTAATGCTTAGGTTGGAGACTTTCCATATTTTCTTTTAAACTATTTGCATGATCTTGTTTAATTATGGTTTCTGGATGATGAAAATGAATTTATTACAGTTTTTAATTAATATCTTTTGCTAACTAATTAATAATAAATATATTGGAATACTTATTAAACCGAGATCTTTTTATCTGTTAAGAATTGTTGAAATATCTATTATAATTTAATTACTAAATCTTTTTCTTCATTCCAAAAAAGTAATCTCATTTCATAAATTAATTACACAAATTTCATTCTTACAATATAGACTGGATCATTTTACAATTACAAAACTTGGATTAAGTTGCATTGTTTAAAAAAGTTTCTACTTCTTTTTCTACAAATTGATATACAAAAGTCAATCAATAATAATCTATATCTATAATGAGTGTGTGTAAGATATTGAAGAAATTATGGTATAATTTTGTCATAATTTTCAGTAATTTAATCAATTAAATAAACAGAGATTTTTTTCCTTATTTGTTGTGATCCCATATTTAAATAAGATAAACAAAGAGAATTGAATTCAGATTTAATGTTTAAATTATTTGCCAAACATTCTAAAATGTTTAAAGTTTCTTCTACTTCAAACCATAGACCCTTCTATTCATAATTCAAAATAGACTTTTTTAAGAAATCAAATGTTTTTTATAATTAAACAGTAAATTATCTGTTTTTAATTCTATTTCCCTTATTGATGATATCAAGCAAATAAGGTATGAAAAATATTTAATTCAACTCCAAATTGCCAAAGAAAAGACCAAGAAGTTATTGATGAGTTTATTCATTTAATTGAATATATAGGTCTGATAAATGTTTAAGAAAACTAAACTCTTTACTTGTGTCAATTAAATTAGATATCTAATTTAAGAGGAAATCATCATATTATTATCTAATTTTAGAATCAAATTAATTGATATATATATAGTAATCCTTAACTAATTCAATTTAAATAGATTGAGGTCTAATGTAATCCATAAAAGCTTATTAAATAGATTCAATCTTAATTGTTGAAATACATTAAGCTAATAAAATTATCATTGTAGAATCATCTTCTATAATTTGTATAATATCTTTGAGAGTATCTTAATGTTTAAGATGACCCTCGTAACCTTATTCATCCATCTTTAACCAAGAATTTAAAAATAATTTACATCCATTAATTCTAACTTATTTATCAAAATCAGATATCAATGAAATAGTATTCTTTAACCAATCTTAATCTCTTATTAATATCATCAGTAATTTATCATGTTTAAGAATAACTTGATCAATTATTCTACACATTCTCTCATTTTTTCTACCTATACATTATTTTACATGCTTCAATGATTATGCCTACTATGAGCTACTCATAAATTAATAACGCATTTCAATAATTTTTAATCCTTCATAACGAACACTATCCTCATTTAAAATAAGGAGATAGGGTTCAAAATCAAATTCCATAAATTTTGATAGAGTTAGCATTAGCTCACAAACTTGATCACAAAAAGGGGAATTGTAATAATTATGGCATAATTCTTAAAGCTATTTCAAAAATTATTCTTTAATTTTGATCACAATGGTTTCCTAGAATAAATTTATGAAAATACTTTAAGAGAAGTGATAAGACTGCATAAGGCTTTGATTAATTCTTTAATTACAGAGGACTCTTCATTCTTGGCCTTATTCTAACATTAATTAGAATAGAAATTTACAATAAGTTAGGCTACAAGTTCTGGAACATAAAAATCAAACTCAATTGCTTTGTTGATATTTTGACAAACAAAAAGCTTTTAAAATGTTTATCCATTATTGAGCAAGTAGATGGCCTTGTCTATAAAATTGTTATATTCAGGAGTGCACAATTTATCGATTTCTTCATTAGTTTTAACTTAAATACATAGTGAAATGTACTTGAATTAGTGCACCTTTCATTGATTGAATCCATTAATTTATTAATTAATTATAACGAATACAACAATCATGACGCTTTTTTCTGAGTTTCTAATTATTGGTTATAAATAAGAAGAATATAAGGATACTGAAATCGTTGAATACTTCCACATTAATGGCTCAAGTCTTCCAGATTATCTAAGAAATGTAGGCATTGTAATATATTATTTTGAATGGCATAATAGATGTGCTTTACAAGTGGTTTTGATGCAAAATTGGAACAAGAATAGTAAAAGAAATCAGATGACATTAATAGCAAGAATTATTTGCATCAGTTTGTGATTACAGATTAAAGTGGGTAATTACGATACTGCACATCTCTGGTGGTTTTTGAAAGTTTGAAGAATGACTTTTATGTTCCTTTTGCCTATATCATAGTTTCTGAACAATCCAACTTGATTAGGTAAAAATCTTATATGAGAGCATTATACAATGGTATTTTTGATAGAGTGACTGTATAAGATAATATATTAATTATTTATAGAGGTATAGAGATCGTGGTTGGTAGATGGGATCATAAAAATTATCAAACCAATAATTATTTGAATTCTATTTATCCGTGGGAATAACAAATTTGAATGGATTGTATTATGTTCCAAAATAAATCATGAGAACAAGATAAGAAGTAATAACAGATTTAATTATTAACAATCCTAACAATAAGAATAATTTATATAATAAAGACATAAGTTTCAATGTTTTGTTTTCCAAATTATCAATAAAAAGTATAATAAAAGTTGTTTAATCAATAATCCTTGAAAAGCAAATCATTTTATTTACAACTTAGGTTTGGGACTTAGCCATTATTACCGAGGCATTTCTACAATTTATTTATCCTCTCTAATGGAGATGCATTTATATACCTTATTTACCAGCAGAAATCTTAGATACACTTCATGCTTCTGTTCCCTATATCATTGGAGTGCATTGTAATCTTAAGGAACGAGTATTAACATAGTATGACTGCCTTGATAAAATCTTGGTAGATTTAGATTAGGATAGGGTCATCGGCAGCAATCTAGTATTTCGACAGATTATTTTATTTTTTGTAGATCCTACCTTTTCCTGAATAACTAGTAGAAACCCTTATTAATTAGAGTTCCAAATTCTCATATTGTGATGATGTAATGTAAAAATTTGTTACTAGGCTGAAATGTTATAAGTGCAATGCTGCTTCCTTAAATTTTAATTGTAACTTATAAATAACATTATACCCTACTTTATTTACTCTGATATACTCCAATCAAAGCCAAAAATTGAAGATATTTTCGATAAGGACTTATTTATCGAATAATTTACACCTTTAGACTAAGAGTTCTACAGGGAGTTTGTCAATAAAACCATGGTATTTATAAATATTTATTATTTTTAGATGTTCCCTCGTTTTATTGAAGAATCCTATAACTATTTACATTAAAAGTAATTCTTGAAATAAAATATCAAACCAAACATTTTCGTTGATTTACTCTTATTGATCAATACTTCTGGGTATTTCAATATTTATAAATTACAAAATAAAGACTTTGAAGCTAAGTTATTCAGTATTATTAATGAATCCAAATGTTTAATCTCAGAATCAGAAAAATCTATTCATTCTTTATTTTCCTAATATCAAAAGTAAATTAATGACACCTTTATTCCTTAAAAAAAATTTCCTATTCTCTAAATAGATAAGTCTAAAATCATTTAAATAGATGCCATTCAAAGCAGTATTCATTAAAACTCATTCATGTAAAGAAGTACTTAATCATAAAAAACTGATATTGGTAATGAAAATAAATAGGTTATTAATATACTTACAATAAAAGCTCATAAAATAAATCCAATTTCTAAGTCTTATATTTAAAATGATGTTACTACTTAAATGATCTTGAAATATCCAAAAAAGTCTTTGTCAAAATTAAAAAAAACCTTAGCTGATCAATTATTAAAATTAGCACCTGAAACAATAATGGATTAGAAACCCATTTAAACATCTCAAATGTTGAGTGTAAGATAAAGCAAGCGTATTTTTAACACTGAAGAAATGGGTTATGTAAGTATGTATAGGACTAAAACTTACAACATGTACTGAAATACTATATAATTTATATATATAATAGATATTATTATTATTAATCACATCTATGGGTTGGCTGGCGATTCAACAATCGGAATAGAATCATGAAGGGAGTCAGTAGAATTTTAAATAGAATTTGGTATCATAGGGGTAGTAGTAGAATCACTTTAAGTAAGACTGTTAGATTGCGACACAGCTGCTTATTTTAAATCAAAGCAACTAAATATTATTTTTGAAAAAGGTGTACCAATTCTGTAAAGTCTTTATTTATATTTGTTTATTCAGATGCTTGCTTTTTAATTGCTCATGCTCATACTTGTTATACAATTTTAATTGCTTCATCATTTTTTTAAACCATTTGCATAAATAAACCTACTTACAGGTAGGTCTTTGTTAATGAGGCTTTGTGAGCATAGCATATAATAAAATCTATAAATCTTCATTCAGTCTTTCATTCACTTAAACTTCTTATTGAGGTTTATGTAAATGCAATAATTCCTAACATAATTCACATTCTTACATAAACAACGACACCTAATGACCATATATCCACTTTATGATCATAATCTTGATTTAATAACATTTCTGGAGCTGCATATCCAATTGTGCCTTGCTGTTCTGAAATAAAAAACTGATCACAATTCAGTTAAATTGCACTTCCAAAATCACAAATCTTATAAACACCATTATCAATCAAGATATTGTCAGGCTTATTACCTATATATATATACTTTTATGTCTCTATGAATTATGTTATTATTGTGAAGGTAATCTATTCCATCCAGTATCTAATGAAAACAATCGAAGATATTATTCTCTCCAAACAAGACTTTTTGTGAACTCAATGTGCCTTAGTTACAATACTCTAAGACTAAATAAAGAAACGAATCATCTTCAAAGGTCTCATACAATTTAACGACATTCTTATGATTTAGATTCATATGAATTAGAATCTCTCTCTTCATGCTCAAAGCAAATTAAGGATCATCCAAGAGTTCTTTCAAAATCTACACCTATATGTTGTCAATACAATCTTCATTGCACACAATTGATTTTTCATCATGTCTTTTACTAACACGACCTAACTCATATTTCCTTATCCCAATGCCTATATGTACTAGTATCGTGTTGTGTTTGAGACATAGTTTTACAACATTTAAATATTATTATATAAACTTCACATCTTCAATTTACATTCAATAAATATCTAACGCAACTCTTCTTCCCCAATCCCTTAATTTAATATTTTATCCTCATCCTGATAAAGACTATCATTATTAATGTTCAACATTTCCTACCAATTAACATATTCAAGTACCATTATCAGCTCTTCTTCTATTGGTTTCTTCATCACACTTTAAACTGCTTTTGCAATATCTAATACCCCTATAATTTCAGATTCTTAATTCATCTTCAGAAAATTCCAGATATATTTGAAATTGCCCTCTTGAATTGTATTTAATTCTTTCGTATTATTATTCTTTTTCTTTTTTTCAACTTTCACTGAGCTTTAAGTTACCTAAATCTAGGTTTATATTTTAGGATTTGTTAATTAAGTTCTTTCCTTTTTTTAACTTGAGTTTTTCTTGTTAAACACAAATGATTTTAGTTCATCTTCCAAGAACTATTCATTCTGGTTCATTTATTTAAATTCAATTAATTATTTATTTCACCACACTTTTCTTAATAAACCAAACATATACTACTTTTAACTATGGTTTAAATTAAAGCATAAACATTATTATTTAATATTCTCAACAATTTACCAAACTATTCTCTTATTTATGATCCAAAAATATATTGTAATTTCTGATATTCCAATCATAGAAAGCTTGTAAATTCTAGAATTCTTAGAGACTCTCTATAAAATTACTTCTTTTTCTTTAAATTCTAATATGTCCTATTTGATAACAAGTTTTTTTTGAAATTAATCTACTAATTTATAATCTAATTAAATAATTAAAATTATTTACTAAACCTTGAAGCTATTGTAAATAAATACAATGTTAATCAATAAAATCATTATTTTAATATAATCTACTTTAAGAAAATATACATAATAATGATTCTATAGTAGAAAACAAAATTGGATGGATTATCGAGGTCTAAATTAATAAAGTCATATACATTAAGATTTTATTATTATTTTAGATGATTTCACATAGATTTAATCATGTTATTAAAATAGAATTGGTAAATTTCTTGAAAATTTGATGATTTCGACAATTTTGTAGTATTTTTTTGCAATTTTTATGATTAATATATTTTATTATGTTTGGAGAACCATAACTATAATAATTATATAGCCCTGTCAAGAGATAATTAATGATGCAACGAATTATAAATAATATGAATGAGATCTCAAAACCTGTGTCTACTTCACCTATAAAAAGGAGAATACGAATTTAATCAAATCGTATAGACTATAGGAAAAATTTGAGTATGGCAGAAAATGATACAAATAGAAACATTACTGAACCTAATAATATAGAAATAAAGAAATTGATTAAAATAAAAGCCAATCGTAAGATGTCTCAAGATTAGATGCATCCTAAATCTCCACCTATGTTACCATCATTATTTGAAATCACCTTTTAAAATCCCTTTTTTGGACAATTTTCATAAAGAAAACCATAATATTAAAGACCAACAGAATTTTAAGCCTTAGTATATAAACGAAAATCATGACTAATTAATTAATTATTATCAATATGATCCACTTTCTTTCTCCCATTTTAAATATTGGTTTTCGAATATGGTTTAATTTAGTTCATTGCTTCCATAAAATCTATTATTTTAATAACAAGGCATCATCATATGATGTCATGTTCGATTATTTTTTTTTTAACTGTTCTAACACTAACTTATATACCTGAAATTTCACGAAAGAGTCTTTTTAGTAGTTTTATAGCGGCTTCTTTACAAACAAATTTTATGTCACTGCCATTATAATTTTAAAGAGCTTCTTAAAGTTGAGGATAATTAAAATTATCACTTTTTTTTATGGTATATAACAACAAACATTGAATCTCTTGATTCTTAATCAGGTAAAGGGATATAAATTTGTAAATTTATAATAAAATTACTCTTTTTTCTAAATCACATAACAAATTTGAAACGGCTAATAAAAAGACTCTTTTCTTTGATTTTAATAAACCATAAATATTTCATATCGATAAATATTTTCCTTGATTCATAATGTCTTGCTAAATCAAAAAAGAACACGAATCCACTTTTAATTTTTTTCTCTCCATTTAGAAGCAACTGATGAAGTTTAAACATTAAAAATTTTATCTTACATTTTCTAACATTGTTTTACTAGTTCATAATTAAACACCTTCTCATAGATATTTAAGAGGTACTAAGATACCTTCTTTAAGCAATCTCTTAGCTTATCAAAAACTGTTATATCAGAAAACTTCACATTTGGATTTTCCGAACAAATATCGCTTTAAAAATAAGCTGTTAGTCAGAATAATTAGTTAATCCTTTTAAAACTCTTTGATCAAACCAATCTTTATGATTTGTATCGTCATTATTTTATTTAAAAAAATCAGGTTCATTTTTTGCATCTTTATAATTATTATCCTTTTCTTTTGATTATTAAGTACTTTTTTTATTTGAATCAGTAGTGTTTTGATTATTGGAATTAATACTTTTATTATTACTGCTTATTCCAGAACTTGGAATTCAAGTTACTTTGCCCATCCCCCTTTTTAACATTTTTTTGAGGCTTCATGATTTTCATTTCATAAAACTATTCAAATTGATATAGTATCATATATAAATCTATATTATCTGTTACATTATCTTAATTCAATGTTAAATTTGATTCTGACCCTAATTTTGTTGCTGATTCAATATAACCACAATTCACAAGATAACATTGAATAAGTATGATAACATTCTTTCTATGATCTTTGATTTTCTATTCTTCGCTTAAGCGGGATTCTGAATCAATTTTGATTTTATTTAACATAATTAATGAGACAAGTACAAGGATTGAATCGTGTGCCAAGCGTAGAGAATTACGATCTATTCAATAAAATATATTAAAAGTCTAAGTTAGCTAGAACTTAACAATCTTCTTAAGATTTACTTTATGAGGGTGATCAGTATCGTATTTAATAAAGCTAATAAATGTTGGTTGAGTATCTAAAAGATCTAAATGAGATGATTGAAGATGTAGTAAGATTAGTAGATTAACTACATTCACTTAATGAATAAGAAGTAAATAGTCTCTTCCAACATCTAAAAAAACAATTACGTAATCTAAAGTCCGTCATTTAATCAATAATGGATCTTATGTTAGGGAAAGGAAAGTCACCATTTCAAGCTCAAAAACCATCTCATGTCAATATTGTCATGGTTAATACAATCAGAACATATTTGGTTGAAGTGTATATTCCAAATTTGTTAGAGACAGCAAAATATGCTTTAGACAATTTTGAAGGCTATAAAGAAACATTTTTAAAAGATATCAAAATAGCATCTACTTAGTTAATAATGATAAATCTAATATTTGGAGCATCAGTTGATATCGATAAAAACTCTCTTTTTTCTTTAGATAAGAATCATAAAGATTGGAAAGAATTATATCAAATTTGTGAAAGAAAATCATTGGGAGATGTTGAGAGAATTAACTAATCATTTAATAATTTTGCCAATACCATATTAATTGGACATGCCATCATGGGAAAAAGTAGTCGATTCAAGAATGAAATATTAAAAAAGATATAATTAGCCATTAATAGTGTTTATTATCAAATTTTTGATGCAAAAAAAGAAGCCTTTACAAATATGAGTTAAATGAAGGCTTAAAATGCAATCGAAGTTATGAATATGATTGAATCTCCTGCAATCAAAAAAATTATGGCTATGGCTTATCCTAAAATTAAAGTTAACTGTAAAATTTATATTGATCCTGTTGTCACTCCTATATCAATTTAATGGATTAATAATTAATTAAAAACTGGATAATTAAATAAAGTAACATCCCAATAAATTAAATTAATAAACGAAGAATTACATCTTGATCCGAATGCAAAGTCAATTTTACATAAATTTGATCCATAAAAACTAAGAATTCGAATTTTATGTAATTCTTCTATAGATGATACAAGCAGTTCATGGTTTTCTAATTAATAATAACATATATTACATGATACAATTTTAGTTCATATTCATGGAGGTGGATTTATCGCTCATTCTAGTTCAAGCCACTAATCTTACACTAGAGAATGGGCTATAAAATTAGGAATTCCAATATTTTCTATAGATTATTCATTAGCACCAAAATATCCTTATCCGTAAGGTTTAGATGATATTTGGTAAGCCTATAATTGGATATTAATTTATTGTTACAAACATTTTGGTATATATAAATAATTAAATTTTATAGATATATAACCTAAACGAATAATTGTAGCAGGTGATTCAGCAGGAGGTAATTTAGCTTGTGCATTGACTGGATTAGCAATTAAAATGGGTTAAAGAGTTCCTGATGGATTATTTATGGCCTATCCTGCCTTAGACTTAAGATTTAATTTCACTCCATCATATTTGCATGCATTAACTGATAAAATAATTAGTCATACTATTTTGGGAATCTGTGTAGAATCTTATGCATAAAACCCTTTAACTTAATTAAGCAGTGATCCATTTATTAACCCTATTTTACTTTCTGATGAAATACTTGCCAAATTTCCACCTACCAGACTTATGTGTGGAACAAATGATCCATTGCATGATAACACTTGGGCTTTTGCTTCAAGACTTTTGTAATTTTTATATTTATTTATTTTTAGAAAAATTTAAAAAAATGTTCAATTTACTATTTATGATTAAATTTGTCATGGCTTTTTATGTTATAAAACAATCAAAGGCATGCAAGAAATTTAAGTTTGTATTGATGATGCTGTAGCCTACATGTAAGAACTTATAAATTTATCTAAATCTTGAAATACTCATTAAATATAAATAAAAGATATTATTCATCAATCATCATTATTTATTACACTCTCATCTAACAATTTAATCATTATTCTCAAATCTTTCTTTAATTAATTAAACTTAGCCTAATCATCCTAACTTTCAATATAAGTTTTGAATCTATTTTTCATAAACATTTAAAGCCCATTTCTGAAAGGTAAGTAATCTGCATGTTCAAACAGATTTTTACTCTATTTTGCCATTATATCTATTGTAATACTAAAAATTATTATTCAATTTACTTACTTTTATAAAAAATTTTATATAACTATACACAAAAATTAAGCTTAAATTTCTAATAATTCTTCATAATTAAACCATTTTAATAAAAGTAAATTTAGACTCTCTTTCTTTAATAAATTGGAACAAAATTTAGCAATATTTATTATTTTTCTTATACTGTAGTTTTCTAATAATTTAAACTTATCCCATAACATATATTGAAAAGCTTATTTCATTCCTCTTTCCCAATTTATTAAATAATGAGCTAATTCTTAGTAATAGGGATTATAAGTTTTCTCATTTCCACACATTTCAACAATTACCAAACATACATCCTGCTTTTTCTTTTTTAAATAACCAAGTTTGTCTAAATTTTAAGCAGCTTCAAATAAATCATCAGCTCCCATTATTATAATGAATGCAGTCTTACGAGTTTCAGTTACCATTTTTTAATCAATAGCAAGTTGCTCTAACTTTTCTAATTTGATATTTTTTTTTTATTATTTAAATTCTTAAAATAATTAACTCTATTCTTCATTAGTTACAATAGGTTTCCACCAATTATTACTCAAAAATTAAGATTCTTAACTAAAATCAAATCCTTAACAAAATATTCTATGAATCAATTTTTATGTTCTTTATTTATACCAATTTAAAATAAACTCCAATCTTTCTGATTAACTTGTTATCTTTTTATTTAATCTTAAATCATCTAAGGTCATAAGTAAAAATTTTGTTCTTGATTCACTTGCATTTTAAAATGCTTATTTAATATCTTCAATAATCATTTTTAGAATTGCTGGATTATCCTATCTTATTTTCTTCCCACAATATTAAATAATCAATATTAAATTTTCAACATTATCTGCAGTTTAATTTTTCAACAAATATTTTATAAATTCCTTAATGAATTACAATGATATTGATTCAAATAAATACCAATGACAGAATATTAATGTTATATTTTTAATTTCATGATTAACAGGAGCAGCTCTTAATTTAAGTATTACCTATTTAATCAATTCACCAAAAAACAAATTATCATATAATTAATGAAAATAACTAGAAGATGCAATTATACAGGTCAGTAGGTATGGTAATAGTGCAATAGGTTTTATTGTAGATTAAACAATTTATTAACCAAATACTAAACCTACAATTTGTTTAGGATGTTAATTAAAAATTTTATCAATTTCATCTACAATATTATTTATATTTGCTTCTGAAATTTTGTTTAAGTTTCTATTCAAAAGTTTTCGAACTTCCATAAGCTGATTTTCATCATATTATATTTCTTGAACTTATTAAAACTCTTATTCTTTTTATGGTTCACTTTATTCTTGATTATTAATAGGCGTTTACTATTTTTATAAAACATTTTTTTGTATTTTTTGATTTAATTCTTCAGATTCTTCTTCATTCTAATCTGATTAATAGCTTTCTTCTTATTCCATTTCCTCTTCATCTTCATCTGGTTAAATTTCATCATCATCTATATCATCATCATCATCATAATTTTCTTAATCTTCAATCAAATCATGACTCTATTCTTATTCATCTTGATCTTCAATTATATTTTCTTCATCATCTTCCTCCATTTCTTCTTCTTAAACTAATTCATTACTTAATTCATCAGAATATTGTTCTGAATTCTAATTCAAGCTTTAATCTTAATCTTCTTCATTTTATTCCTTCTTTTAAAAAGCTAAATAGTTTTAAGGTTTATCTTTTTCTTTAACACTTTTATCAATATGATCTAAAAAATCGAACAAATCCTCTTCTAACCCATCTTCCATAATTTATACCTTTGGTAATCTATTCTATTTCAATTTTAACTTTTTAGTTAATCTCTCAATTTCTTTTTCTTCTTATAAAATCTCTTGCTGCAATTTTAATTTACTTTTTTAATCTATTTCTTTATTACTAGAATTTTATGTCTTCTTCACTTATTTTTACTATTATAAATTTTATTATTTTGGTATTTATTAATTTTGTTATTCTTAGTTTTATGTTTTTAGTTATTTATAATGTTCACTCTGTTTATCAATATAAACACCTTAATTTTACCAATTTCGCTATTAATTAATTTACATATGTTTCTATTTTTTCATGATTTTTTTTTCTTTTCTCATCTTCTTACGATTAAAAACATTGAATTCTGGTTTAATTTATTGAAATCTTTCATGATGATCATCCTATTAAAGGTTTTCATTTTTCTTCACCATAATTAAATTAATTGATTAAAATGCCAATTACAAAAAGAAAGAAGACTTAAGTGCTAACAAAAACTAAAAAGAAAACTCCAGAAAAGAAAGAATTACTTGTTAAGAAACTAAAATAAAGCCTTAAAAAATACTAAAGAGCAATTGTATTTCAATACAAAAATCTGTCCACAAATCCTTTAAAAGAGATTTAATAAGCATGGAAGGCTGATTCAAAACTTTTTATTGGCAAAAACAAAGTTATGTAAGTTGGCTTAGGCAAAAATGAAGAATAAAGTGCTACCAAAAATTCCTACCTTCTCTCTCCAGTAATTAAAATTTTATATTCTCAGTTTCTAAAAGGTGAAACAGGACTTCTTTTAACAAATAAAACTCTTCAAGAGATCTAAGAGTACTGTGATACATACAAAATTCCTGAATTTGCAAGAGCTGGCCATATATCTGATTAAACTATAGTCTTAAAAGAAGGAATAGACACCTTAAAAAATTTTGCTCATTCTATTGAACCATATTTAAGAAAATTAGGACTAAATACTTAATTAATAAATTAGCAAATAGTATTAAATGAAAAATTTATTATTGCTCAAGAAGGTAAACCTTTAACTGTTGAATAATCTAAGTTGTTGGTATTTATAATTAAATAAATTTAGCGATTAATGAATTAAAAATTAGCCTATCTTGAAATCGTCCCACTTTGTGTTTTAGAAAAGAATGGAACATTCAAAAAATTGTGAATATTATTCAATATAATTCTTCACGAATAATTGGCAATTCTATTTCTTATACTGTTTTTTTCTGAAATCAATTTTGCCCATCGCTATTTTCTCATTTATTTTAAAGAAAATAATCAAATCTAATTAATATTGTTGATTATCTGTTGTTTAATCACTTCTAAAATTATTTCTGACAATTTAGTATCAAGTAATTTTATCTTGATTAATAATTTTTACTTTTAATTAATTCCTCCCTTTATACCAATAACATCCTCTGTTCCTATTGCAAAAAGGATTTATATAATTTATTAAGATTTAAGATCTTGTAAATATTCTTAATTTTATTTATCTTTTGTTCTATTTTTGATTTTATGTCTATTTTTTCATTAAACCTCAGAAATCGTAATCAGTTAACTAGACTTCATATCCAGATATCATTTTTAGCAACCTAATTAATTTACCATTAGATACAATATCACTATGGCAAATATACTTGTCTTATTTGGATTATTGTTTATATTCGAAATAAAGTTTCTTCCTTTTCCATCTAAATTATAATGTATCAAGCAAGATTTTATTTTTTTTTTAATTTTTATTAATTTCTCCATTCTTATTTTTTATTAAACACTCTTTTTTTGTCTTCCTCAATTATTAATTTATTAAAATATCTAATTTTTAAATTTATAAAATATCATTTTATTTTTATTCCTTGTTCACTATTATTGAGCTAAAATATCAAAAAAATTAAGAAAATCATATAAGAGCTTTTAAGATAATTAATGACTTCAAATTGTTAATTTATTTTTTTTAATTTTGCAAATATATTTTTGAAATATAATTATACGAATTCCATTATTTTATTCTAATTATTTCTCAACCAAATCATATTTAACAAAAGGGAATAAAAATTCTAAATTACTTATTAAGAATTTGATATTACAATAATCTCTCATAGTATTGATTCGAAATCTTTTTTTACTTTTTTGATAAGTTCTTAGGCATCTGAATTAAAAAACATATAAAATATAAGGAAAATTGTCAATTATAAAATTTTGATTATTTTAATATTAACTCTTTTGATAAATTTAAAATATGAATAAAATTTAAATTATCTTCGAGATTTAAGCTCCTCATTGTAATAAACTAATATAGTAACTAGTATGATTTTACTTTGTAATTATTTTTCTTATCATAAGAGTTCAACTATTTAATATTAAAAAAATTTCATTAAAACTAGCTTATAAATTTCGAATTCGATCCAATCGATAAAAATTTTAATATAACTAATAACATATTTAGAAATATTATTTATGTTCTAAAAGATTTAATTATGTATTCATTTTAATTTCAATTATATGGCATCTAATTTTAATTATAAATATTTTAATAACCAAGAGCCCATGATTTTTAAAAATATATTTGAGATATAATTATAGTTTGAGTATGCATTAAATAGATCTAGTTATACATAAATATATTAGATAAATCATATACAGGACATTCATTCTCCAAATTCTTCAATATTAACTTGTTATATTTCATTAAAGTCTTCCTCAAAGTATAAATGTTTTGCATCCTTATTTTTGCAATTAGAACTTGGCTCTGCTAATGATTAACTCTATTATCTAGAAAAAGCTTTACTTTTTTGATCTAAGGAGGTTTTCTTTAGGATGCTTCATTTATTACTGCAATTTGCTCATCAGGAATATCATTAAAGAACATTTTGATCTTTTAGAAAATTGATTTTTTCTTTTTGAGTGGGGTACTTTGGATACTGCTCATTTTAAATATATATTATTAATAAATTTATAATCAATAATAGAAAAGATTTATATTTTATGAAAATGACGCATTTATTTTTATTTGGCATTTATTTATGTTACGGTTATTTTAGAACAAACTTGAAAATATTTCTACATTCATATTCTTAAATGGAAGAATGTTATAAAAATACAGGAAACTTCATAAATGAATTGTTATAATAGGCTGAATAACGTGATTTTAATGAAGAATTTAAATGGCTTTAAAATTTTTGGAAAACTTCAATTTTCAAATTCATCAATTCTTATGTCAAAAATCAAGCAGGAACTGAGTTTATTGGAGTAAATCATAAATCACTATCAAAAAGTAAAGTTGAATTAAATTAAGAAAAAACTTAATTGTGAAATAACAATTGGAGCGATGTAATTATCAATTTTCCTCAACAATGATTTTTCTCTAATATAGGTTAGGATGATTAAGCAACTTAAATTACTCTATAATTACATCTCATATAAATAAGAGCTCCTTCATAATTATTGAATTTCTAGTAATTTTAAATAATTGAGATGTTTAATTTAAAGAGCAATTACTCTAATAATACTTAAGCACTAAATAAATTATTTTATATATGATACTTTGATTCATAATGCTAATAAGTTCAAAATTATAATATTATTAAATATCTAGTTGTGCCTAAGAATTAAATTGTAATCATCTGAAAAAAAAACAATTAACTTTTTGATATTCGAATTGAAATTTTGTTCAAATAAAATAAACTTAATCTTATTTATTATTTGAATTTATTTATGTTAAAAAGGAATTGATAGAAATAGCTTAAGCTCTAATCATAAATAATTAGATCAATTTAAAATCTTGGATCACATGAAGAAGGTAAAAGAATTAAAGCAAATGTAAATTAGAAAAATTATAAGAGCAAGATGTATAAATTTAAAAGCTTTATGATATTCAGAAATATTGTGATGATTAGTCAAGATTAGAAATTTTTTATGATCTTTAGATTAAATTAATAATTATTACATATTAAATTAGGTTTTTTACAAGACATAAGATATTAGAGAAAGAATTCACTTAAATTATAATTTTAAATTTACTTGGGTAATTTTTTAACTTAAGACTTACTTGGAATTATTAGTGAAGCATCTTTTTTAATAATACAGGACTTAGAATAAATAAAATTGATAGATATATTAGAAAAATAACAAATAATATGAGTTATAAAATTTTATCATATTTATTCATTATATTTTTTTCATTAATATCTTTTTTTTCAAAACATACACTTCTATTATAATTACAACTGCAAAAATAGTAATCCCAATTATATCAGCTTAGACAATATAAGAATATAAGCTCTCTAAACTAAAAATGTTTTCTAATTTAACTTAAGAGAAAATTATCAACTATTGTTTCATAAATTACAATTTGGCTTAAATATTATTGAGTGTTTCTTATACAAGAGCTAAATCTTACTTTTAAGCTATTTCATGCATATCATTAGCTTCAATTCCAATTAAATATTCCAAATAAATTTCATTATACAAACCAAGTTTATCTTCAAAACAAAATTAATAATTTCCTCCTTCCATAGTTGTATAATCAAAAATAAGCTAAGTTTTACCTTCACTTTAATAAATTTATTCTATATGATCATTCTATTTTTGAAGGGTCATGTAAAAATAATATTAGTCTGTTTAAGATCGGATTTTAGTTATTAATAAAGTGTTTGGAGCTAAGACATCAACAAAACATAATTTTTCTTCTGATTCTAAAAAGAAACTGAATTCTACTCCATGAACATAAACGATTGAATAAAGGAAATAAAAAATTAAATATTTCATTGTTTTAATGATTTAAACTATTTTTAGTAGTTCTCCCACTCTTTTCTAATAGTTTCCCTTAACTATTTTCTTTTTTGATTAATTTCATTCATATTTCTTTTTAGTATAAGCAATTCTGTTAAAATTTCCTTATCAGATTAAGATTCTCCTTTTTAAGTTTTGACATTTACTTCACAACAAAAGTTTTTTGTTTCTTCATCGTCATCATCATCTTCTTCCAATTATTCTAATTGTTAATTAACTTTTTTTTTTAACTTCCGTTGTTATCTTTTTTTTCTTTGTTTTTCCTTTTTGGCTTCGATTTATTTTTCTTCCTATTCGATATAAGCAATAAACATTTATTATTATTTTTCATACTCTATTTATTGAATTCTATTCTCAATTCTTTATATGATTAATTATTTAAGCTATAATATTTTGGATTAATATTACAATTCTTATAAAATTTATTTTCAAATGATACTTCTAAATAAATTGATCCCTACCATTTAAAATTTTCTCTAATATCAATGAGCTAATAGCTCTTAATATTTTCAATTTAATATTATCTTAGATTTAAATATCTAATACTGTTGTACCAAATTTTAATATTTTATCAAAAAGAATATACTATGCATACTCAAATAAGAAAATACATCATAATTAATTATTATTTAATTATCTCTTTATCGAATAAATTCATTGAAATTGATATTGTCATCAGGATCTATTATATCATTTATGTGCATAATAATATCTTTTTCATTAGTAAAGGTGTCATTTACTTGCATTTATTTTAGAAAGTAATTTACTTTAGTCTTAAATACATCAGGACTTATAGTTATTTGAAATTCTCCTTTAAATAAAAACTTTGGGAAATCCATCAAACTTAATCTATTTTGTCCAAGTATATTAAGTGAATATTTTTATTTATTAGTACTTAATAAATCATTTCTTTTTTATCCAAATAAGTTTGTATTATGAATCTCACATTAGATTCTATATTGCCTTAAATCACTTTATAAAAATAAGAATTTTTCTTATCTGCTTAAAAAAGATTAATATAACTCTCTATATTAATTTATAAGATCGTTAGCACAATTTTAACAAACTAATATTTCTCTACAAGCTTAAATGAATTCGTAATCTGAAAAGTTTGAATTTCTTTCAAATTCTTTCTCATTTATTAAACTATAATCAGCTTAACTCTATTGAATAGATGGTGGTTTATCTTAAGTATTTGTAGTTCCTTTAGCAAATTAAACTTATTTCTTTTAATTTGCTTTCATAAATATTTTTATTAATAAATAAAATGATTATAATGAATCATAGCCTTATTTATAATAACATAATTAGTATAAAATAAATTAGTTTTTTAAAAATTATGTAAAGCCAAAATGAAATGATAGTTATATAGATCAATCAGATTATTATAAATCTTCTTTTTTAATCTTCTATTCTTCTATTAGTTAATCTATCTCAGTTTTTTCAAACCATTTAATTCTTTTACCTTCATTCCATTCTCCCACTTTAACTTCTTTATTTTATAAATAGTAAATTCCAATTCCATGTTACCTTCCTTTTAGATTGAAATAATTACATACCCTAAATCCAAGTACCTATATATTTTCTTCCATCAGCCCATTCAAAAACTCCTTTACCATGCTTTTTATCTTCTTCATATTCCTATTTTTTTAAATTAATTTATTACTCCAGTATATTTTCTGCCATCTTGCCAAATGATCTATCCTTTTCCATGCATTTTGTTCTTTTTCCATTATCCTTTATAAACTCTTTTGTCAGGCCAAATATAAGTTCCTTCACCATGAATATCATTTTATAGAAATTCACCTTAAAAATTATATCCTTAATTTTACCATCATATCTTGAACCATCAGCAAAATTAAGAATTCCTTTACCATGTTTTTTTCCTTCAAAATATTAACCCTCATATTTAGCTCCATCTGGCCAATTTTCTACTCCTTTACCATGTTATTTATCATTTTCCCACTTTATATATTTAAAAGGAAACTTACTTCACCTTCATATTTTGCTCCATTTACATGTATATAAGTTCCTTTTCCATTAGCTTTATCATTTTTCCATTCTCCATCATAAACATCTCCATCAGCATGAGTTAATTTTCCCTAAAATTGTTAAAATTTAAATACCCTTCCTGATGACTTATCTTCTACCCATTCACCTTCATATATAGAACCATCAGGCCACTTTTATTTACCAAAACCATCTCTCATTCCATTCTTCCATTCTCCTTCATAAACTGCCCCTGACTCTAATTATATAGGAGGTAGTTTTTTTCTTTCATTGCTATTCATTGTACTTTTTATTAAGTCGTTCCCTTCTTAATTATTTGCAACATTCATGCTAACTGAATGATTGGCTGATATATTTAACTATTTTTCCTATTCCTAAGATTTTTTTGAGTTCTCATCTACATTTTTAGCAGCTGTTTCTTTAACAGCTTCTTTTTTCTACTCTTTTTTAGTTTCTTTCTTTTGTTTTTGTTGTTCTTAATCTACAACAAATCTCTCATGATCTTTTGCTTACACTTTTTATTCAGGTTATGCATTATCATTTTCAGAATTATCATGTTTAGCTTTTACTTTATCTCTTCCTATTTTTAATTCAGTTGCTTCACTTTCTTACTTAGCGCAACATGATTAACAATTAGCAGCACCCATGATAATTTGTCAAATATTTAATATTAATTTAAACCTGTAAATTTCATTTCAACACTACACTTACAGATTTATAATCCATTACTATTATTTATTCATTCATATGAATAATATTTTTACTTATAGTAAACATAAATGTTTAAATTTCAATAATTATTGCTTACTAAATTTTGTTCCTACAGAAGAGTCATAATTCCAAAAGAGAAATTAGAATGTAGATTTAGCAAAAGTTCTGGACCAGGAGGACAACATGTCAATAAAACAAATTCTAAAGCTGAAATAAGATTCAATCTTTAATCTGCTGATTGGTTAAGTGATGAGTAAAAATCAAAATTCATCAGACTTTATCCTAATTATGTCAACAAGGAAGGAGAAATTATTCTAACAAGTTAATTCACTAGAGAATAATCTAAAAATTTAGAAGATGCTATTGATAAATTAAGAGAAATGATATTCGAATGCAGTAAACCAGATAAAAATGCTTTTACAATACCTCCACCAAGTTAATATAAGATTAAATAAAGAATTTAATGCAAAAGATAAAGATCAGATGTTAAAAAAACAAGAAATATAAAATGAATCTGTAGCTTCTATTTGTGTAAATTAATTTAGATTATTCTAAAAACAAATACCAATAATCACAAAACAGATGCCATCCTTTCTATTAGTTTTGTATCACAAAGTGCACTTTTTAAGTATAGATCATGTAATTTACTCATCAAAATAGCATTCTATCTCAAATCATCAAATCTAAAAGTTATTACCTATATTTATATTTGATCTAATACAATTTCTAACAATTTATAAAACTCTCTTGATCCGATTCTAGTAATCAAATAACTATAAGCAATTTCATAAATTTCTTAAGGTGTTATTTCTCTAACTTCCTTTAATCTCTATAAAACTGATTAAATATCAAAAATACTTTTTCTTTCAATATCAGCATAAAATTCTTGGTTATCATTTTCTGTTATATAATAGGATTTTACAATTTCTGCTATTTCTATTGATGTGAATTCATGTTTTAAAGAGGAAATTTTGTTCATCATAATTTTAAATAGTTTCCTAGATATATATACTATAAATTACTTTGAGCCTCTATATGAAAGCAAAAAGCTTTTAATTATTAATTTTAACTCCTATAATTCATATTTATCAAAATTTTCAAAAATTTTACTTTCCAATTTTTACATAAATTTTTCACTACCAAATTCAAATCCAAATCCTTAACTTACTAAACAAATTTATTCAAAATTCAAAGAATCAAATTATTTCATAAGAAATTATTCAACATCATTAAAATAATTTTTAAATGGTTAACTTTTAACAATATCAGCTGTATCCTATTTCTCACAGAGTTATCCCATAACAAGAACTCCTTAAATTATCGAATTTAATGGTAAATCTTTATAAATTGTTTAATCTTATGAATTTTATAGCATGATCTCTATTAAACCGCGTATAAAGAATTTAGTTCTATATATTCATATTGATATCTTACCCTCTTTAAACTCTCCAATAACACATCAATGTTTAAATAACAGTTTGATATTGTTAGTTGATGTCTTTTAATTTATGAATTTCATCCTTTATTTAATTTTCGCATTAATCCCAAAATTAATCTGAACCCTCTTTTTAATTACTCAGATGAGTTAAGATTTCTAAAAGCTATTATAAAGTCAATTTAGACATCCTATTTAATATTGATATTTCTAGTTGACCCCAAATTTCATGATCTGATGGCAAACATAAAATATCAAGCAATTTTGTGATTTTTACTAAATTATCAACATTGCTAATTATTCTTATTTATTTAGTCAAGATAGCTTAAAATTCTTAAAACTCATATCTTATTAAATCATCTTCTGTAATTTTATCTGCAAATTGAATAAATGCATTAACACAAGACATTAAATTCTGTTCAGTTAATTGTACTTTAAGCGTTCCTAAAAAATTAAACATTTCTTCTGGATGCTTAAATTCACTAGAGTATTAGATATTTATATTATCAATAAAAACTTTCGCAAAATCTATTTTTCCATAATTAACTTCGTGTTCTCTTGCTTACCTTATAGTTTATGTATGGATTTCTTTTTCATTTTTTATTTTCATTTTTTCATATTCTTCTCTCTTTTTCCTTAGATCAGACAAATATTCCTCTTTTCCTCTCCATTCTTTTAATAATTAATTATTATACCACCCGTTTAATTTTAATTCTTCTCGTCGTTTTTTCCAGTCTTTGATTAATTTGCTTCTTTTCTCCAGAAAAAATTAAAAGCAGGTCTTAAAGATGTCTTTCGATAATACTTTATAATATTCATAATTGTAATTAAAAATAAAATTAAACAAAAATGTTTTCTACATTTCCTAATTATTTTCATTGATTATAGTATAAATATAGGAAATAGATAAGATGGTTAAAAAATTAAAATTTTACATTAAAATGGCAAGCTTTGATGATTAACTTTTATAATAAGTAAAAATAATAAAATCTTTAAATTAATACAAAGTTCTTTTATTTTATTTTCTAGAAGATTATAATAACCCTTTGCATATTATTAATAAATTGAACTCAAAAAGTGATTTTCTCTTAAAAAACAAAAATATTAAAAATATAAAAACGAGTAGTTGATTTAAATTTCATGAAATTATTTCATGAAATTTATTATTTTAGTACTATCATCTTGCTTAATAGACTTATCAAACTCAATTAATACCTTGAATATTAGAATTTCTCACAATATAATTATTCTTACTCATGGATTTTATTCGGAAATTTTTATTTTTTTGTTTTTCTATTTTTAAATCCTATAATGATTACTTCAAACTTAATTTGAAAAATCCTTATTCTCAAATCTAATTATTATTTATACAATATTAATAATAACTTTAATTCAATATTAGTAAAACTCTAAAGTAGATAAATATTTTAATTTATTAATTATTATCATTTAACTAAAAACCAACAAACTTTTAAGGAATAGAAATATAAAGACTTAAAATTTTATGATATTTTTTTTTAATTTATAATGTACCAATTGAGAAATGACTATGCTGATTATTCAAGGAACTATGAAAGATATCACAAACTACTTGTAAAGGCCTTATAAATTGAATGCAATAACAGGTCTGCTAAATAGAATTTTCAAATTGTAGACTGGTTATTTATTAAAATTTAATATCTACTTAAATAGATTATAATAAAAGAGTATGAATTTAAGTAAAAAAAGTATTTTCTAATATTATACTTCAAGTAAGAGAGAATATAATAATGCATATCAATATTATTAATAATTGATAAATCAATTAATATATTTTAATATTAATAATCATAACCTTAGATCCTTGAATTTGAAAAAAATATAAAATTTCTCAAATTGTTACTCAATTATAAAGTATAAAGATCTAATAAATTTAATATTTATAAAATAATATTTTAGGGAGAAATTTTTACAAATTCTGGAATTGGTTCAGCATTCTTAAAATTTTAATCTAAGTAATTTTTCAGTTTTCTGTAAATGACTTAAAAATCTAATTAAATTAAAAATTTTCAAAGCCTTTTTATTTAAATTCTAATACAATTAAACTTTTTGATTTCTTATTTCTATGATTATTTTTTTGATTCTAAAATAATACATTAAGTTTATTGAGAATATTGATAAAAATAATCAATTCTTGTATTTTAAGAATGCTCAGACTTCTGAAATTCTAATTTAATTATTCTCATATATTCAATTTTTACATAAATCTGACTAAAATAGAAAATATCGTCATAATTTTATTAAAAAGTTTAAATAAAGATATTATATATAAATAGACATAAGATAATATTAGATTAAGTATACAAATTAATATAAGGGTCATTAGTTTTTTAAGATCTATGGATTTACCCAATAAAGATGAGGTTTCTAATTTATTAATTTTTAAACTAGCCTTCCTATAGCCTAAGCAGGTTCCTTCTAATTAAATTAACAATGAACAATGTTTAGGTTAAATTTAACTTTTTTCTTGCTATTTTTTTATTTGGCAAGGCCTTCAGTTTGTATTTAGGGAGTTTCTATGAAAGAATTTGTTTGAGATTAAATTTTATTGGAAAAGTCATCTGTACATTGGGTATTATCAACATCCAGATTCCTATAAGATTCCAAAGGCTGCATGAAAATAGGTCTGGGTCCAATAAGATGATTTTAATTAAATTACAGCATATTTTTATTTTTCATTAAATATTAAATAAGTACTAAAATTAACTATGATTTGAGTTATTAGATTTGTATATTTGAGCCTAATTCTTGAGATTTAATGAAAAAAATTAGAGAAAAATGTAATTACTTTAAGTATTTTTCTTACGTTATAATCTTCTTTTATTTTTAAATTAATATTTCAAAAATACAAAATATTTTATAATAATTGATCTTGATTCTCTAAAATGTATTTAGATAAGTTGTTCAGGATTAGAAAAAAACAATATTGAGATCTTTTTTAAAATAAATTTAATTATAATATAATCATCTAAATTTCAAAAATTAAGCAATTAAATAAGCCTGTTTAAAGTTTTCTGATATTCTTCCCAATCTCCACTAATATAGTGTGCCTTTAATAGATAAAGAGCATCACAATTTTGTATTTTTCTGATTTAAATTTCGAATTTGAGACATAAGTTGGCTGAACACACAATCTCATATGGATCAATTTACTGATGAGCTTTTAAATGATAATCGTACCTACAATATTTTAATTTACATTTAAGTAATTATCTTTTATAGCTCAGCAGCAAAGACTACAGGATCTCTATGAGTAGTACATTGAAAGTTAAAAGCACCTTTATGAATTTTCGGTTATGGATTTTTAGCTTGGTTGGGTTGAGTATATTCAGAAATTGCACTAATAGCACGTTCTCTATTAATAATCTAAGATAATAATAAAATAAAAACTTTAGGTTTTGCTTTATCTAATGAAAAAGAATCTTCTGTTTTTCTGTTTGTTTATAAAGGTGTATTTCCATTAGTACCTACGCTTGAAATAGAGTTATTAACAACTTAATATATTGGTTTGAGCATAGGAGGAATTATGGGTCTAATTTAAGCTCTTTTAATGATATCTCTCTTTAATTAGATATTAAATTATTTTGGTGAGTCTGGTTTTGTTATTTATTTCAAAGGTTGAGGTGAAGGTGATGAGTGACGATTATTGATTTAAGTCATAATTCGATGTTAAGGAGAATGACCGCTATTAGTGTTCTACTTTTATCTTGATGTATTATTATTGCTTGCATTTACAGAATCTAAGATTGAAGAGTTCAGAATATATGATTAAGTTATTGAATCTTCTTAATCTTTTTTAAAGTAATTATATGTTCTATTCTTTTTATTTTTTTACATTTAAAGATAATAAAGAGTTGTTACATTGTTGTGTCTATTTTTTTTAACAAGTTTTCGACATAGATTTGGATCTATTTAATAAAGATTTCTCAATTATTCTACAATAATTTCATCAATTATAATATTATCACTTCCTATATTTCCATTATGTTCCTCTAATTTGATAGCTTTTGACCATCTATGTCCTTTAATTTAAGGTATAGTAAATCTTTTTTTTGGATCAGTGTTTAAGATGTTTTTTAAAAGATCTTTAGATTCTGCTGACAACCATTTTGGAAACACCAATTCACCTGCAATTATCTTTTTATATAGTTAATTAGTATTTTAATCTTCAAATGGAAGATATCCACAAAGCATTGCATATAAGACAATACCACAACTCCATATATCAATTAAATAACCAGAATATTTCAAACCTTAAATCATTTCAGGGGCAGCATAACATGGACTTCCACATGCTGTTTTTAATAATTCATTAGGTTTATATGTATTTGATAATCCAAAATCAACTATCTTTATATTTTAATTATTATCAAAAAGTAAGTTCTCTGGTTTTAAGTCACGATGAACTATTCCTATCTTATGCATATATTCAACTCCTGATAAAATCTGTAATAAAAATCTGCATGCAATTTTTTCTGATACTCTATGATTTTTTACAATATATTCAAATAATTCTCCTCCACTAGCATATTCCATTATTAGATAAATTTCTTTGTCTGTGTTAATTATTTCATAAATTTGAATTATATGAGGATGTCTTAACTTCTTTAGAATTTCTATTTCTTTGGCTATTCTATATACATCACTTTCATCTTCAAACTTGGCTTTTTCTAAAATTTTGATAGCTACCTAATATTATAAAAATGAAAATACTTTTTCACCAGTTTACAAATGAGTTCCCATTTTAACTTTTCCAAAAGTACCTTCACCTAATGTATTTCCTATAGCATAGTTACCAAGAGTAGATTCTTACATTTACTGTTATAATTAATATTTAATTGAATGGGTGTTTAATAAAGCAATACAAATGAATGTGTTTCATTCTTGTCAAATATGAAAATGATCTAAGAAAAAGGAAATTGCAGAGTTTATGAGAATTAAAAGAACTAAAAATTTGATTATAAAGAATTTAAATCAAGTGAAACTTCATTTAAGGATGAGTTAGAAGTAGGAAAAGAAATTTAGAACTAAAATTATTCAGGAATTGCTAAAATTGAATAGATTGAAGTTCAAACATTAGAAAAATGGTATACAAACTATTTTACTTTATGTCTTTTAACTGAACATCCAACCTATTCACTTAAAGAGTATTGTTAAAGAAAAGAAAAATATTTAACTTATTAATAAATAACAGAACTTCTAGTCTCAATTTCAGGAGCATAACATATTTTAGGAATGAAAAAACAATATTTAAGCTTTGATAACATATTTACTAACGATGGAAATATTTGGAAACTTAAGCCATTTTTTGAATCAGAATCCTCATATGAGAAATTGATGAAGTTTAAAGCTCAAAAAATAGTTGATTTCGAATTAAATAGTTTTCCTGCTCCTGAAGAATTTGAAGGCAAAGTATGTGATCCAGATAGAGTTCAAGTTTTTGGTCTTGGTATAATTATTTTAGAATTAATTACAAGTAAAAAGGATATTATCTTATAGAACAGAAAAGCAGTAATTTATATTAAGAATATAAATTAAATGAAACTCTACTTTCTTAGCGCATTTAGGCTATTTTAAACGTGAAAAATCAATTTTCTGGGAATGTTATTGATATAATTATAGATATGATTGATACAGATTTAGTGAGAAGACCTAATTTTTAATAATTAGTGAAAAAACTGAAGTCTCCTTCATCTAAAATAGTATGTATTTAAACTAAAATGGGTGATATACAAGAGATTAGTAAATTACATTAAAGTAATTCGATTAATTTGTTTGGTTCTAAAAATTTTAGTCAAATAGAACAATAAAAACTCAGTCAAGCTTTAGAATAAGCATAAGTTTAAATTTCTGATAGCATTAAAAAAATGAAAAAATAATAGGAAAGCATTAGATACTCATAAATAAGACATGAATAGAACGGTAATGAATATTAGGGTGAAATTGTAAATAATTTATATTAAGGAAATGGTAATTAATCATATTAAATAGGTCGTCTAAAATCTAAATCAGGAGATTTGATTTATGAAGGGGAATTTTTAAAAGGTTAATATCACAATTTTGGAGTTCAATACTTTTACAATACAAATAAATTGTAAAAAAGTTATGATTTTTAAAATTGTTAAGATATCATGAAATATGCTAAACAATATGAGGGATATTTTTAATTAGGAATGTAAGTTTTTTTAAATATTTTAGGAAACATGGAGATGGTAAATTGATTTTAAATAATGGAGAATATTATATTGGAGAATTTAGAAATGATTAATTAAATGGATGTGGTTAATTTGATTAATTAACAAAGAATAGAGTAATAGGTTTTTGGAATAATGGAATATTAAGATCAACTCCAACATTTTAAAAAGAATTTACATCAATTTAATCTCCTCATTTTTCTAATGAATCAAAAATTCCAGATGAAATTTAAAAATAACCATAAACTTAGATAAATTCTGATCTTATGCCACATCATTAAGGAGATTTTGGAGTTGAAACATCATAAATATAATTTAATGGTATAAGCAAACTTTAATCTTGTAAAAGCTTATTGGAAGCTTCAATTAATAATCATTAATAATATTTCAATTTTAAGTAGTCTTAAAATAAAAAAGATTATAAATTATATTATGATGAAACAAAGACTATGTTAAAATATGAAGGGTAACTTTTTACTGGTTAGATGCATGGAAGAGGCACTTTATATTTTAAGGATGGAAGAGTTCATTATGAAGGAGATTTTGTGGCTGGGAATTATGAAGGGTTTGGAATTTTATTTAATGAAAAACCAGAAATAGAGATGAATATAAATTATAATGATTTAAGAGATGTTAACATAAAGGGATGGTGGAAAAAATATGAAGGAACATTTTAGAATGGATAGTATAATTATAAATTATAATTAAAGGAAAGAAGGTCATGGTTATTGGTATTTGACTGATGATTCTGTTGTATTAGGGCTATTTTAAAATGATTAAGTTCATGGAGAAGGATACTTAAAAAGACCTAAAATTTAAGATGTTTATGCAGAATGGTAAAATGGAATCCTTTAGCAAGTTAGATAAGGCAAACTATGAAATCATATATATTTTTATTATTAATAAGCTAAATCAATCAATTGCATTTTTATTATAATTAGCAATATGATGTAATTATTAAACAAAATTTAAAAAATAATACAATATATGATTTATCATTCGGTCATACTTTCTTTATTTATGCAGACTCTTTTTGAGTCAAAGTCAAATAGGAGTAAAGTAGAAGCCTTTCTTTTATCTTGTAACAGTTCTTCTTTTGTTATTGATGTACAAATTATAGATTCCATTTGATCTGAATGAATACTTACATTTTCTTCTATTTAATAATCTAGTTCTTATTCAGATTCATTTTATGGCTCTTTATTTTGTTATAACTCAAATGAATTTTCATTTTCTTCATCTTACGATAACACTTCATCTGAAATTTCGCTAAGCGCTTCTTCTTTGAATATGAAACTGTAGGCTTTTTTAAGCCATCCGTCAAATTTTCTATTTAATTTAGTTGTTGTGTTTCCCATTGTATTTAAAATATTATTAACTGAATTAAAATATATATATTTATAAACATAAGATAATTATATTTTCTAAAAAAAAATAATATTTACGAATTCCATTCAATTAACCGATTTCTCCCATTTTTCAAAATCTTTGTATCTGACAACAAAATCATTTTGATTTCTTTTAGACATCGAAATACTCTATAAAATTATTTATATAAATACAGTCAGTAGTGATTTGGCATCATCCCCAGCATTTTCGAATAATTAGCAAAATTCATCAAAATCAAGTTAAATGCCATGGTCACCTAATATTAAATCTAAATCGAAATTCAATTCAAATTCTTTCTATATTGTTTCGATTATTGTAGATTTTAATACATATCCAGATTTATCAAGTTAACCACCTAAGGCACAAAAGGCATCGACTACTTAATTTTTGATTTAGTACTATATTCTTAAGTAATTGTTTCCTCTTCATTCAATTGTTATTGATATTACTTCAATTTACAATAAAGATCACAAATTTGTTTTAAGTCAAGAAATTTTGCATTCATTATCTTTAATTCTTCATTAAACTTATTAATAAGTTTATCATTATCTAACAATTTGAGATCTTCATATTAATTTTAATCAATTACCTCTAAGAACATCATCTACTTCATGTTTTCCTACATAGCCAGTTCCTTTTGGGTCAAATTTTTTAACTTGAGTAATTATTTCATTCATTTCATCTTAGTTTAAATTGAACATGCTTTTTGCTTATTAAACTAAGTCCTAATATTCTACATTCAGTGTTTGTTTTCTTTTCATTTTATTTTGATTCTAATTAAAATTAAAACTAAATGATAATCGTACGACAAAAAATTAAATTCAGTTAACAAAATGATTATCAACATATTTTAACAAAAGAATAATAATTTAAAAGAAAAAGTCTTTAATAAATTAAAGAATACTTAAACAATTCTTTTAGTCAAATAAACTAAATATAATTGGTATGTGATATTGCAAAAGTCAAAAACATGCCTAAATTGTTGAGAAAAGTTAAAGGATTTAAAATTAGTTAATAATTAGAGAGCAGCAAATAAAATGAGTTATATGAATTTAAGAATTGTGAATGTAGCAAAATAGTTAAAATTTATTAATAAATGTACGGTATTATAATTGTAAGCAAATCAATTGATGTTAAGCTTAGTTCTTCTCCAATGTCTACGTTTTGAATTATACCTAGTATTACACTATTATTAGTTAATACCTGATTGTATTATCAGTTCTATATCTAAACCAATTTGGAAGAGGTCTATTTTGCTTATTAGCTTTAATCAATCTCTTTTTCATTCTCAAAGATTTATGGGCTCCCTAAATAAACATAAGTGAAAGTCATTACCATTTTAAATCTTTTTTTAATTTATTTAATATTTTTTCCTTATATAATTTTTAAACATTTATGAAATCACAAGGAATTAAGACAATATATAAAACTAAAAAAAGAAAAAGAAAATAACAAATCAATAAGATTAGAAAATAGCAAATTAAAACAAAGCAATTATTAATTGAAGTCAAAAATCATCAAACATATGTTACAGTTCACGAGGTAATTATTTTGGTGGATCATTAGAATCAGGATACTTTTCAAACCAAAAAACATCATCCTCTGATCTTAAGTAAGGGATCCAAGGAGGAGGAATTTATCTATTTTCTACACGTGCCCAATCTACTCCTCTGAACCATTTATGTTTTTTTATTGATTCACCATTCTATTAATATTTAATTATAAATAATACATCATTAAATCCTAAACGATTTTATATTTCAGGATTTAAAAGTTTCCTTATTAGATCTTTCACTTTGTTATCAAAAAATTTAGGAAATTCTATGAGACCAGATAAGATTTTCTTGTAAATACCTATTGGTTCATTATCATAAAATGGAGGATATCTATTTTTATATATATTTATTATTACCCTGATAACATTTCAAATAGCAAGATACCATAAGCCCATTAATCAACTGATTTACCATAACCAACTTTTGATCCTTTGATTATTTCTGGAGCCAAATATTCAGGAGTACCACACAAGGTATAGGTTTTACCATTACCTATTTTTTTAGCAAAACCAAAATCTGTAATTTTCACATGACCATCCTTAGCAATTAATAAATTCTCAGGTTTAAGATCTCTATATATAATTTACATTTTATGCATATATATTATTGCAGTCAAGATTTCAGTTGCATAAAAGAGACATACATCATTTGCAAAACGACCTTCTTTTCTTAATCTACTAAATAATTCTCCTCCTTGAATATATTCAAATAACATATAAATGTAAAATTAATCTTGAAACGATGTTTTCATTTTTACTATGAATGGATGTTCTATAAAGGTTAAGATATCTTTTTCTGATTTTATATGTTCAACTTAATTGAGTCTAACTACTTCTGTTTTTTTTAAAATTTTTAGTGCATAAACCTTATTCTCAGGATCACATTTTATCTTAGCTTATCTTACTCTACCAAAAGTTCCAGTACCTATAATTTTATAGTTAAAATAATAATTACCTAATGTAGAAAGAATTTCAAAATCTTATATTTTTAGTTCTTTAAAGTTAATTTTTGTATTTTTGAGCATTTTGAGTTTCATACTTATTTAGTTTTAATTCTAAATTTATTATTATTATTTTTTTTTGATTAAACCTTGCTTTGTGAAAATAGAATCTAACTCAGGATCAATTTCTGATTCACAATAACTTGATTCTAAGTTTCTCTCATGAATATCAACTCCCATAAGTTCTTGTTTTTTTAAATAATCAAGCCTTTACTTGAGATCAGCTAAAAATTCACTTTCAGACATCTACATATTTTGAGATTAATATAAAATATAATAAAATATTTGTTTTTAGTAATAAATATTAAATATAATAAAATATTTGAATATAATATAATGAATATCATTAAATAATATACAATGGTGTGTAAAGTAAATGAAATAAATAAATATAAAATTATTAAATAATAATAAAATAAGATTGAATTATATAGAATCATTCAAATTATTCTGAATGAAAATTTTCTTTTTGAAATAATTAGTTCTTCTTAAAGGTTTTTTTAATTATTAAATTGACCCTTATTAATTTAATCTTTCATCTGTTACAGATTAATTTAAGAATTCATTGTTAATCAATTAAAACCAATAATATATCTTAGATCCTTTTCTAATGAATAATTTATACCTTATCTTCTAGGCTTATGTGATCTAGTTAGTCTTGAAAATATTGGTATGCTTCAATTTCAAAGGGATAAAAAGATTTTTATTTATTAATAATTAAGAAGTTTCTATAAAGAACCCAATTTTTATAAAAATTAAATCACTTCTTTAATTTTTATAACATTTGTTAATTTGCTGTAAGTAATAATAAAATTCTTTCATCCAAAGATTGTTCTTCTTTCTACTCATTCTATTCTTAACAACTATATTTTCCACTTAGAACTAGAAATTTCTAATTTTTTTGCATTTCCTATTCAATCCATAATGATAATTAATTGAAATGGTTTTATATTTATTAGTATATCTCTGGAAGGATATAAAATTCTTCAGCTAATTTTACACAATATTACATGTAAATTTATAATTCTTCATCAAAACACTCCAGATGATGATTAAATGTGATACATAACCTTTCATCTTAGATTGGACAAAACTCTATACTATTTATTAAAACCATAATTTGAAATCCTCTATGTATAACCTATACTACAATCTATATTAGTTCCTGTTGATTTTGAAGCTTCAAGATTGTATTTCTTAATGAAATTATTTACAAAATTATTTTAATTTTCAATCTCATTTACAACTGCCATAGTTTGATTACAAGAATAATATTATAATGATATTTAGTGTGTATGAAGATTGAACTTGATTTAAGCATAACCATCTATTGATTTTAATATTGCATAATCATTTTCAATATAATATTGGAGTGGCCAAATAATAGTTTAAATTTTCTTCATTTTAATTGCTTCTTCATAAAATATTTAATCTGAATTAAAATAAGTATACTAAGAAGATGCAACCTATAAAAATTCTTTTATAAATTAAAAACATAAATTATCAATTATTTATTTTCATTAGAATATTTGTAAAATGTGTATAAAATAAAAACTAAAAAAAAGAACACCCATGGCAGGGATTGAACCTGCAGCCTACAGCTTAGAAGGCTGTCGCGCTACCAATTGCGCCACATGGGCATCTGTACAAATAATATATAGATTTATTATTAGAACACTTAGAAAGTTTATGTAAATTTAATTATTTATTCATCTTAAAAATATTTGAACTATTATTTAGAAAGTATCATACATTTTAACTATTTCACTCATAAACTAATTATAATATGTAGCTTCAATTTTACTCTACATAATGTTATAATCATAATAATAAATACTTCATCACCACATAAAAAACATTTTTTTTAGTATCCCTTATTACAATCACCACAATATGTATGAGCACAAGGAATTATTGTTACTGCATCATTTACTAATTTTCCACAATATTTACAAAGCAACGCTTAATGAAGATGAATCTAAATTTTTTTTTTTTTCTCTTACTGTTTATTATTGTAAAAACTTTGCTTTTAATTCAAATTATTTAAACTTTTCTAAAATCGAACAATTTTACTCTTAAGTTTTCCATAATTATTATTCAGCTCTATTTAATTACTCTTTTAATTCATTTTCTAATTAATTCATTTATTTTCGAATATTCAACACATCATCTTCCTATTTCTCTTCTTTTAAACTTTCAAACGCTAATTTTTAAGATAAATATTTTCTTTCAAGTTATTCGATCAACTTCTATTACTCTTTATTTTTATCCAATAATTCTTAACATTCTTTTTCCTTAGTTCATATAATTAATCATATTACTTTTTCATGATACTTTTATTCCCAATTACTAGGTATTTCAAATTATTAAATTGGATTTACCAACGAATTAAATAATTTCTTCTACACTAATTTTTTAAAAACTGGAGTCTATTTAAAACTAGGCTAAGTTTTTTATCTTTTAGTTTAAACACTTTATCCTTATTATTTCACTCCATAATCCTCTGAAGACTTATACGATTTAATGTCAAACTTAAATGTTGTTTTTGATAATATTTTTGGAGTACTTTAATCAAGTGCAGGAAATCTTTAAGAAAACATTATATAAATTTTTATAAAATTTCAATTATATCAATTTTTAAGTATATATAAAAACAAAATCAAAAATCCTTTCTTAAATCAATCATTTTCAAAATCAGAATATTACCATTTTGTCAAAGAAATAGAAGATTTCTTTTTGAAATTAAATTCTTACATCTTAGGTTTATATAAAATAGACCTTTATTATTTATCTTAATCTTAATTACATTTCAATATTTTTATTTTAAAACGTTTATGTTAAGGTGATGATGATATTGTTTTCAATCTATCAAGTATTTTACACTTTTCAACATTTAATCCTAATGCACATACATTAGGTTTCACTAAACATATTTTCTTATATTTTTGAAATGAAGAATTTACTCTTGATTAAGGAGGTCTGTGAGTATAGATTTCTTAATTCTTTATTAAAAATTATGGTGATTATTCAGTCTATATTAGTTTGAATTAAGTTTATTCCGGTATTTTACTTGTAATACTTCTATTTCTAATTTAAGACATCCTTTCTAATATCTTTTATTTAAAATCTATTATTTTAAGAATTTCTTATTGGTTTGAATCCTTTAAGGGTAAAGTTTTGAATTTTTAATTCATTGATTTACTAAATTATGTTTTTTTTGAATGAGTTGATGTTGTGGTATTATTTAAATTTTATAATTATAAATTTGGTGGAGAACGAGTAGGTAAATAACTTGGATGATAATAATCTCTTTGAGTGATATGATTAAAAGAAAATTATGATTTTTTTCTTATCTATTTTACATATTGTTAAACAAGTAAATTTTTTAGATTTAATTTTTTAGGAGGATTGCTCTCTTCTGTGAAACTAATCGTAAAAGGTCTCATTGATTTAGCTTGATCATCTGCTCTATTTATCGACAAAAATAGTCTACCCAAATAAATCTATTGTTTTTTTCATGTATATAGAAAGTAATGAAATTATTAAATTTTTTTATAAATAAAACTCAAATTAAACTTTCATAAACATTCTAATAGGCAATCAAATGTTGGAGTATTTAATATTTTAAAATTCTTCTCATTATGACCTTAACTACATTTTTATCCAATAAATATATGAAGTACATTATCTTTTAATTCTTTTTACATATCCTTAAATTGATTATAATTTGAATTGCTATAATATACTATGAAATCAAATTCTCTAAAATCATAATTTTACTTATCCTTCTCATTATTTGATTAGGTTTGATAACCTTCAATTATTGTCATTTAATGTTTTTCTAATTTTAAAATTTATTATACTTTAAAGTTCAATCCCTATTTCTGATAAATTTCCAATAATGTATAACAAATTTAACTTTTAATTTAAGGATAGCAAATATGTTGTTAATTCATTCTAATTGTTGAATACCTAAATTGAATTGAATCCTAATTCTTTTTCAATTTTCTCTTTAGTTTTATTACCAACAACTAAATAATTTTTTGTTTGACATTTAGTTAGACTTTGTATATATGATTAAACTCCATTAACACTATGAAATAAAATATCTTTCAATAATTATCAATTTACACTTACAATCATAATTTATTGCCTGATCAATTTCAAATTATTTATACACAAATTACAACAGACTCAAATGAGATGATTGGATTCCTTTTTAAGCTAATTGATCTAATTATTATTATGAGTAGTTTTCTGTCTTTATTACTAATAATTTTTTGTTAAACATTTTTATTGATATTTCATTATAATTAAAAAATACAAAAGAGTGTTACTAATTATATTTATAATATGAATATAATAATTATTCATTTAACAACCTTCTAAAAATCATTGATAAACCCTTCAACTGATGATTTAGCATTTTAGATACATTAATCTTATTAACTAGTCTTAATGCATTAATCAAATGTAATCCCCATAAAAAGCATCTTGAAATCAAAAGCTTTCATTTATTTTTCTACAACTTTGCTTTTTTAATACATACCTTAAATAATTATCCTTTTTTATACATTATGCATATTTTTCAAAATTTTTTGCATTTTAACTCATACATTGTTCATGATATTGTTTTGGAATATTTTAGACTATCTCTTCAAATCCTCTTTAAACTACATCTAAAGTTTTTTATAATTATTGGTGAACAGGACTTCCACTCATACCAGAAATAAATTTTAATTAAAATAATAACACTCAATTTTGAGTATTATTTCTATGCCCTATTAAAATATCATGTTATGTTTATACCATATTATTGATAACCGATTATGAACACTATTTTTAACTAATTTTTTTTACACTAATTTTAGACTCTATCTTTCTTTTTTTAATTTTCTCTTTTGATTTTGTCCCATAACTTATATTATTTGTATATTTAAACTAAAAAAAATTCAATATATTTTGTTAATTTTAATCAGAAACAAATACTTTCATATTTTTGATTTAAAAACTTAATCAAAGAATTTCTGAAGTTGTAAAATCAATAATCTTAATCAAGATTTCATAAAATAGTTTATTAGACTCCTTATCATTTTAATCACTATAAATATAAAATCAATTTTAGAATTTTGATAATTAAAAATAATGTCACTACATGTCAATATTGAATCAAGAATGATTAAAAGTCTTTTATTTACAGAATTTAATATATTTTTTATATGATCAAATTAATAGACCTTGAAGGATGGCAAGATTACTCAACATCTCCATATATAAATTAATTAAAATAACTCTCAGAATCACCTGAAATTACTCCTACCAAAAGATATAAATAAGATAGGCTTCCTTCAATATAATAAAAAAAACTGGAATGCTATGAAATCAAGAATTATAAATCAAGTTATTTTGTGAATAGGAAATAAATTGGACATCAAATAGTAAGTGAGGAAAGAAAATCTCAAAAACTAACAAAACAATATAATTAAATTCCTTAGCAATAATATTAATTTCATGAATTGTCTTAAGTTATTGGATCTCCTAAGAAATCTAAAAAAATGAAAGAACTTTAGGAGAGCTTATTTTAAAGAAGAGCATACAAATTAAAAGTAAAAAACAAAATGTTAAATTTAACTCAGAAATCCCCCATCCAAAACATATCCTAACTATTACGTAAACTAAACAGTGAAGACATAAATAAATGAATTAATATCAATTTTACATAAATGAAAGATTTATAATCAATTTAATCTGCATATAGGACATTCTTTAACTTTTGTTAACCAAAATTAAAATCATTTTTTTATGAAAGACATCTTAAAATTATAATATTCTCTTTTAATAAGCATATAAAATAAAATTAGAGCTTTTTTAACTAAAGAATTTTTAGTATTTTGTCATGCAAGACATTCACAATAATTGATCTTGCTTGAAATTTTCTATTATATTATCTAACATCCTTACTCTTTTTAAGTGTAAAACCTTTTCAAATTGTAAAATGGTTTAAAATAAATTTTTTTTCAGCAATATTTATAAAATAATAGTTTAATTATTATTCTCATAAATTTCAAAATGCAATACCTAAAAAAACAATTGATTTTAAAATTCAAAAGTTTTTCACATCTATAACTAAAATTCATTTTTTTAAGTCTATGTCTTTATACCCATATTTTACATAAATTTGTTTTGCAAATATATAAAATTTTTAAAGTTTTTATTTTATAATTCCAAAAACAAGCTAATTATTTACAAAATTGATGTTTTATAAAAAAGTTTATTTTTCTTATTTTTTATAAAATTTTAAAATAATATATTGAATTATGAACTTTATATAATGTACTTGAATATGATGTTATTGAATCAAAATAGAACAAATTGCTTTCTAACATTACCTATGATTTCATTTGGGATAACTTTCAAAACATTGAATCTCACAGTTTTTGACAATGGTCTATCAATTACAATTACAATACCTGCATTATCCGCATACAACGATATCACCTTCCTTAACTGGGCCAAATGCAGGGGAAATGTGAACTGGAACATTTCTATGTCTTTTTTCATATCTATTATATTTGGCAACATAGTGTAAATAATCTCTTCTTATAATAATTGTTCTGGTCATTTTCGTTGAGATCACTATACCTCTAAAATTAAACTATTTTTAATATGTACTTTAGAATTGCTCCTCTGACACTAACATTTCCAGTAAATGGACATTTTTTATCAATATAATGTCCTTCAATAGCTTCTTTAGGTACTTTGAATCCAAGTCCAACTTCCTTCCAATATCTTACTCCCTTAGAGGTTTTCTTCGCCAATAGTTTTTTAGAATTTTAAAAGATGCCTTCTTGTTTTTAAAAGGCTCTTTATGTTTAGACGTCTGCCATAATGTATATTTTAAAAATAAAAGATATAAATTTTTATACTTTCATAAGTAAATGCAATAACTTAGATCATTTAATCACAAAAATTATCCTAGAACTTATAAAATCGACTTTCTTTCAGCTTATCAATTAAAGTCAACTTATTAATTTCCAAAATAAAAAGTGATCATAATTTTACTCTCTCTTTCACTATTTCTAAAGGTCTAATTAAAACCTTTAAATTTAAATATACATTCATATTACTACTCATCTTTAAATATATAATTATGAATAATTAATTTAGATTTGTTATATTTTGATATAGATTTATATTAATATTTTTCCTAGTTATTATGTTAATATCAAATTTTAAATAATTAGATTAAAGGACATATTATAATGTATGGATCTCTCAATATAAATGAGGAAATAGAAAAAGTTAAAGTCTAATCTACCTTTCTCAAATTTACTTATCAGGGATTGTATGTGCTAGCCCAATTGATGAAGCATTTCTTGTACAAATAATTAATTAACTAATATATGGAGTAAATTTGGTTATGATTATAGATCAGGATTAATGAATAATTTGCGATTTCCTCTATTAAAGGGGATATTTTATAATTTGATCTTATCTTCTAAATTTTAGTTTTTTTAGTAAAAATAAAAAAAATAATAAGATTATTTTGATAGATTTTAGCCAAACTTCCCAGTTAATGTAATAATAATATTTTTTTTGTAAAAATCCAATTTCAAAGAAGTCCTTTAGATTTTCTAATTAAATCAATTTTTAGCATTATAATTAAAATTTATTATATTAAATTAAAATCGTAATACTAAATGTTTCAACAGATAATGAGTTAGTTAAGCCAATAATGAATAATTTTGATCTTGTGTAGTATTATTCTGTTTTTAATAAATTGTTTGCTAATAAAAAACAAGACATAACTCAAATTTTATACAATTTTCTAAGCCTGTAATTATTACTTTACAGTAGGAACTAAGGGTAGATAAATTTAGATTATATTTTTATTGAATTACTGAAGCGTAGAATATTTCATCAGCTCTTTTAAAAATACTACCTTAAATATAAAAATATCTTTGAAGTAGAGCAATATCTTAAATTTTTTTGAAATAATGTTAAAAATCCTTTTTTATTTTTTTCTCAGAGGATCTAAACCCTCCCTCTCTATTTTAAAATTATTTTTATGCTATAAAATTAAAAGAACTACAAGATAATAAAACTAAATAATAATAATAATATTAAATTATATATTGAAAAATTACTTCTCAAATTAAACTACTTTCGAAATTATTACTCTTTTTCACTTTGATAGGGATAGATAAAACAAGAATGTAAATTGAAACTCAAGAATCTCCTTGTTAAAAAGTATAAGTTTTTAATATTCCTTTAATGAGAAAATTTTTTTAAAGAAAAGTTTATTACCTGTATGTTATAAAAGAATGTGATTTATTTTTATTCTATTAATATTCCCATTTTATTGATTAAATGAAATATCTATCTGATAATTTAATCTAAAACTTAGGTTTATTAAATAAAATAATTTTATTTTTAAATGAAATTTGAATCATTTACTTATAACATTTTACTGAAGGTAACAGAGTTGTTGATAGATAAATCTAGGTTCTTATAATAGGTGGAGTAAGAGCTTAAATTCAATAGAATCTTATCAAAAAGCCATGATTTTATATATATTGACAATAATTACACTTATGGGTTAATAAGTTAACTTTTAGAATGTATATGTAGAAAGGAATGCAATTAGTTAGATGAATCAATAATATAAGATGATTAGAAAAAACGTAATCTCTAAAAATAAAAGATTTGATGATTAATTTATTTGTAAATGATAAGAAATCATGGATATGGAGAATACCACCGCCTTGATAGTTATTTTTATACAGATTAATTTTCTAACGCTTATAACATGATTGTTTGGTTAGGAAGGAGGAAATAGTATGAATTTGGAGAATAGAGCTACGATTTTACTTAATTTAAAGTTGAATTGAATTTTTTTAAAAGATTATGAGGAAATTATAAAATTTTATAACAACACTAAATCTAATAAATTTTTAATGTAAATTTTATAACATAGGTTAAAAAATAAATTTAATTTGAGAAAATAGAAATATTAAATCAGTTAATCCTTGTTTAGCTATGCTTTAATTTTTATAATTTGTGAGCTTTATTAATTTTAATAGATTTGAGTAAATAGCTGAGATTGTTCATTAAGTATATATAAACTATCAAAAATCGGATTAGAAGTCAATAGCCTAGTTATTAAATAATATGAAAAAATTATAAATTAAGGATCATAGAATGAGATTTCTATGATTTGGAAAGATGTTAGGATAGAAAAATAGAGTAAATGAACTTAGCTAAAGATGAACCTGAGCATGAAAAAACAAATAGATATGCGAAAAATGTTAACAAGATTTGAAAAATTATTCTAGCCTTAGAATTAACAAGAAACAGTGCTAAGGAAAAAAGCATAATTCATCCCCACAGTTATGCTACCTCTTATCAGATAAATTTAAAGTATTATGTCTTAAGTTAGAAAAATACACAGAAATGCAACAACATTTGAAAAGATTAAACAAAACTTGAAATGGCCAAAAAATAGACATAGTTCCAAATATTAAAGCAAAAGGTGAAGCTGATTTCAACCTAGCTTAAGTGAAATGAGTGCTGCTGGATTTTTTATTCTTAATAAGCAGATTTTAATTTAAAGAATTTATACCAATCAAACTTGTATGATGAGCCCTTTTGCTTATTACTTATTCGAAATTAATATATCAATTAATAGTATTGTTATTCTATCAATTGATTTTATTTAGAATAAATTTTGTAAATAGTAGGTTTTAAATAGAATTTATATTTCTATTTTATTAGTTTGCTGATAAAAAAGAATAAGTCTAATCATATTATAAACAAGTTTGTAATAAAATTAATTATTTTTAATTTTTATTTTGTTTAAAAATACAAGTGTGTAAAATTCTAAAAATAAAAAAAATTGTATTATGTTTATTAAGATTGTATATAAAATTATTTTTGAAGTGTTGATAGAGTCTATTAATATGTCTTGTAACTATCTTTTTTGTTATTAAAAAAATGTTTATATTATAATTTATTCTTGGAATAAGAGACTCTCTTCTTTTTCGGAGCAACATATAGAGATATATATATCCAAAGGAGAATGTGGGATTAGTTGAATTGATGAAGAAACTGTTTAAATAAGAGATTAGCAAAGAGTGTCCAGAAAGTGAAGTGATTGCAGAAAAAACATTTGAAAGCATGAAATAAGCATTAAAATTCATTGGTTGGATGATTCTTTATTACATAGTTTAATGGCAATTAAGTTATGTAATAGGGGAAATAGCATCATCCTTATTTTATTGGATTGCAGTGATTGCTACATATTCTAAATTTGCAGCAGGTATGTGGATTAGGACTTAAGAAGTAACATAAGAAGCAATAAAGATGGAATCTAATTTTTATTTAAATAGATCATTTGTTAGCTATTAAATAGATGAATCCGAAGTTTTATTAATGCTTGATTATTCTGTTACTAGGATCATATTTAGTGTGTTGTTTCAACTCTAATCAAATATCTTGTGTTTTGTAATAGGAAATTATTTACCATTTCCAATAAATCTATTAAAAATTCCTATTTACTCTTTATTCATTTCTATTCAAAATATATCAGCTAAAATACAATATAAAAAACATTTAGCTTATTACTATAGTCAAAATGTAGGTTATTTAATTGGTCTTAATTTTTTATTCTCTTGTTACCTACATATATCATCATTTCCTTTTTTTACAGGAATTTTATGGTTTATAATGCCTTTATATTTGTTAAATGCTATTCCAATAGAACCACCTAGATTTGAATAGGACATTGAAAAGTTATAATTAAAACATTACTGTAAAATTTTTAGTTCTTCTGGATACAATCAATTATCAATTTAAAGAGATTCTTATGTAACACATCTTAATGTATAATTATAATTCATTATATTTAGAAATATTTTAATGATTAAAATTATGCATCTATTTGTGAAAAATAAATTTCTTATATTTCAATGCCAACACTACTTGTACCTTAATTATTGAAATTCTTATAGATGTTCATTTCAAAACTACAAGGACACTAACATCAAGATTGATAATTTTAATTTTATAGATGAGATATTGTAATTATTAAAAGTAATGATGATTATTTAAATTAAATTTCGAATAATAAATAAAAATAATTCATATTCTTTATATCATCTATATATATTATAGATATAAACATATAATCAATTAAGTGTGAACTTAGACGTTTATTAATTCAAAAAGAAATTAATGTATTCGTCATCATAAATTTCCTGTTTTTCCTCTTCAAAATTTTAATATTAATTAAAATAGTAATTTGGACAAGATTTATTTATTAATAGTCATCATTTTTATTTTATTTTAAGGATTATCTGAAAGTTTTTTTGTTTTTGGGATTTTCTTCACGTTTTTTTTACTTAGGTAAAAAAATGGCTTTCCTAATTATTGATTTGTTTTTTCTCATGAATTATCTTAAAAACCCCATCTTTTTTGGAACAATTTCTTCAATATTAATGATTAATTCAGCTTTATTGAAGATCTAAATGTAATCCATTATATCTTTATGGCACTTTAACTATGTCGGCTACCTTTTTTAAAATAATATTTTTAAAAATTCCATTTTTGTAAAATTATATCCTTTCTTGTACTCTATAATATGCATCTCCCATGTTTCTTTCTTTAACTTTTTAAAAATGAAATTCATAGTAAAATTCTTGGTAAAACTTGTTAAAATAACTTAGTAATAAAACAAAAAAAAAGAGGATTGTATGCAAGGATGGTTATATAAAGAATATTTATAATTCCTAACTATTTTCTAAAAATTTATGAGATTAATTGATTCAAAAATAGCTTGAATAAAGTATTTTATATAGAAATTATTTTAACTTAAAATAATTATATTTATTATTGGAAATTAATTAAGCCTTAAAATGAGTGTTTAATATAAATGTTTTACAATGTTTAATATTATTGATGATTCATGAAGCGTGCTTCTTGGTTTCAGCTCTAACATATTCTTCGAATTTATCCTTGCTACTTTTATACATTTCCATAGCTTAATTGTTGAGTGATTAATCAGTATTAACTTATCCAAGGATATTTAATATTTTTTCCAACACTTGTTTAACAGTTTTTGTTGGTTGCCATTATTCCTAAAGCTGATTTTTGTAAATACCTTTGTTTCAATCATATCCTCACAAAATTCACCTTTTTCATTAATATTAGGATGGAATATTTTAGTTTAGAATTAAAAGAATGGAGCCTTGAATGGATAATTCTCTGGAAATGTAATAGAGAGTTTAAACTTTCCTCCTTAATAAGCTGTACCTTCAGGACCTGAGACAGTAGCAATCCATCTAAGATTTATATTGAATCTATACATTAATCTGTTATTAGGATCAGCTGTTATTTGAACTCCTACTAGAGGATTACCTCCAGTTAAATCTGAGAATTCTTTATTAAGTCTGTTTTGCATTTAAAAAATAAATAAATAAATAATGTTTAAATCTTTTGCCTTTATATATTATGCTTTTTTATGTTTAATAACAAATATATGAATAATTATATTGAATTAGAGTAAGATAAGTCTTAATTTATTCTTAAAGAAGATTTATTACTACAACTTTGAATTAGAATCTGCCTTCATATATACTTTAACTAGTTTATCTAGATTCTTAAATCTTTGCTTTATACAAATTTTATTACTTTCTAGTCAAACTTAGGATTAAAAATATATAATATCATAATATATGATTATATTTAACTTTAGATAATTTATTAATTATTCATTTCTAATAATCGCTTTGTCCAATTATAGAATCATCATTTTATCCTTACTAATTACCATAAAAGTGATATTTATTGTTTTAAAATGATTGTTAGGTTGGGGGAATTATTTTGTCAAAATTAGTTATATCAGCTAAATTGGTTTTCTTAAGCACAGAAATATTAGCTGAAGAAATTGATGTATTATTTGAATGTGTTGGACTTAACTTTTATAGACCAATAGCTACAAATAATTAATTAAAAAAAATACTTGAAACATTATTAATTGGATTTCTATATTTATTACCTGTCATAATATTATTACTTGTCATATTATGAGCAGCTACACTTCTTCTAGTTGCCCTTTATTCATTTTTTAATTTTTCATTATCTCTTAATAATAATTCTTCTTTCTTTCTTAATCTATCTAACTAATCTGTTAATTCATTTTTAAGATTGTTTAAATGATCTCTATCCAAATTCCATTTGGCTCTTTCTTTTTCAAATTCAAAAATTAATGTTGATCTTTTGCTTTCTACTTCTTTGTATTTTGTTTCCAATTCAGTTATTTTTGCCTTTAAATTTTCTCTTTCTTATTCTAACATTCTTTGATAATCTAAAATCTTTTAATCTCTGTCTTATTTAATATTTTCAATTTCTTATTGCAATCTTTTTTCATTATCAAGCATCTCCGCAAACTTTTTTTCTGATAATAATTAATTTCCAATTTTTCCATGTTAATCAATTAATATTTTATCTTTATGAGTTTTTACTTCTTTTTATAATCTTCTAATTTTATCTTCATAATCTTAAACTATTCTTTAATGTGTTTAGTTTGCTTCTTCAATTTATGCTTGATATTTTCTTTCCACACTTAATAATAATTCATTTAAATTATTCTCTTATTCATCCTTTTCATTTGATCTAGCTCTTTATAAATGCATTAATGTCATTTCAAATTTTTTTAAAGCATCTACTAAATCCTATTTAGCCTATTCTTTTTATTATTCCAAAAATTAGAATTTTCCTTCCCATAAGGCTTTGTCTCTTTCGTAACTTGTATAAATTTCACTTTTATCCTATTCCAATTATAGATTTAGTTATTTATATTTTTCTAATTCTTAAAGCAATTATTTTTTCTCTTAAGCATTTTATTCTCTCAATAATGCTTATTATTATGTTATTGTTGCAGTTTCATCTTTTAATTTAGATTCTAATTCGCTTTTTCTTGTTTCAAGATGTCCCAATTTCTCAATCAAAATTGCTTTTTCTCTTTCCAAAGTAGATGCTTACTTATTGTATTAATACTCACCTTCTTTTAGTTATTTCTTAATTTTTTCATATTTTGTTTCTATAGCAGTTTTCTCCTCTTATGCTCTTTCTAATTTTTATTCTAATTCGACTAAATATTCATTCTTTTATTGTTTAAGCTTTTCATCAAATCTAGATTATTGTGTATCAATTTATCTTTAGAGATCTTCAATTTTCTTTTGTAAAAATTCATTTTACTATTAAATTAATGCTGTTTCTCTACCATATTCAATTTTCTTTTCTAAAAATTCATCATTCATTTTCTACAATCTTAATTTAGTTTCTTCTAATCTTTCAAATTATTCTCTCTTTTCTTCTTACCATTCTTTTCTTGATTATTCAAATTATTATTCTTTCCTTGTTTTTTCATTTTCTAATAAATCTTTTTTCTATTATAATGCCATGTGTTCTTTCTAAAGATTATTTAATTAACTAGATAAAACATCAATCTTTTATATCAAACTCTTTCTTTCAGTAGTAAATGAATTCATTTATTATTCTAACGTAGCATTGTTATTATTTTAAAGAGATATTAATTATTCTTTAGTTTCCTTAATATGTTTTTCAAAAATTTCTATAGTTTATTGTTTTAAAGCAATTTCATGATCATATTATTAAATTGTATTTGTATATTATTAAACTTGATCTCTTAAATCATCTTTTAAATTTTCAATTTCTTCTTCATAATTTTACTCAGTCTCTCTAAGTTTATGATAAAATTCTTCTTAAGCTGCTTAAAACTTTTTGTCACTCTTTTCTTTTTCTTCACAAATTCTTCTTTCAAGTCTCTCTCTTTCAATTTCATAGAAATTTTTTAATTAAGTTAAAGATTCTTCTGCTTTAGCCTATGCTAAATTAACTTCTCTTGCAATTTTAGCATCAGCTTCATCAATTGCCTATTCAAGTTATTTTATTTTCTTTTAATATCTTAGTTCCTATTCTTTCAAAATTTATAATTTTTATCCATCTAACATTTTATTTTAATCTAATAGTTTGTTTCTTTATTCTTCTGTAGTTTATAATTGTTCTTTTAGATTTTCTAATTCTTTTATTAAATCTCCAGTTTCAAATTTAACCTTCAATTCTAACTCATTATTCTTTTCATTTAATTAATCAATTTATTACTATAATCTTTTCTTTGTACTTTCATATTCATTTTCTATATTCTTTAATTCTCTCTTGTGTTATTCTCTTAAATCATTCATTTTTGCTGCATCAATCTTATAAGTAGATTCATTACTTGAATTTTCAAATGCTTTCATTATAGCTTCATGAGATTTCTTATTTTCTTCTATTTATTTTTTATATTCATCTAATTAAACTTCCATAAATTCCATTTTTTATTACATCAAAGCCTTATCTTTTTCACTCTAACTCCTAGTTTGTTTTAATTAATCATCTTTAGATTTAATTAAATCTTCTAAATTTTAAACTTTCTCTATCATTTCATTTACTTAATTATTGGCATCATTCTTTAACATTAATTATACTTATTCTTCATTTCTTCTATACTCTCTTAATTCTCTTGTCAAAACCTATATTTACTCATTCAATTCTAAATTTTATTTTGTTAAACTTCTTTCCTTATGTTCAAATTTCTTAAAATCATTTTCAAAATTTGTTTCTTTCTCAATTAATTCATTTTCCATTTCATTCAATTTCTCTTACATATCATTTAATTTTTATTATAATTGACGAACTGATTAATCAGCCTTACTTTACTAATCTTTTGATTATAAAGAATATTCTCTTCTTAAATTTTTAATTTCATTTTAATATTCTATTTCTTTAACATTCATTTCATTAACTAATTTTTCAAAAAAAGTTATTTTTTATTCTAATAAAGCTCTCTCTTTTTCAAATTCAGAATTACCAAATAATGTTGTTCTTTCTAAATCTTTATTAAATTCTTCTGCTTTTAATACTTAACCTTTTAATTCTTAAATTTATCTCATTAATTCATTTTTTTCATTCTCAAACTCAAGTTTTAAATCTCTTTCAACTTAATCTTTTTAAATCTTAAGTTCTTCTAAATTATCTCTAGCAACTTATTCTTTTAATTCAATATCAGTCTTTTCACTCTCAATTTAAGCTAATTTCATTAACAGATTATTCTTATCTTTTAAACCATCTTATCTAGCTTCTTTTAATTCAGATTCAAGTTTCTTTTAAGTTTCTTAAGCCACATTTTTCATCATTTCAGTTTCTTATGAATATTATCTAATAAACAAATTAGATCCTTCAATTAAAGCTCTTTAAAGAAACTCTAAAATAATTTAATTTCTAGTTCCAACTCTCGGACCATTTTCAATAAAGAAATTATAAAACATTTTGATGTCCTTCTCATATTCACCAAATGATCGATATTCTCCTAATTTTAGTTTTCTATCAATTGGTTAAAATTCTTATTAAATAAATTATGAACACATTCTTGATCCCTCTCGATCATTTTCTTATTTAACTGCAGCAAATCTATTTTTAATACGTTTCGATAATTCATTTTTAAATTCATCATATTCTCCTACACATTTTTTTTTAAACAAAGCAAATGCTTACTCTTTTAAACTTCTATTAAAAGCTTTTAAATCTTCATTTGAAATAGGAAATCTATTATGAAGATTTTCTTTTAAAATTTATTCATATGTTTCAAATGCTTCAGCAACTGCTTTTTGACATTCATTTTTACAAATATAAGTCCATGCTGATTCAATAGCAGGAACAGCTCCATTATTAATAGCTGTTACATAAGATTTAATAAGATCACAATACATTTAACCTGAAAGAGTTTTACCATTCATAGTCTTAGGTCTAATTCTATTCAATATCTTTTTTCTTAAATTGATAACTTACTCAAAGAATTCAGGTCTCAACTTATCAAAATCTAAGTTTTCTAAATTTTAAAGACTACTTTCTTTAGTTAAAGGTCTTACTAAAGTAATACAATCTCTATCCTTGAAAAAAGTACTAAGTAATTTTCTAATTTTATTTTTTTAATCAATTCCATCTGAAGTACCTTTTTAAATGGTTAATGCATTTTCTAAATAATCTTTGGATGTTATTTATTCATTATTTCTATCAACTAATTAGAGTGTAAAATCTCTAACAACCCAATAGAATTATGGAAAATATTATGACAAATCTTCTAGATCGGCAGTTGATTAACCACTAAAATAATTATAATAATTTCTATACCTTTTAAGTTGAATATTCTTAGTAAGATTAACAACTAAACTTAAATTTTGTAGAGCATTTTCATCAATGCTGCCAACAGAATTATAAATAAAGCAGGATGTTAGAAGGATAGTTAATGAAAATATTCTGATATCATGTGTAGAATCTTCATCAGGAGCACCAAGTCCTTCACTATCAACAACTAATATTGAACAGCTTTCTCCATCACTTGTTTATCCAAGAAGTGGTTTACCCCACATCCATAGACCTTTTGTACATGGTAATACAGTTGGACCTACTCCAAATCCATCTGATCTATTAAGTAACATTCTATTCAGCAGATATGATTTTCCTGTTCTATACATTCCAGCTACACCTACTATTCCAATCGGAGCTGGAATATTTTTTATAATCTCGATTGCTTCAGGATTAACTTGGTAAGCTTTTCGTAGTATACTAAATTTTACTTTATGTTTCCTATTAGTAAAAAATTAAAGGCATTGCCTCTTCTCTTAAGCTTTTCTTCATCTTTTATTAAATTTGAATTTGAAATTAATGAAATTATATATTCAATAGTTAACTGCTATATAAATATTCATATCTGAGATTTTAATCGTTTTCAATAATTTTCCAATCCTTTCATAACTAATTGATTTATAATTACAAAAAAATCCTTACTATTTTTACATTCATCTCTTTCCAAATAATTACAAAAAGTATATATCAGATTCAGATTGATAGTTTTAATCAATATATTTAATATCTACATCACAAGAATATTCAAAAATAAATCATAATACATACAAGGATTTTATTAGTAGTTAGAGATATCAAACTATTATATTCTGAGAATACTTATTTAAAACAATTTTATTGAATCATCATTGAAAAAATGTTTTCGTATTATGATTCAATATAAATATTAGAATTCGTCATTCAGAAATTAATAAATAAATAATGCATAATCCATAAGACTAATTACGAAAAGCTTTAAAGAGATACAATAATGGGGATAAGTAAAACAATAACCGAAATTGTCGTTCTCAATAACTGTAAATGCCACAAGTCCCAAAAGGAATGCTCAGTATGAACAGTACTCAAAAATCAGAAAGAAATGCAAAATTAAGCGATACAGGTATATGAATTTAAATATAGTAGATACAACTGATGTGACTCATTACAATTTGAATTTTTCTTAACCAATTCAATCTGGTTATCAAGTAGAACATTTAGATCTCAACTTTTTTAAAATTTAACCCTGTAAAATACCTGGAAATCATAGTCACAAACATTGTCCATTTTATCATAATAGTAAAGATCGAAAAAGGTATAATTTAGAATTAAAATAGAATAAATGTTTAATACTCAGCTGAATTATGTGCTTATATTGAAAATAATTAACAATGTCCATATACGGATAATTGTAATAAAGCCCATAATAGGGTAGAGTAACTATATAGGGCTGATAATTACAAGACAAAATTTTGTTCTTTCTATCCTTATAATATTTCTTAATGTGATTATGGAAAATTTTGCTCTTTCGCACATTCTGAAACTGACATTGTTATAGAATTAATCCATAACTTAGAATATGATGATGATTTCTTTATGTTCTATTACAAAACAGTTTGGTGTCCTTTCAATCTTACTTAGCACGATAAAGCCCTCTGTGTTTATGCTCATAATTGGTAAGATTTTAGAAGGAAACCTTAAATTTATCAATATAATCCAATTCCATGTTAAAGTTGGAACACAGGAGAATACATTTTAGAATACTATAATGGATGTTAAGATGGGTTTAATTGTAGTAAATGTCATGGATGGAAAGAATTAGAATATCATCCTATGTTATTTAGAACAAAATAATGTATTAATTAAAATTGTTCAAAAATAGATTGTTCATTTTATCATAATAATTAAGAAAAAAGGTAATATAATATAATAAATATAATAGATAGATTGATTAATTATCATAATTTAGAGTATTTAAGATAGTTCCGCGAAATCGGATAGTTTAAAATACATTTAAAGTTAGAGATTAAAGTTTATTAACATCTCAACGGAATGGTAGTAGTACTGCAAGTTATTAAAAATTATGCAATAGTAGTGATTAACATTGGTTAGGACATAACTTATAGAATAGCTTTTAATATGATCAAGACTTAGATGAAGGCAAATAAAATATTAAAGGATAACATTATTAGACTACTTTAATTTCAATTTAAGAAAGAACAGGTAATATATTAATTTATATAATTAAATAGATTCAGATGAGTTAAAAGATCTAAAAGATTTAATGAGAAAGAAATCAAATTCAGTGGTAGATGAAAAATAAAATAATGATGACAATGAACATGTTAGAACAGTTTTGAAAATGATCGACATGGATCAATGAATAAATAATTTTATTTAATTCAAGAACTCCCTCTTTTAAATACATAATTAAATATTTGAATTGAATGTAAGGTAATCAAGGTTCTTAAAAAAAAGATATTGAAATTGGTACTTGTCCTTTTTCTGATGCAATGAAACCTCCAAAAGGACATGAAAAATATACAGACAAATCTAAATGTCCATACTAATAGATGTAATAGCAACCTGAAATCAAAATAACTGATGGAAGTGCTGAAAAAAAAAAAGAAAAAAAAGAAAAGCAACCTAAAGGTGGATGTCCTTTTATGTCAAGTGAAAAAAAAAGAAATCCGCCTCTTGCTCATCTTGAAGAATAATATGATACTTATTACATCAGTCCTCTTAATTATCTTCTAGATACAAGAGGATTATGGATGCTTGCTTTTGATTCTAAAGAAATTAAAAAAGGTAATAGTTCATAACAATTATCCATATAGGTCCAATTAAAGACAGAAGAAAAATATTTGATTCTTATCCTATTTATTTGAAAAGTACTTTATTTCATGATGATGAAAATACTAAAAAGTTAAGATAATGTGAAGTTGCTTAAAGATTTTTTGTTTATGATAAGTTTAGAGAAAAGGGTAATTTATATTTATTAAAAAAGGCAATAAATTATTATAAAAATAAGAATATGAAGAGGCAATTCGTTATTATGAAAGAGCCCTTGGATGTTTCAGATATTTAGAAGTAGTTGAACCACCTGATTAAGATAGTGAGGAAGAGGAAACAACATAAGATATAACCAATTTAACCGAAAAAGAAAAGAAGGAACTTGAAGATATGAAAAAATCAGCTAAATAATATAGAAAAGAATAAAAAGATTTTAAAAAACAATATAAATCATTAATGACCATATATACAGATGAAAATGTTAAATATAGAGGTGTTGAACATATTCAAGTATTAAATCTAATAAAAATCAATTAAGGATGAAGCAGATAAAGAAATGTGCAATTCTATTATGTATGGTCTCTATTTGAACATGTCTGTATGTTACATGAAAATGTCCCACTTTGATTTAGCTAGAAAGATCTTAGATGATGCTGGTCTAATTTAAAAAGAGAATTCTTAATATTTATTTAGATATTCATAAGCCATACTTTATGATAAATGGTCAACATATAAAGATTTAATTAAAGCAAAAGATCTTATTGAAAAAGCTATAAATTTATCTAATGTTGAAAATATCTTTAAATAAGGTCCAGGAATTCTTAAATTGATGGGTTTAGAAAATGCTAAAGAAATTTATGTTGAACATGCTCACAATGTTATGGAAGCAATTAAAAAAAAAAAATAATGGGTAATCGATTTAATTGACCCTGTTTTTTAAAGAGCTAAAGAAATTGATGAAATTGAATAAGAAATGATAGAAGATGGCAAAGTTCCTTATGAAGAAGGTGTTACTGATATTTTTGATCCAGAAGATATCATTTAACAATAAAATGAAACACTTAAATAATTCTTATATCGACTTTGCATGTCTTAATTAACCTAAGAACATTAAGAATATGAAATTGTTAAAGAAATGGTTAATAAATATTACAGAATCATTGAATTCTATGCAGTATAACTTTATATTAATTCCTTAGGAATAAAAAAAATATGATTAAGTTAAAATAGCTAAGTAAGAACTCTAAAGATTATTGGAAACTGTCTAAACTATGTCATTCTTTATGAATTTAGATTTTATTGATTATGATAATGATGAATTACTCAAAGAATTAACTTAAAAATATTAAATTAATTTTGCTGATAAAAAATACATCAGAAGATTCATTCGATTATGTAGAGAATAAGTTACTGAACTCTTTGGATAAGGTAAATTCAACTTTGAAGTATTATTTAATATTATTTATAAGGTTTTTGAATATGCTATGAATGATTATTTCAAGAAAAAAAGAGAACAAGAAGAAAAATAAAGAGAAGAATATCTTAAATAAAATCCTTAGCCTGTTAAACCATAATAGCAATCCTCTTTCTTAAAGAAAACTTTGTTCTCAGCTGAATTCTGGATGCAAGTATAAATTCATTTTATTCTTAGATGTTTATCTTATTATTACTTATGGCAGGAATGTACTGCTTTAATAGTAACACAGGTTTTATTGGCAAACTATTTTCCCTTAAAAAATGATAGCATACTTAAATTGAAAAAAAGATCATTATATTATTAATTTAATAATAATTTTATACAAATTCATAATTTTGAAAAATCTAAAAGCATTTTATTTGTATTTATTCTAACAATAGAATCTGTTGAATTGGAATTTTATAAATCTAAATAAGCTTTTTCAGCATCTATTCTAAGCGCTTTAGCTAAATCTTTGCATTCAATTTTATCAATAAATGGCATATATTTAAGAAAAGTTTCTCCAAATCTTTCATCATTAACTCTATTTAAGATAGCACCTGCTCTGTGAATTGTCAGATATGGAAATTATTATTTTGTTAAAGCCTCTTCAACAAGTCCTTTAATTCTAGTATATAAAAACATAGATCCTTTATCTGCTCCAATTGAGGTTAATAAAGAATAATGAGGAATTGCTATATACCTTAAAAATAAAAATAAATACAATTTGCTTTTGCTATATTACCTCCATAGATTGGATAAGTGAGATCGACTTTTGTAAATTAAGCATCTCCTTCTTTTACTCTTGATCCAAGAACACAAAAAAAAGTATTAAAATTAGCAAACTTTTTCCATTCATCAGTCTATTCAAGTGTATCTAAATTTTAAACTTGTATTATCCTTAATTTATTCTTATCTTTAGTTTAATTAATAGATTATTACTAGGAAGTGTATCCCATTATTCTAATTTCCTACGAACTATTAATACTATTTCAGTCCATTTTGGAGAATTTGATAATTCAGTAACTAATTCCTAAAAAATTATATTATAATCTTTTTACCCTTCCTACAGCTCCTGAAGCACCTAAGATTACTCCTCTTAAATTAAATTGATCCATTATTTTTATAATTAAATTAATACAACGTTCTCATTTCTGAGAAATATTTTATAAAAGGAATTAAAATATAAACAATATAATCATTTCTAGAAGATAGATTACACTAACTCTACTTTTTCTTATGCTTTATTCTTATTTTTATTACTTTAGTTATTTTATGAATAAAAATGAACATATTCAGACTTAACAGCATGAGTAGATAAACTTTTACTGTATGTTTTAATTTCTTAAAATATAATTGAACTTCCATATTAGACTAAAGGAGCAGGATCTTCATTTTCTGATTCTGTTTAAGATTAATTACTTTCAGCTTTCTAAAATTTATACACAGAAGATTTTAAATTCTAAAAGTAACTTTATTTCATTTATTTAAAAAATCTACGAAAATATTCTTCAGTCTAATTATTAAGTAAACCATATAAAGCAAACAAATCTACTAATTTCATTATTCCAACTTAATTTTTTAGATCTTTTATAAATTTTTTATATTTATAAGTCTTTTTCATGTTTTTTGATATGCATTCATATAAATAACTTAATTATTGATTTTAAGTAATTTATGATATTTCTCCATAGTAAACAATTCTTGCCTAAAGCTGAGCTCCATTATAAACATTTTAAATTTCAACACTACAGTATAATCTCGATTAGGCACTTAAAGTATAAATGTATTTAATACCTTTATTTAATTCCTTAACGTAATTAAGATACCATTTCATGATAATCAATTTTAGGAGACAAAATAATTATCATATCATGAGCTAATGTTAAATATTCTTAAATAACAAAAGCTATAGGGGTATCTTAAATGTGAAGTAAATCTAAAAATTATTAACAGACTTACTTAGAATAACAGTATCTAATTTTTCTGTTATATCTGATTTAAATATGTAATTTACTTTATCTTAAGATTTTAGAATATTTAATGCATTAGTAATAATATTTAGAAATATTTTCGATTCTTAAATATAATAGACCTCTTAACTTGAAAGTGCATGTTTGATTAAAAAACTTCCTGTTGGATCATGAGCAATTAACAATTTATCATTCTTGACTCTCTAATAAGTTTGCTCTGTTATAAAATGTGGAACTAAATGTTTTACAAATTAAACTTCTTAAATAGGATTAATCTTTAAGTTAATTATAGTTAGATTACATCATAGAGCCTCTTTGTTTCATACAATACTTTCATTATAAATGGAGAAAAGGAATCTTTGCATGATGACGTATTAGCTTAATTAATGCTAATAATTCTAGCTAATAATCCATCTCCAAGATGCATAAGTCTCATTTGATCATCATTTGTCTTTGTTTCCTAAATTACAATTATACTTACTTCAAATTTAATTGCTGAAAGTTCAGTGTCATTTGATAATTAGATTTAAGACTTTTAATTGTTTACTTAATAATAACCATTTATAAAATCTGTATATTCCTTGAATTCTCTTTATTAATCACTTTTTTATATGAATTCTACTAATCAAAAATACATTACATTAATTTATACTATTTTCTATATTTGCACTTTAATCCTTATTCATAAATGGCTTTATTGATTTATTTCTCATATTTGCTTAAAGACTTGTAGCTATTTGTTAGTTCAGAGTTTCTTGGCTCTTTTCGTTTTAATCTGTTTCTCTTGGACCGCATAAGCAAAACATAAAATTAGAAAAATTAAATATTATATAATCCAAAAAGGAATTTCTATATACAAAATGATTAATACTTTTAATTAATCAGAAATAAATAATAAATGCATCATATTTAGAAAGAGATGAATATTTAATTATGAATTATTAATATATTTAAATGGAAAATTTTACATACAAACAATCTCATATATTTATTTTTTAAAATTAATTGAATTACAATCATATAATAATGGTTAAGTTTGTTTAAATCCTAAGTCTGAAGAATATGTTATCGAAGTTAATTATTTGCAAAGAGACACTGCTTCGATAAACTTCATTCTAGGCTTCCTCTCTCAATCAAACTCACTCATAAGAAATGCAAGTCAAAACAAATAATGAAGTTCTAAAAAATTTAGAATCAAAGTGCTCAAGTCTAAAATAAGAATCATAAGAAGAGTACATCTAAATTATGGAATAAACCATAAAACTCTTAGATTAGTAACTCTAACTAATAAACACAAGTATGATATAGATATTAAATATTTTAGTAATGAATAAGTAAAATAACAGAAATTAAATTAAATATTCTTCATTGAGATCAAATATTTTAGAAAAAGCTGCCAAAAATTTTTATGAAATATGGTAATTTGATTCTAAGAATATTGAGTACCTTAGAAAATATTTAGATGTATATATATATTTTCTATCAAAGATTATTAAATGTTTTAAAGGAACTTTAAGTGATCAATATCTTGAGGGACTTTGTAAATATGCCCAATCCACTTAAGATCATTAAGAATTGGCAGAAATCTATAGTCAAATCGAAAAGAAAAATTTCTCAGAAACATAAAAAAAATGTGCTATGACTCTTTTCATGTTAACACAAAATGAGATTTACTATGAGGATTTCCTTTTAAATGATTCCAATTTATCTGATTAATCATTTGAAATAAGAGTAATATATTTTATCATTATCTTAGTTTCATCTCTTTGCTACTCAATACTTTCAACGATAAAATTGCTATCATACTACAAAGTATCACAGATAATAATGTGAATCTATGTCATCCGAATATTAAAGATCAATTGCTCTAAGCAACTTGGAACTTTAATTGTCATTCATGAAAAATAAAAGCAATCACGGATTGTGATTTTGTAAACAATTTTTATATTTATTATAAATCTAATCATAATATTCATAGAAAGTTGTTTCTCTTTATCTTAATAAGTTGCCATCATTAAAGTTTTATTTATTAAAATTTAACACAAAATTATTTTGAAGAACTATTATTATAAATTTCAGTTCATTATTCATTAATTTATACTAGAGAATTTTTATTCCTCTAAAAATTATTATCTTTTTTGATAGAAATCTTGTGGTAACTTTAACTTACGAAGAAAATATTCAGGTCTAGTTTTTACTTAGTGAGAATTTAATAATATCTCCAAGAACTCTTAAACAATTACTTTTCTTCCATCATTTGATTCTTTATTTAATCTATTTTTTATCCAATTTTAGAATAAAAAACTAGTAGATTCTAATTATGATTCTTATTAAAATTCAGCTTGAAGTTTTTTCTGCAATTTTAATAGAACTTTATGCCTCGTTTAAGTAGCATAACTTTAATTAGAATTTCGAATCTAATTATCTTTATATATCTTTACTATTATATTATATTAAGCATAAGATTTCAACAGTTCTTATCCTCTAGTTATAGAAACTATTTCAACTTTAATCGGATTGTAGATTGTTGTTTTTTATGTCTAAAAAATAGAATTTTATTGAGATGCATTATTCTTAAGATTTGCAAATATTGCATCAAATTCTTATAATAATTTTTATTTTTATTCTTAATCTTAACAAATAAATAACATGTTTTAATCTCCAGCGATTAAAGTAAAATTTAAGGAAGGATTTATCTAACTTTCATACTACGTTTATAAATCCAAAAATGAATAAGTAATTAATCCCTCCTTCATAAATTTTTGATTTTCCTCACTTATTTTTGTCAATACAATAAGATCAGAACATAAATACAAATTAACAGTTTCTTCTTTTTATTAGTTAATCATTGTTAAAGATTCTGTCAATATAAATTTTCTAGTGGATTCTACAATTTACACATTAATTAGATTAAAAAACTTTTGTTATAATTCAAAAAGTGCTTAATTTCTAAGAATACTAAAATTAGTTGAAATTATAATTTTACTTACTTTCCTATAAGCAAATCAATCTATTATGTAACCTAAGAAAAAGAATTCAATGTTTTTTATAGATCATTATAATCAGGATGCTCTGTCCAAGTAAATTTTACTATACTCGTCAACAATAAAGAATATCTGGGTAATCTTTATACAGGTTTTATTAAAAATGAATTAAGATCACCTCCTTTAAAAGTATAAGCATCCTCTAATCTATTTAAAAAATTATCAAAATTCTAATATTTATCTCTCAAAATTTATATCTAATCAATCTTAAACTCTTATAAATATTGAAAATATATCTTAAAAAAAGGTATATATTTCTAAAATATATGACTAACGCAAGTGTTATCATAATATATTTCTAATTTCTCTAAAAATTTATATATATGAATACTTTGTAATTCTCTTAAAAATGATTTGTTTAAATTATATATCTAAATAATATTACTAAAAGCTTATTAAATTTCAATTTCTGGTAAAAGTTTTGTTTCTTGAACTATTTGAATGACTTACTCAATGACAATTTTCATATCTGCCAAATAAGACTATTCTGTATAAATAAGTTCTTCAAAAGCTTTTCTTCTTTTAATAGCTTACATTTTCAAATTTTTATAGTTTTTTTTTTATATCATCATTTTACAATAAGCCGAAATAACATTTAACTTCTTTCTTAAGCAAATCAATTTTATAAATACATTATATTAGGTTATAAGTAATCTTAGATTTTTAAACTAATATCAATTATATTTCTAGGTTCTAGTTAATTGGTTATTATTGTATGATTCACCTATTTAAAATCTTATATTAGGTTTTATTGTGAACGATCAATGTTTTAATTAATCATATTATTAATAAAAGGAAAAAAAATAATTAGAATTAGAAATAAATGATGTAAGAATTTAATTTATCCTCATTTATCTTTTTTGATTAGTATTTGAGAAACTAGATTACAAATTAATTTACTTAATTCTAATTAATTGGTAGATTAATAATTTTTTGATGAAGTCTGAACTTTATAAATAAAAGTAACTTAAAAAAAATAAAATGAGAGTAATTTTATATAAGCTTTCATCTTATTTTAAGTTTTTAATTTCAATAGTCAATTAGATAGTTCTTAATATTTAACAAGTAATAAAATATGGTTCTTTATTTTGGCTTTAAGTTAATAGGAACCATCATTTTATTACATTATTTTTTAAATTGCATGTAAATGATACTTTGTAATTGAATTTTGGAAGCAGAATTAAAACTACTAATGGAGTAATTCAATTTTTTTATTCAAAGCAAATAAAATCTATTAAAATATATGTGTTATTAAAAAAAAGGAATGTAGTTTGAATGAAATAGAAATATAATAAATAAGTACAAAAATAATGAATAATCAATACATAATTCTAGATGGATTAGTGACTAGTAATTTAAAGTCATTAAAATATCCTTCTTCTGCTAATTTTTCGTTTGTAGAACCAATAAGTTTGATTTGATTTGTTTGAATATGAACTCCTTTATGAATAACAATTCTAATAAATTTGCATGGAAGTGCTGATAATTTAATTCTTCTTAATTTATGTTAAGGAAAGAATTGTTTATTATGAACTGAAATAAAAGGGCCATTTTTGAATTCGCTGACATATACTGAGATTTCACATCCATATTTAAGATTTTCAATGAGTAAATATCTTATATTGCACATCTCACCTAAATCTAAAAGTATTTATTGAGGTGAAAAATCAGATTTTTAGAGAGATTGATTTCTAGAGTAGTGAGTCAATTGATTTAGTCCATATTGCTAAATAGGAATAGTACTAAAGGGAAGATTACTTTCAAAAAGAGAGTCCATTCAGTTAATAAATTAAATAATCAGAAAATAGCTAATTTTAAGTTGGCTCTATTTATAATAATAGTAATCTAGAATTCGTTTGGAGAGAAGACTGTTACATTTTCAAGGTAAACCAAGATATCCTCTTTTTTTTGAATTTTTTTGACGGGACTATGAATTTAGGGTTTAAGATCTTCTAGTTCATCAGTGAATATATCAGAAATGATTGAAGCTTTACATGAACCACTTTGATCTTTCAAAGTTATTTCAGTCGTATCTCCAAATTCTTCAATCTCATGTATTTCACAGATTATTGCTTCAATTTTTTTATTTCTATATTCTTAAATTTTGGACAGAAAAAATGAGTTCAAAGGATAAGGGAGTTTTGATCTTTCTTGTTGAAAATTGTAAACTTTATTATTATAGTTTAAATGTTGCAACATAATATTCCAGAGAGATGTTTTAGTTTGACCTTAATTAGGTTTTAATTTTGGAGTAGAAATGAATTGAAATTAGCTCTTGATTTCAATAGGTTTGTATGAAGTCTATAATTTTTTGCTAGAAGGTTCTTCTTTAGGAGGTTCAGGTTTTAAATTCTGTGTGATAAATGAATCGAAGTTTCCATCATCATCATCATTTGAAAAAAGAAAATTCATANGTTTGAATGAAATAGAAATATAATAAATAAGTACAAAAATAATGAATAATCAATACATAATTCTAGATGGATTAGTGACTAGTAATTTAAAGTCATTAAAATATCCTTCTTCTGCTAATTTTTCGTTTGTAGAACCAATAAGTTTGATTTGATTTGTTTGAATATGAACTCCTTTATGAATAACAATTCTAATAAATTTGCATGGAAGTGCTGATAATTTAATTCTTCTTAATTTATGTTAAGGAAAGAATTGTTTATTATGAACTGAAATAAAAGGGCCATTTTTGAATTCGCTGACATATACTGAGATTTCACATCCATATTTAAGATTTTCAATGAGTAAATATCTTATATTGCACATCTCACCTAAATCTAAAAGTATTTATTGAGGTGAAAAATCAGATTTTTAGAGAGATTGATTTCTAGAGTAGTGAGTCAATTGATTTAGTCCATATTGCTAAATAGGAATAGTACTAAAGGGAAGATTACTTTCAAAAAGAGAGTCCATTCAGTTAATAAATTAAATAATCAGAAAATAGCTAATTTTAAGTTGGCTCTATTTATAATAATAGTAATCTAGAATTCGTTTGGAGAGAAGACTGTTACATTTTCAAGGTAAACCAAGATATCCTCTTTTTTTTGAATTTTTTTGACGGGACTATGAATTTAGGGTTTAAGATCTTCTAGTTCATCAGTGAATATATCAGAAATGATTGAAGCTTTACATGAACCACTTTGATCTTTCAAAGTTATTTCAGTCGTATCTCCAAATTCTTCAATCTCATGTATTTCACAGATTATTGCTTCAATTTTTTTATTTCTATATTCTTAAATTTTGGACAGAAAAAATGAGTTCAAAGGATAAGGGAGTTTTGATCTTTCTTGTTGAAAATTGTAAACTTTATTATTATAGTTTAAATGTTGCAACATAATATTCCAGAGAGATGTTTTAGTTTGACCTTAATTAGGTTTTAATTTTGGAGTAGAAATGAATTGAAATTAGCTCTTGATTTCAATAGGTTTGTATGAAGTCTATAATTTTTTGCTAGAAGGTTCTTCTTTAGGAGGTTCAGGTTTTAAATTCTGTGTGATAAATGAATCGAAGTTTCCATCATCATCATCATTTGAAAAAAGAAAATTCATAATTTAATTAATTGATTAATTGTACTATAAATATATATAAATAGATTTCATTTTTTAGCTTAGTAAGCAGTCAAGTCTTTGTCTATTTATTTGATTTATGTATCATGTTTGAAATGTTTTCATCTTTTAGATCTACAGCTTATTAAAAGAGATTAGAGGGATGACCAATATATTATTAATTACTACCATCCTAAAATAAGAATAAATAGAAAATAATACATCAGAATTAGCAATAGCAACATCCCTAATTAACTCTATACCATATTTTTCAAAGTCTTCCTTATTTATACAATTGTGTTACTGCTTTAAGAATAAGTTTTTAGGTTTTTCATCCTCTAAAAATCAAACAGACATAAACTCAATGTTTTTCTAGTAATGTTATTTTAAAAAAAAATAAAAAAGTTTCAGAATTTATTAAAATTTTATTATAAACTTTCAATCACTTTCCAACTCTCAAATGCTTCCATTATTTCTCGTATTTATTTAAATGAATTTGAGTCATTGTTTTTTTAAATCTTTCTTTTCTACAATTAGGTTATTCTAGAAAATCCAAATTATCTCCAAATTTTAATTTTATTTCCTATAAACTTTCAACTCTTGTTGAACTTCCTCTCTTTTCCATTGATTTCAATAACTCACTCATAAAGTTCTATCCTCTCTCCCTTCCCTTTTCAAATTTCGGTATATGTTATGTCTGCTCATTGAATTACTCATGTTTTCTTATTGTTCTTTCCATTCGAGCTTATTAATATGCTAATTATTTATCCTCATCGTTTATGGTCTCTTAACCTTAAGGCTTCTACACTTACCAAATACAAAATCATTACTCATATTCCATTTTTCACTCTTATTTGTTAACAAAAACCCTTCAGTATATTAGTTTTCAGATATTACATTTACCTAAAATCTAAATACTTAAATGAACGATTAGTTTCGTTTTGGAAACTACATCCAAACTTCTTCTTTGACTAACTATTATTTCCAATATCTTTCTGAATATACTTTTATCTATTATTTTTGAATCTATTTGTTAGAAACAATTGAATCTATTCTGAAGTCTCTACTTTAGGTTCCAAAAGATCAGGATTACAGATACCTTATTCTTGTTGTTTATTCAAAATATTGTCACTCTAGTCTATCATATTTTCTAAATATTTTACTCTACCCTTCTTTCTTATAGTTCGTGCTTATTTGTATTCTTTAAACCCAAGTATCTGCTTAAGTTATTATTACACTTCAAGTCCTCTTTTTGTGACTGTAATCCTCTCAAATTCCATTTTTAATAATTAAATGTTTAATATGTTCAAAAAGAAAGAGCAATCATAATAATAAACAGCATCCCCTCCATCCCCACCACCTACATCAACTATTTAATAGTAATAATAAGTTGTATAATAACCTCCTAATATTCCTATTCAATAACCAGCCCAAAAAGGATCAATGTTCAAAGGAAGTCTTAAGGTAAAGGCACAACCTCCTTTAACCCAAGAAGTTTAATAATAACAGCCGTTACCTCAAACATATCAGTCTTAGTTAGTTTAATCTTAATCCAATTCAGACGTTCTATCCCCTGAAAGTGATGCTTATAAATAGTAATATAATTAAGTGGAAACATCAATCATTTAAGAAGAATCAAATATCGAACAAAAAATTGAAGTCAAAATCAATGTTGACGAAATCAAAAAGAAACCAACNCTTTCAATCACTTTCCAACTCTCAAATGCTTCCATTATTTCTCGTATTTATTTAAATGAATTTGAGTCATTGTTTTTTTAAATCTTTCTTTTCTACAATTAGGTTATTCTAGAAAATCCAAATTATCTCCAAATTTTAATTTTATTTCCTATAAACTTTCAACTCTTGTTGAACTTCCTCTCTTTTCCATTGATTTCAATAACTCACTCATAAAGTTCTATCCTCTCTCCCTTCCCTTTTCAAATTTCGGTATATGTTATGTCTGCTCATTGAATTACTCATGTTTTCTTATTGTTCTTTCCATTCGAGCTTATTAATATGCTAATTATTTATCCTCATCGTTTATGGTCTCTTAACCTTAAGGCTTCTACACTTACCAAATACAAAATCATTACTCATATTCCATTTTTCACTCTTATTTGTTAACAAAAACCCTTCAGTATATTAGTTTTCAGATATTACATTTACCTAAAATCTAAATACTTAAATGAACGATTAGTTTCGTTTTGGAAACTACATCCAAACTTCTTCTTTGACTAACTATTATTTCCAATATCTTTCTGAATATACTTTTATCTATTATTTTTGAATCTATTTGTTAGAAACAATTGAATCTATTCTGAAGTCTCTACTTTAGGTTCCAAAAGATCAGGATTACAGATACCTTATTCTTGTTGTTTATTCAAAATATTGTCACTCTAGTCTATCATATTTTCTAAATATTTTACTCTACCCTTCTTTCTTATAGTTCGTGCTTATTTGTATTCTTTAAACCCAAGTATCTGCTTAAGTTATTATTACACTTCAAGTCCTCTTTTTGTGACTGTAATCCTCTCAAATTCCATTTTTAATAATTAAATGTTTAATATGTTCAAAAAGAAAGAGCAATCATAATAATAAACAGCATCCCCTCCATCCCCACCACCTACATCAACTATTTAATAGTAATAATAAGTTGTATAATAACCTCCTAATATTCCTATTCAATAACCAGCCCAAAAAGGATCAATGTTCAAAGGAAGTCTTAAGGTAAAGGCACAACCTCCTTTAACCCAAGAAGTTTAATAATAACAGCCGTTACCTCAAACATATCAGTCTTAGTTAGTTTAATCTTAATCCAATTCAGACGTTCTATCCCCTGAAAGTGATGCTTATAAATAGTAATATAATTAAGTGGAAACATCAATCATTTAAGAAGAATCAAATATCGAACAAAAAATTGAAGTCAAAATCAATGTTGACGAAATCAAAAAGAAACCAACAGGCTTTGGTTTCTTAAAAAAAAAATAACCTGAACAACCACCTCCTACAGATGAATCATTATAAGAATAGGTAGAAAGCTAAATGATTTATGGAATATAAGTTAAATAAAATTAAGTACAAGACGCCAATAATTTATAGGAATAAATATAAGAATAGTCTTTATAATCAAATTACTCTCCAATTTAAAATAAAGATCATAGTTTTAATGATGATTAAAATAAATAACTTTAGAAATAAATTGAATAAAATGAAAAAGAAATCGAATAATAATAATTATTATAATAATAACAATTATAATTATAATAATAATAATAACAACAACAACAATAATAATATCAATAATCTAAATTATAATATCAATAGTAATAATAGCAGGAATAAAAATTATTTTAATCTAATTCACCACTAAAGAATAATTTTATAAATAAAAGCTAAAATAATTCAAACTCCATGAATTCTCAACTTGATAATTCTTATGTGAAACAACATTAAATGATTATGGATGAATTGGAATATTTCTAGAGTGAAGTTAATAAAAAGAAAGCTCAAATTTACATTGCTCAATAAGAAATAGAAAAGCGCATTCTTTGTTATTAATAAAAATTATAAGATTGTAACAGCCGTCTTACTCAACTCTCTATAGAGTAACAAGTTTGTGTATAATAAGAATAGTTTGAAAGAGCAGAAGAAATAGAATAATGTTTAAAATAAATTTAGGAAAAAATTACACAAATAGATAACATAATTAAATAAGAAGAATAATAATACACTAAGTTATAGGATGAAAAAGAAAATTTAAGAGGAGAAGAATATCCTTTTTATTAAGAAACCGAATAAAGACTTGAAGAAATTGAACGATTACATATCAAATATAGTGATTAATATAGATTTGAAGGATAGAATTAAATTAAGAAATTATAATAACATATAGAAGAAGAGAATGAAAGAGTTAAAATCTAATAAATACATACTGAAATTGATAGTAAACATTTGGATGAAGAGGAATAACATCTAAATTAAATAATGGATAATTAAACTAAAGAATATAGAATTGAATAGGATCAATTAATTAGTAAAAAGTCAAATTTAGAATAAGAAATAGCTGAATTGCAATAGTTATTAAATCAAAAAAAAAATGAATTATTAAAAGTAAATGTTGATTTGAATTCAACTAAAGAGAAAATCTAATAGGTCTAATAAAAATTTAATCTATAACTAGCAAAAGTCTAAAATAAAAGGACAAAACTTAATGATGAGCTGAATAGTTTAGCAACTGAAAGAGCTTAAATTGAAGCTCTTGAAGGAGATAATCTTAGAAAATAAAACGAATATAAGAATAAACTTGAATATTTGGCTTAATAATTGGAATCGATAAAAGAGAAAAGAAATGAGCTTATTAGAAAAGCAAATCAAGTTCCTGAGTAATGTTAATAAGAATTGGACGTAACATTCAAATATTAAGAGGCTAAGAAAGCTAGTCTAGAAGCATTAAGAGAATTAGCATAAGTATAAAGGTAAATTGATGAATTAAATTACAAGAGGAATATGGGACAATCTTAATTACATGAAATTCTCAATAAAAAAAGTGAGCTTTAAAAAAAACTACCTAAAATGATTGATGACAAAGCATAGTTAGTATAGAATAAAAATTTTAAAGGTGCTGCTTAAATTAATGAATAAATAAAAGAGGTATAAAGACAGATTTCTTAATATGAAGAGAAAATTTCTGAAAATCAAAATTTAGAAACCTAAATTCTTAAAGAAATAGATGAAATAGAAGATTCTTTCTTAACTAAACAACATCAATATTAACAATTATAATAAAATACAGAAATATGTAGATATTTTGTATTAGAATTGAAGTTGTAAGAAATTTAATAAATTGATTACTTTGGTTTATCTCAATTAACCTCAGATGTATTATTATAGATATATTTAATTTTAGATGAAGAATGAATTAGAGCAATTATTTAATAAATATTAGGATTTAATTTATGCAAATCGTAAAATATCCACTGATAATGTAGATTAGATTTAAGATCATTAATAAGAAGCTGATATTTAAGTTATTTAACAAGAATATTAATAAGACAATTCCTTAGAAACAGGTTAACAATTAAATAATCAAATTGAAGAACAGCAAATTGAATAAAATTATGATTTAGTTCAACATTAATAGCAATAACATAAAGAAGATGAGATTGAAATGAGTGAAGAATAAAAATAAATTTATATAGAAGAACAGAAATAATTATATTAAGAAATTTAATAATAGATGAAGTAATTAGAAGACTAAGTATAAGATTATGCTTAAGTAATTCATTTTATTAATTTAAGAAAGAGCAATATGAGGAAGCTGACTAGATTTAATAGGAAGTAGATAGATTGACAAATTAAGCAAATGCAATTCAACTAGAACTTAAATAGAAATTCAATATTGATAGTTTAATTGCAGAAGAAGAATAGAATTGATGTGTTTTTTAATATTTATTATTGATTAATATCAAAAACGGAGAATAAACTAATTGATGAATCTATATAAATGGTAATTTATATTAATAGATGTTCAAATAAGCTCAAATAGATCTGTCTTATTATTATTATTATTATTATTATTATTATTATTATTATTATTATTATTATTATTATTATTATTATTATTATTATTATTATTAGAAGGTTCATCAAAATTTAAAAGATCAACATCTTATAATTATTATTATTATGATTATTATTATAATTCTTTTTTATTATTTTGATTATTTTCATCTTGTTAGTCTTATGCTTATGTATCTGGTTTTTCTTCTCCTTTATAAATTTTAACATTCTATTAATTGCTATAGAATGAATATGATTAAATACTTGATTTTAATTTTAATGTTCTTGTATAATTAATGGGGTAATTTATGAAATAGATTGCTGATACTTCCCATATTTTCCAAAGCTACAACTAAATCTTAGGTTTCCCATAAGCGTAGATCCTTTGAAAAATTTGAGAAGGTTCCACTATTAAAGCAAACTAAGTTCTTAACAACTTCAGGATCTGTTGATAATAATCTCCAATAAATATAAGTTCTATCTCTCACATCTGGATTAAATGAATCTTTAGCAGAAGTGATCAATTATTAAATTAGAGTTGCACATTATGATGGATATTTAAGATATAACTAAACTGCTGAAGTGAGTAATTAAAGTTAAACTAATCTATCTTCCATTTAAAAATTATCTACATATTCTTTCATTTTTTCAACTGATTTAGGAATGAATTCTCCAAATTCTCCTAAAATCCAGGCACATGCACTCTATTTATAAATAATTATAAATTACTTTTGATTCTGGTTCATTTGCATAATCAACAATAGAATAAATGATTTTTAAACTCTCATCATGCTTATACATTTATTTATTCTTTTTATAAATAAGTTACATTTATATAAGTAATTCTTAAACAGGTTCTGTAGGTTATTAGATATTTTTAGCCAATTCAACCAAAATAGAAACAGCTCTAAAATTTTATAGAATAAATTTACTTATCTAAAGCTTTGTCATAAGTGATTGCAATTTTTCCAATTGATTTAATAGTCTTTCTAACAAAATGAGGATCAGCTTCATTTAAATAAATGAGAAGTTCATTAAGAACCTGTCCAAAGTTTTTAGAATCACAAATTCTAACCATAATATCTAATTTTTCATATTTGATATAATAGGGTTCATTAATGGAACAGAAAAAGACTTTAACATCATTTTCAAATAGAATTGGGAATTTTTGTAAAATCAAAGATATATTTCTTAAGATAGTATATTAAACTTCAGGTTAATTCCAAGATAATAAAGAAATTAAAGATGGTGCCACTTTCTTACATAGATTTTTAACTAATTCTCCATTATCCAAAAAATCCAAATATTTAAGTATTACTTTGACAGCACAGAATGTTACTGTTGGATTAATATGACTAAGTCTTGGAAGTGTTCTTTCTATAATAATTTCAGCTTATTTTGAATCCTAAGGATTGTAAGTAGCTAAATAATCCAAAATAAATATTTATCCCCATTCTATACATTCATCAACAGCTAACAATAACTTTTAGATGATCTTCTGATTTAAATTGATAAGCTATTTACCACTAACTACCTCAATTTCTCTCATTGATTAAATCAAATTAGCCAATACCAAAGCATTAGATTCCTTCTCTAATAATTTCTGCAATAATTCTAATAGTGCAGGACATATTTCAGGTGACACTTCATATACCTAATGTGATCATTTTTTTAATACTTTTGGAACACATAAAACAGCAGTTTTACGAACATATGGATCATCATCTTATATGCAATCTTTTAAAGGCTCAATTAAATATTCATTAAGTTTTGGTACTCTCAAACATCCAAAAGTTCTTATAGCAAGTGCTCTTACTAAAGGATTTTCTGATTTTCTCACATCTTTTCTAAAATTTTATATCACCATAATGGCATCGTCAGGCTTTTATCTGGAATAATTAACAATGTATAAATATATCTACCTAATAATCATAGATAATTACAAGCTTTTTCATCTCTATATCATTAAATTCTAAACATTTTATAACAGATTGAAATAAATCTGATACGTCTTTACCTACTGTCATATAAGCAATCACTTTCTTTACAGCCTATACTATTTACAGTAATCCTTACTTCTTTCTTCTTCTCAAAATTCAAATCATTTAAATCTGCATAAAGCTCTTACAATTCTCCACGCTATGGATTATTTCCAAAATAAGCCATTTAAATATTAAAAAATAATATATTAAAACTTAATAAAAGTCATGCTACTAATTCTTTAATGCCTTCTAATCCACCTTTTTTAATACTAAAATATCTATCATCATTAGGAATATCATCTTCTGTTGGATTTATTCTTATCATTATAGATTATTTTATTTTATCAAGAATTCTATCACCTAAATTCCTAATACTTGGAATTGAAGTTCCTGCACCAATCTCTATTACACATACCTTCTTATATTTTTATTTCTCTAAAAATCCAAAAAATCTTGATTCTTATTATTCATAAATAGTAGAGATCCAATCCCAATCACCAAACATCAAAATATTTGGTCTTAATAAATTTTTGCATTCACATTATGGTAATGGATCAGCTGCTCTAAATTTCTCTAAATCTATTGATAAATTTTAGAACTTTTCAGCATCATATAATTTATCGCAAGGAGTACATTAGAATTTATGAATAGATCCATGAATTTCATAGACATTATTACTTTCGAAACCAGCTTTCTAAAATTGTCCATCCACATTACTTGTTACTACAAAGTAATCTTTATTTAAACACATTTTTTTAAGTATCTAAAATCCTTCATGTGGAATTGTATTTTGATACATATGTAATCGATGTCCATAAAATCCCCAAAATAAATTTGGATTTTATACCATAAATTATGGATTAGCACAATCAGTAAATCCAAATTTATTTTCAAAAGGTCTGTAAACTTTCCAAAATCCATTATTTCCTCTAAAATCAGGCAGGCCCGAATCAACCCCCATTCCTGCTCCAGCTGTGATTATAAATGCTTAACACTCTTTGATATATTTTTACATTTATAAAATTATTGGAATTAAAAAAATTTTAGAATTAATTTCATTTCATAAGATATTTGTTTTAAGAATAAGTTTGTTTATTTTCAAATTAAAATATTCTCATTGTAAGGAACAACTTGCTATCTCAAAACATAGAATCTGGATGTGGATTGATAGATTGACTGCTTGTAGTTTAGGAAATTTTTAATAGGAAATAATTAAAAGTACCTTCCAATTTTAATAATTCTTTTAATTCCATTTAAATTGATGTGTTGAAAGAGATTAATTCTAAGATTAAAATGAAATTGGATTGGAGGAGTTAGAAAAATTTTGAGAAATAAATAATAAAGATATCAAAATAATATTTAAAAATAAAATATTTGTTTGTAGAGAGTTGAGAAGAGAACTCAGAAAGGTTAATATTTATATATTTACAAATACTACAAAAGTACCTAATCCATTTGGTTATGATGATGATGATATTGGACATGAAAATGAAGATCATGTCCATTATCATGAAATAAAACATATAGGTAGTAGACCAAAAGTTGAATATCATACAATAACTACATTTTGAAATCACAAAAATTTATATACTTATTTTGAATGTCATAAAAATAAATGAATAAATAGAAGATCTGGATATATTTATTACACAGATGTAGATTATAATGAGTCTCATGACATGAACTTTAAAAACTTCAATAACGTTTGTATATTTAAGAATGCTTGTTATCATTATAAAGGGGGATAAGTTTTAAATATCAAAGTATCCAGATGAAGATCATTGGAGAAACACTCATCCACCACCTTTGAATTTTCAGATAGTGAATTCCAATTTTAATAGAATATTAGGATACTAATGATACAGAACCTTATTAAGATTATCATTCATCAAGTGGAAGATTTTTGATAGACATATGTCAAATACAAGATTTATGGTTTGATATTAAATATGGAAAAAAAAATAATTTATAAATGGTCAGGATGCAATTAACTTTTAATAAATATTTGAAATTATAAATAATTATTATACAATTATATAGCTATTTGTATTATTAATATTAAATTCATTCAAAAGAAGTGGCTTCTTTCTTTTTTGTTAATTACATTCCCTTTTTTGGAGCTGATTTCACATTCAATTTTTATTAAACTTAGGATTGAGTACTTAAATTTTCATTTAATACTTCAGGTTTAGGTACTGGATTTACCTTTTCTAAATTCACTTACAATAATCATACCTTCATTCTATGGTAATTTGAACGCATTATCAATAGCTTTAGATTACTTTTGACTTTTCTTCTATGCCAATTCTTCTTATCTTTTCCTTTCCATTTCCATTTAATGTTTTTTAGCTTATTCTTTTGCTTCATTTTCCTAAATTAATTTTATATTCCATTACTCTTGCTTTTGTTAACATCAAATGAATCTTTTCTTCAGAACTTTCCATCTCTAAAGCTGTCTACACTTAACTTGTCGTTGTACTCTCTCTCAATCCTGCTGATATAATATCATCTATTGCTAAAAGTATTTCAAAACTATTCTTTTTTATAGACTCTTCACTAACTAATCTTCAGTATCTATCATACCTTATTAACAGATATCAGAAAGAACATTCTTCAAAATTCTTAATACTTCTAAATCCTCTATTATATTGCTATTTTTTGATGTAATCAAAACTATATAAATATTATCTATTGGTGTATATATGTATCTTAAATTCTCATGGTCAATAAATGTATGCTATTAAGTTGGCGAAATCAATTTTGGAAAATTGCGAACTTACTAATTATTTAACTAAAATTTGTACTTCTTTCAATTCATTTGTTGTAATTCCTTAGAATTATCTTCCAATATACAGAATTCCATTTTTATCACATATTGCAGCTGAGATAATTACCATCTTACGTGTATTAATTAAAATTATTATATCAAATTTATTTTATTTATTATTCTTGGTTATTCTTCTTACTCAAACAAATAAAGAATTCTTATTTATTAATCTACATTTAGAATTCCAATAATAAAATTTAAAGAATTTCATGTATATTTAAAAATTATTGATCAGTTTTTAAAATAGATAATCATTCTTGTCCTATTGAAAAATATAAATTAGTTTAATCCACTATTCTTGAATAAATATTTCTTTTTTCATTCAATTAATTTTATTAAAGTGTTTATAATAAAATAATTATAATTGTAAACATAAAAACATAAAATTGAATATTTCATATGATGTTAATGAGTTAACTTATGTTTTTTATTAAATTTGTATTAATAAATAAATGAACTCCTATAATAAATATAGATTGGTAGTCCTGTCTGTTTGAAAAGGAACAAATGTGAGATTATATTAATGTATAAAAACGGTATTTAAATAAATATTTTAATTATTGAACAAAAGAATGAAAGGTATATCAGGAGTATTAGTAATTCTGCTTTTAAGTCAGAGTGTTTTATGTAGCCCAAAGAAGATCAATACAGATTTTTTGAATTTACTTAGTTCTAAAACAAATGTAATGAGTTCTTAGGATGCTATCCAATCAGTGCTTATATTGTTAGAAGATCTTTAAGGAGCAAATGTAGAAGCTTAAGATAAAGCTGATCTTACATTTTAAAGATTTGAATAAGCCATATTGTAAGACATCAATGAGTTCTCTGGAATAGTGAATGTAAATTCAAAGAGTGCAGCTGCAGCTCAATAAGATTTGGAAGCTGTCGAGTAATTGTTTATAATTCAACTTAAAGTCTTAAAATCCAATAAACAACAGACTACTTGAATTGGAATAACAAAAGATACAAGGCAAACGAAGTTAAACTTGAAAACTTAGCTGAATAAAGATGTGAAGCCAATGCATTATTCATTGATACATTGAGAGAATACAAGAATGCACTTTCTGTCCTTGATTGGGTCAGAAGTGATGCTCAAAACAAATAAAGTACTTTAATAGAGAAGAGTCATATTGGAGATTATGCAGAGAAATTAAGCAAATATGCTAATCTATTTGAAGAATAAGCTGTCTCAGATTTTGTTAAATTAGGTGAAGAACAAACTTCATTTGCTTAAACAAGTAAAACTATCATAGTAGCTAATTAATTTAGGATAACATGGTAATGGTGAATAAATAGCTTCATTAGTAGAAAAAGATGTTGTAGCAATTATTTAATAATTAATTGAAAAATTAAGAGAAACTATCAAAAGTCTTGAAGAATAAGAAATTCAATCTGCCAATGATTTTGCTGATTTTAAGACTAATTTATTAGCAGAATAAGAATCTCTCAAATAAGAATATGATGCTAAAGCAAAATTTTTGAATTCCTTATAAAATGATAAAGAACTAGCATCAGATATCTTAACTAAAAAGAAAGAACTATAAGATTAAAGTATGAGAATCTTAAGTTTAACTTAAGGTATATTGAACTTTTAATTAATTTAGAGGAATATAACTATAAAAAGAAATTATATAACTCTGAAAAAACAAAAAGACATGAAGAAAATTAGTTATTAGAAGAATCACTTCTAATCTATAGAGAAAAGATTGCTACTGTTAATGAATACTTGAAAAAGAGAGTCAACGAGTATGTTGGAGAATCTTTAATCGAAGAACATGCTGTTAGCAATCAAGCTCCAGTTCAAAATAGAAAAGGAAAATAATGATAAAAAAACACACATTAAAATTATAATTATTCTAAAAGTTGCATTTTTAATTTAATATAATTTTTTTTAGTCTTAAATAAATGAAAAATTAATCATTCCAAACTTATTCTAATGCTACAATGTCTTTGGTGCTGATCTGTTCATCTATTTTTATTCGATCAGACTCAAATCATCTTTTCATTATTTTAAGACATTGATTTTACAATCAAATTTATATCTTAATTCTTTATATTGAACTTTTCTAGAAGCCTTTATGATATATTACTGTTTTATTTTATATTACTGCCTAATAATCTTTATTGAATATTTTTTCTTGTTAAACAATCAATTTTTTTATCTTATTTGAATATTGATTAATTAATATTCGCTCTTCACATGATTATAATTCATCTCACCCTATGTTTATTTATTTAAAATGAATTATTTTAGAATATTTTAAGTTAATCAATTTTTAATCTTAGATTTAAATACTAAAGTAT